CGTATTTATAGTGCTCCTAGCAGGACTACTATTGTGCCCCCTAATTTGGCCTTTCTTTCTTTTAAAAACTCTTAAAAACTGGCACATATTTGTATATATTGTACTTTGTAAAGTACAGTAATTCAATGTGTAATGGTCAAATTAGAGTAATTAGCATTTCTATGTATTGGGACTCTTTTAGATATTTTGAAATATATTAGAAAAAAATTGGGGGGGTGCCATGTTGGAGATGGATGGACTCCACAGCCTGGCACATACTAGGCAAGCACTCCACCACTGAGCTACATTCCCAGTTTTTCTTTCGTTTTGTTTTGTTTTTTGTGGTGGTACTGGGATTTGAAGTCTGGGTCTCATGCTTGCTCAGCAGATGCTATACCACTTGAGCCACTCCCTACCTTTTTTTTTTTGAGTTGGTGTCTCCTATGTTACCCAGGCTGGTGTTAAACTCCTAGCTCAAATGATCCTTCTACCTCAGCCCCCTGAGTAGCCGGGACCACAAGCACATGTTGCCATGCCCAGCTAAAAATTATTCGTTACTCTCACTGTGCTACAAAACAGAATTCCTCCTGACTGTATTTATTTCTTTTTCTTGCCTTATTGCAGTTGCTAGCATTTCAGTTTAATGTCAGTGTAGTGAATGTGAACATCATTTCACTGCATGTGAGATGGCTCTCATTGGTCACAGCTCCACCTGTGTAAGCTCAAAGAATGCTGAATGAAAGAAGGGAGGCAGAGAAGGGGAGAAGGGTGGAGAGAGGGAGGGAGGAGGGGGGAGGGAGGCACAGAGAGAAAAACCCTTTCTCTGTATGCCAAAAGATACATATGCTCAGACAGGTAGAGAATAGGCCATGTAGTAAGATGCCCAGTCTCCATGATTATGCTTGGCAGAGCTTCATTCAAATCCTGCCCCTGCCATTTCTAGGCTGTGTTGCCTTGTGCAAGTCACCCAACCTCTCTGTGCTTCACTTTGAAAACAGGGATACTATTGAGACCTGTCTTCTGGAGCTGTTGTGAAGATAAAATGAGGCTATGCACATACAGTTCTGAGCATAGGGCCTGGTTCATAGTAGATACTCATAAAATGGTAGCCACTGCCCTAGTAATAACAATTATAATTATCTTCCTTGTTGTTGATGGACATAGAGCTATAGACAGACTTAAAAGGTAGCACATTATTATAGAAATCTCACTTCCTACCCTCCCCCTTGTTCTACCAGCCTCCTTCCTGCTCCTTACTCTTAGAACATATGCAGACCACGGGCCCTTTGCATGAGCTCTCCCTTCCACTGTAAAACAAATCTCAAATATCTTGTTCTTCCACTCCCTTGATTCTCCTGATTCTGTTTGTGTTTTGTCTGTTTGCTTTAGACATAATAATATTCAAACAAGATATAATTAACTTTTATTAGTTATTGCCTGCCTTAACTGTGTGTGTGTGTGTGTGTGTGTGGTGCCGGACATCGAACCCAGGGCTTCATGCATGCTCACCAAGCATTCTACTGAGCCCCCACCCTGCCTTTTATTTTTTAAAGACAGGGTCTTGCTATGTAGCCCAGGCTGCCCTCCAACAACCAATCCTCCTGTCTCCTCCTATCAAATGCTGGGATTACAGACATGTACCACCATGCCCAGCTTGTAGTTCTTGATAATTTTAAACACAGGCATTCCATTTGCATTCACCCTGGGTCCTGGAAATTCTGTAGTGGGTCCTGGCTGTCTCCCAAGTGCCTGGAATGGCCTAGGGTAGGTGGTTGTCATTAGTAGAGTAAAGAAAGGAAGGACTGAAAGGACAGCAAGAGGGGCACTGGCCAGGATAGAGGCAACCATTCATCTCTGTAGAAACTGGCCATGGCAGAACCCCAGGCAGAGGAGGCAGGAACTGGGTGGAGGATGCCTCTAAGCCTGCCTTCCCTCTGGACAGCAGGCTGGCTGGGGAGGGGGGTCCAGATGGCAGGGCAGGCTGCTCTGGGACTGAGAGCAGCCTCTTCCTCTATGAAGCCTGTCCATGTCATCAGCCACCAGCCCAGCCTGGGGCCATTTATACCACAGCCTGGAGCATTTCCAACTTGCCTGCCCAGAGCTGAGACAGACCTGAGAAGGATCTTGAAGCATGTATGCATGGATGTGTACACATGCATATGTATAAATGGCCATACATGCAATCACACAGGTGGAACTTTTTTGGAGGGGGAGGGATATTGAGGTTTGAACTCAAGGCCTCAGCTTGCTAGGCAGGTGCTCTACTACTTGAGCCACACCCCAGTCCTTTTTTTCTTTTAAGTTATTTTTCAGATAGGGCCTCTCATTTTTTGCCCAGGGCCCTGCCTAGGAACATGATCCTCCTACCTGTGCCTCCCCAGTAGCTGGGATTTCAGGTGGCAGCACCATGCCCAGCATTGATGTGAAAACAACTCCTCTAGCAAGTATTTCTAGCCATCGAAATATCATATCTGCCCATTTTTTTCTCTCATAGCACATCCCTTTATTGCCACCTTTTTGTTTTATTTCTGGATGCTGAGGCTCAAACCTCTCTTTTCTGGGAGGCAAGGGACTTTGTTTTCTGCACTGTTGTGTCCTCAGTCCCTGTTGGAGTGCTTCCCTAGCATGCTTGAGGCTCTGGGTTCCATCCCTAGCACCAAAAAAAAAAAAAAAAAAAAGGAAGGAGGAGGAGGAGAGAATTTCATTTTCATTTACTGAGTACCCGCCCCCTTGTTCCTCTGCCTGGCGACAGAACTTTAGTTTTCAGTGTGACATCATCAGGGGCATCTTGTTTATACACTGATCGCGCTCCCTCACCAGGCAGGAACAGGGACCCTGCTGGTCTCGGATGCTGCAGCCTTACGATCTGCCCACAGTGCCTGGAATACATAGCAGATACATGGCTGATAGGCGTGAAATGAACAAGGAAATAAACCATGGAGCGAATGTAGCAGTCCCTCCCGCCCCCAACCTCAGCGCGTCACTCCCTTCCCCACTTTGCCTTGAGGAAACTGAGGCCCTCCAAGGCAAAGCCGTTTGCGGTCCCGCTATTGCTAAGAGCTGTGTGGCTCTCGGATGCACAGGAAACAAGGGTAGACTCAAAAGCCGTCCCTATCCTCCCCACCCCCACCCCACAGAAACAGAACAAATGCACGGATGGGGGGGGCGGGAATCCACATACGAACAGTGCAAAGTAGTGGGACGGGGGTACAGGGAGGGCATCTTCTTTCTTTCACATGTCCCCAGAGCATCAGATTAGGAAACGCTCGGCGCTGATGGAGGCTTCCGGCTCCCTGTCTCCAGTTTTGGGACCCTGTTTTGCTGGGACCAGGTAGTTCCAGTCTCCGAAGCCAGGAAGGGACCCTCACACCTACCCGGGAATCCTCAGCATCTGGGGTCCTCCCTACACACCCCCAGCTCATCGGTGGGGCTGAAGACCTCAGAGAGCATATTGGAGGGGATCACGGTTTTCTTGGGGAGCCAGGAAGACCCCTTCATCTAAATCCCCTCCCTCCGAGACGCTGGGCCCCCTTCCCACCGCACCTCACAACCCAAAGCTTACCTTGCTGGGGGGCTGGGGAGGGGATGCCCCGCCATCTCCGACCTGGGGGGTCGGGAGGGGATAGGGGTGGTCCAGATTCTTTGTTTGCCGGTGTGTTGTATGTGTGTGTGTGTGTGTGTGTGCGCGATTGTGAGACCCACTGGGTGTAGGTCCGTGCGCGCGCGTGCCCAGGCCGTGACGGCCGCTGGTGTGCTGGGCTGCCCTGACTGGAGGCGGAGGGAGGAAAGACCGGACTCCCCCGCCCCCGCCCGCCCACTCGCAGGTTTGAATGGTGCGCAAGGAGGAGGGACGACAGCGGGAGGGCGCTTTTGTCTCGATGGCCCTCCCCCTCTCTAGGCCGGGGAATCCCCCCCAAGTTTCACTGCCCCTAACACCTTCCCCAACACCTCCAGACACCACCACCACCAACCGCCTACACCCGCCCTGGGAAAGGCTCGGAAGAGGAGCTCCGCCCTCAGGTGGCTGGAGCTCCCCCCATTCCATGTGCCCCCGCGGAGCACCGGTTAATCTCAGATAATCCTGGCCCTAGGCTTCAGCATGTTTTTTTTTTATCCCTGTATCAAAGCATGGATTAAGATGTACACAAGTGTGCGGCCGAGGCTCCCCAATGGAATCCTTCAAGCCCTGGCCGAGGTTGGGGACCCCAAACAAATAAGGAGGGGCTATAATCATCCCCAGATTGCGACAAGGAAAGCCCCCGTCCGCACCTCCCAGATCCTATACTGGGCGTGGAGCCAAAAGCACTGATCGCTGGCTAGACTTTGGCGACACCCAGCGGCGGTGGGGGAGACAAGCGCCGGAGACCCGTTAAGGGGAGGCCTGGGTGATTCCAGAGAGGGTATGAGTGCGCAGGTTTTCGTCTACGAGTGGCAGGGGATGGGGGCGGGGTTGGAGGCTGTGGTCCGTGGCCGAGAAACACCAGTTTCCAAGCGGAGCCACAGTTACCTTCCACCTCTGATCCCTCCCGATAGCAGGGCCATGCCGCCCCCTACTTAGACACTCCCCCTCCGCCAGGAAAGGGCCGTAGAATGTTGGGATTGGGAAAGTTCCATCTGATCGAGTATCCCACCCAAGCGCAGGGTTAGGATCCCCTTTACCAGGAGTGGGGGGCGTGTCTTGTAACCGAGGCTCTGCTCCCTGCAGTGGGCCCGGATTGATGTCACTGCGGCGTGGATAGGGGGACAATCCTCTCCCTCAGTCTCGTCAACTGCCCCCCTGTGGCTGCCGCCGCAAACGCCTACAGCAAGGTGGCGGGAGATGAAGAGAGCTCTCGGTTGCGGCGACCATTCGTTAGCCTCCAGGAGGTCCTAGCAGAACCTCCGTGCGTGACGAGGCGGAGTTTCGGCGGGAATTCCCGGGGCTCTGGAGCACGTGTGCAGGGCCCTTTAAGGCGGATCTAGTTGCTAGAGCCGCCGCCGCAGTTGCTAAGGATGTGACGTAGAGAGCGCATCCGGGCGGAAGCGGAAGGGGCGGGGCTCCGCGCCCGAGTGTCCAGCGCTGCTGCTGGTGCTGCTACTGCCACCGCCGCCGCTGCTGCTCCCCGAGCCGGAGCGGGCTGGGCCGCCGAGGCAAGATGGTGGACTACAGCGTGTGGGACCACATCGAGGTGTCTGACGATGAGGACGAGACGCACCCCAACATCGACACGGCCAGCCTCTTCCGCTGGCGGCACCAGGTAGAGCGTGCGCGCCTATCCCCTACCCTCCTCCCAGGTCCCCGCTCTAGAGTTCTGACCCCGCTTTTGACACCCGAAGTTCGTGTCCCACAGTCTGGACCTTAAGGCGCTTCGACTCTACCCCAAGACCCCAGTTCTGCTGGGGCCCTGAGTCCCTGCCCGCGATCTCCGAGGTTCCCCTTTGCTTTCTGGGTGGGACTTCCTACTGATCCTAGGGCTTTGTCCTAGTCTACTCTCCCACGTCGAGCCTTGGGAGTCCCCCTAATGCTATCTGCGATCTTTCGTTTACACCCAGAACTCTTCTTCAAAGAGACTGAACCCCGAATTCTGTTCGATGAACCCCTTATCCTGTTCATGGACCCACTTCTGACTTGGGGTTTTTCCATCAGCCTCTTCAACCCCTTAGAGTCTAGACTCTCAATACTTTAGATTCTATTCTAGGATCTGTTTCTCGGGGTCTTGACCAGGATTCCCATTCAGATCCAGAGACCCCACTCCTTACCCAAACTGAACAAGGAACTTGCTGGCTTGCTGCTGGCCTGGGATTCCGACCCCCTCACACACACACCCAGGACCCCTTCCTAGCGCGTGTGGAGTCCTGACCTAGTACGGTCTTTGGTCTCACCTAGGACTTGAGTTTTGGAAAGGGGTTACCCTCCGGATTCAGCCACCAGCTCCACCCTGATCGCTTTCCCTGGCCTCACCTCCTTAGACCCCATTTCCCATTGCTCCAGGAAACCCCGCCCACTTAACTTCCGGCCCAGCCAAAGCCTCTGCTCCTGCAAAATACTGTAGACCCCATCGCCGCCTACCCCCTCAAGACTGGCTTCCTGTGTGAACCTTTGCCAGCACTGGAAACTCACTAGACCCATGCCTGAGGCCCCAAGTCCACCGTGCCTCACTTCCATTCCCAGCCTGATCTCCAACTCGCTGGCATTCAGATTGACCCAATCTAGCCCATGGATGCTCTTGGTCTGACACCAAAATCAGTAACCCATCCCTTTTATAATCTGCCACAAGAGACTGCCTGAATCCAGTAGTCCCTTCCCCGTTCCCTTCCCCGTACCCTTCCCCGTACCCTTCCCGGATGTGGCATTGGTCCCTATGTCGGGCCCCTAGTCCCATCTCCAAAACTTCCTTAAGGTCTGGATAGAGTACCTATCCAGCAAGCCACTGGAGTGTGCGAAGAAAGTTCCAGCATTTCTGTGTCTTGCCATAGCATTTTGTTATGAAATACGTTAAGACCTCCGCAAAGCTCTGCGCACTAATCTTGGGAACTCGTATTTCTGTCACAGAAAGACGTTAATTTTACTACTGTGGAGAACAGATTGGTCCTGCTTGGGGGGAGGTCTCCCGTCTCCTGGCACAGAGATGTTTTTTGTCCTGCTGGCTGTAGTAGAGACGAGAGAAGGCAGGAGGCCCAGTGCCTCCAGTCCAAGTTCCGAGACAGACAAGCCGGGGTTCTAGTCCCAACTCTGCTCCTTCCTGCCTCAAGGCTATGATGTAGTAAGACTCATAACCTCTCAGAGCCAAGTATGAAACTGGGGTAATGTGGTTCCTGCCTCTAGGAAACATTGCTGCTGTTTTTATTGTTTGCCTTTTGAATTTTTTTCCCTTTGGGACTGAGATTTGAACTCAGGGCCTTATGCTTGCTAGGCAGGTATTCCACCTATTGACCCACACCACCAGCCCTCCTTTTGGAATTTTTGAGACAGGGTTTCACTATTATAGCCCAGGCTAGCATGGAGCTTATGATCCTCCTTGCCACAGCCTCCTGAGTACTGAGATTACAGGTGTGTACCATCATGCCAAACTTCTCTCAGACAATTTTAACAATAAAATGGGGACAGCTCTGAAAAGAACTTGGGGCAGGGCCAGGGAGGGAATCAGCATTCTGGAAGGGGAGTGGAAAAAGTAGTAAACATCTGTCATGGTTCCCAATACAGGCCTGACCACCTAGGTTCAAATTCCAGCAGCTTCTTTGTCACATGCTGTGTGACTTCCAACTACTTGTTTGACCTCTGTGTGCTTTAGTCTCCCCAGCTAAGAAGACGGATAGGATTCATCTACCCCCATAAGGTTGTTGTCAGGGTTACCTTATTAACTTAATGTCCTTAATGCTGTTGGGGCTATAGCTACTATTAGCATTAATATTTTTTGTTTATTTATGTGTGTCTGTATTGGAGATTGAACCTAGAGCCTCTTGCTTGCTAGGCAGTTGACCTTCCATAGTAGCCACATCCCAGATCTTTTACTTTTAGTGTTTGGGGAGGGTCTCAGCTTTTGCCTGGGACAACTTTGGGCCACAGTCTTCCTACCTCCTCCCAAGCAGCTAGGATTACAGAGTACTGGGACTTGAACTCAGGGCCTCATGCTTTCTAGCCACTCCACCAACCCATTTTTGTGTTGAGTATTTTCAAGATTGGGTCTTGTGAACTATTTTGCCTCGGGGCTGGCTTTGAACCGAGATCCTTTGATCTCTGAACAGCTAGGATTACAGGCATGAGGCACCGAATCCAGCCCATCTTGTTTTTTGATAGGGTCTCACAAACTTTGCCCAGACTGGCCTCAAACTCTCCATGTTCCTACCCTGCCGCCTAAGTAGCTGGGAGAATAGGCATGAGCCATTCCACCCAGCTCATTGTAATTTTTTTGTTTTTTTTTTTTTGGCTCTGAGGTTTGAACTCAGGGCCTCATGCTTACTAGGCAGGCATCCTTACCACTTGAGCCACTCCACCAGCTGTTTTTTGGAATGGATTTTTTTTGAGATAGGAGCTCTTGAACTATTTGGCTGGCTTTGAACTGAGATTCTCTTTTTGATTTCTGCTTCCTGAGTAGCTAGGATTACGGGTGTGAGCCATCAATGCCCAGGTGTAATTTTTTTTAATTCTGTATTGTATTTATTTTTTGGTGGTACTGAGGTTTGAACTCAGGGCCTTGTGCTTGGGTGGGCATGTGCTTTACCACTTGAGCCACTTCCCCAGCAAATTGTAATTCTTGTTGCAAAACCAATAGAGAAAGGATGCTTGAGTCTCTTCCCAGCCCCAGCTCTACAGCTCCATTGCTATTAGTGGATTCTTCTGGCTCTTTCCAATGAGCTGTATCATGTCAGGATTCTGAATGCCTTGATTTCCCCATCGGGAAGACGGGGTCAGTGACACCTGCAAAGCCTTCTTGCTCCTATGGCTCCTGTTGGCCCAGCCTGCTGCAGCCCCTCCCATATGGCAGGCATAAAGCCCAGGCCAGGCAGGCTGCTGTCGCCACCAGGTCCACAAGGCATTTCATTGGCTTTGCCTTTCTTGGCAGCCACTCAGAGGACACTGGGGAGAGTGGTGGCTCCCAGCAAAAGTCAGCTGGGTAGTGGCTTCCTGCCCTAGAGAACCTCATGGAGAACATCAGGAAGGCACTAGGGTGACACAGGTCCACTGTGGGGAAAGGGAGGTGATAGAAGCCAGGACTACCTTCCATTCCCTTGAAGCAGGAGTTTTTATCCCTCATCCCTGTGGAGAATCTGGGGCTCAGGATTGATGGGATTTGTCGGTCTTGTGGAGGATTCAGATAGGCTCCAGGGGTGCCCCTTCTCCCAGTGTGTGCCAGCCCCTGGGTTCACTGCTTCAATAAGGCACAGAGGTGAGCCAGCGGGCTACTCGGTGATAATGACAAAAACGAGGCTAACACTGGGCCACAGAGTGCCACATGCTCTACAGTCACTCGTGCATCCTCATGAGGGCCCATTTCAGAGAGGCAAACGAAGGCCAGGAGAAGTTTTGAGAAGCTTAAGTGACTTCACCAAGTCACCAGTTGGTAGCAGAGCCTGGTGCTGTGACAGCGGGGTGGCAGCCACTCCTAGTTACCAAGCATTTATCAAGTCAGAGATGGAGCCAGGCACTTGAGGTGTGTTTCCTTGTTTCAAGCTCAGAGAAGTCCCCAGAGAAAGATTGTCCCTTTGGACACAGGAATGAAGCAGCCCTGGGCTTTTCTTTCTTTCCTTTCCTTCCCCTTCCTTTCCTCCCTCCTTCCCTCCTACTCTCCCTTGTTTCCTCCTGCCCTCCCATGTTTCTTCCTCCTTTCTTTCCTTCCTTCCTTTTTTTTTTTTTTTTTAACAGAACTGGGCATTGAACTCAGGACCTTGAGCTTACTAGGCAGACACTCTCACTCAAGCCATACTCCCAGCCCTTTTCCTTTTGTTTTTCAGATAGGGTCTTGTGCTTTTGCTCAGGCTGGCCTTGGACTTAGGTCCTCCTTCTTCCACCTCCTGAGTAGCTGTGATTATAGGTGTGCACCGCTACATCCAGCCCAAACAAACATGAACTTTATTTTAATCATTATTTTTGCTTTTCCTGGTACAGACAGTCTGACTTACGATGGTTCCACTTACTTTTTTGTGATTTTATGACAGTGGTAAAGCACTCCCTGTACAATATTCCATTTTCACTTTCGATTACATGACAACTGGGTGCAGTGATGTGCATCTGTCATTCCACCTACTCAGGAGGCTGAGGCAGGAGGATCAGGGGAGTCCAGGAGTTCGGGGCCAGCCTGGGCAACTCAGCAAGACCCTGTTTCAAATAACAGGAATGACATGAAATGTTCAACACTTTTGCTATAAAATAACCTCCAGTTAGATGACTTTGCCTTGCTACAGGCTAAGCTAGGGGTTGGGGGGTGAGGTGTATCCAATGCATTTTTCACTTCCTGATATTTTCGACTTGTAATGGATTTATGGGATGCGACCCCACTGTAAGTCAGGCCACCTGTGCAGCTTTGTGAGGTCACACCTGAAGTGCTTCTGGGCCAGATGAGGAAACTGAGGTTCCAAGAGGTTAGAGGAGGGTCTAGGGACCTGCAGCCAGTGCACTGTGTCTGTGGAGTGCGACCCATAGTCTGGCATCTGGTCACGTTACCTGATGACCTCAGCAGGGCCTCTGTGGTGCCATGGTGCCTCAGAAGGACTGAGAGGTAGGATTAAAGTAGGGGAAGTGGGTGGAAGAGGGCTGCAGGTGGACAGGCAGAGAGGCAGGATAGGAGCTGGTGCATGGGGGCACAAGGACCAGCTCTGCCAACCACCCAAGGCTGGGGGAGATGGCAATTCCAGCCAGGGGTCCGGAGTCCCACCTGAACTCAGACCCTCCCAAGGCAGAGGTCGGGGGTTATTGAAGGTTTCAAAGACCCCTCGTGTGGCCTGGATTATTGAGGGACAGTGTTTGAAGGTGGTAGAACCACTTGGGACTTTGGTGACTCTGGGTGAAGCAGGTGGTGCCAGAAGAGGAGGAGGCAGATGATGGTGGAGCCAAGCAGGATTGGGGAGTGGAGAGGGCTGAGTGGACTGGAGAGTCTGCATGGCTGTCACCAAATACCTGACAGAAGAGGTGCCAGGTGCACCATCTAGCGTGGACTAGAAGGCCAGGGAGCCAGGGGCAGGGCTGAGGGCCTGGGTAGTGCTCTTCAGTCAGGCTGAGGTGGAAGGGAGAGGTAGAGGTGACAATTACTGGGACTTAACAGAGCTGGAGGAGGGGGAGGAGGTAGGCGTGACCCACCCTTGGGGATGGAGAGTTCCATAGAGGACCTGTTTTTTTGTGGAGAAAGACGATGACTTCTGCCAGGCTTGGTGGTACACACCTGTAATCCTAGCTCAGGAGGCTGAGGCAAGAGGATCTCCAATGAAAGGCCATCCTGGGCTACAAAGCAAGACCCTGTCCCAAAAAATCAGAAAAAGAAACAAGAGACCAAGTTCCATTTTGAGCATGGAGTTGGAGGTAGTTGTGCAATGGCAGGAAGAGGTAGCCTGGGAGGGCTGGCAGAGGGGAGGGGTTGTGGTTGGAGGTGGAGTCTGGGAGCTGGGGACCAGAGCACCCCTATATTCACTTCAGCATTTCTGAGCCCCCACTGTGTGCCAGGCCCAGTTCCTGCCCTGGAGTCAGATCAGGGAACAGCATGGAGATAGTATCCTTGCAGCAAGACAGTGTCTAAAACGTGACAAATAATTGTCACAAGATGTTAGCAGATAGCCATAACAAAGGAGGACGACAAAACGGCATGAGATTGGGAAGGCGGCCATATTTAGTAGTTAGTAATGGCTGTACAGATAACCATGGAGAGGGAGTGAACTGCACTGCATCAAGGGGGAGCAGGCCAGACATGGGATCAGCTGGTGCAAAGGCCCTGAGGTTCAAAAAGGAACCAGGATCCAGAAAAAGTGAGGCGGCCACTGTGGCTGGAGGGGAGGTGAGGTAGGAGGCGACAGGTCAGAGCATGCAGGGCCTTGTGGGCTGCAGTGAGGACTTGGCTTTGCGCCGTGTGAGGTGGGAGCCACGAAAGGTTCTGAGCAAAAGAGGGGTCTGACCTGACTCAGGTGTGCCCAGGTTCCCATGGGGTGCAGATGGAAGCTGGAAGGGCAGGGCCCGGAGTAATGGGCCCCTGGCTGGTTGTCCCTGCCCGCAGGCCCGGGTGGAGCGCATGGAGCAGTTTCAGAAAGAGAAAGAGGAGCTGGACAGGGGCTGCCGTGAGTGCAAGCGGAAGGTGGCCGAATGCCAGCGGAAGCTGAAGGAGCTGGAGGTGGCCGAAGGCGGCCAGGCGGAGCTGGAGCGGCTACAGGCCGAGGCGCAGCAGCTGCGTAAAGAGGAGCGGAGCTGGGAGCAGAAACTGGAGGAGATGCGCAAGAAGGAGAAGAGCATGCCCTGGAACGTGGACACGCTCAGCAAAGATGGCTTCAGCAAGGTGGGCGCCAACGGCGAGGCTTCGCGCATGCGCGGGGGAGCCGGCGGCTGGCCCTCTTGAGTACAGGGGCTGCGCAGGTCAAGTAGACCTGGCTGGGGGCGTGGCTCAGTGGCTGAACCTTGATTGGCAGGCAATGCCTAGCCCTGCAAAAACAAAACACGTGAGAGTGGGAGAGTATGGGGGCCACTGGGGGACAGGGCCAGGGGACAGTTTGGGGTCCAGGCCAATGAAGCACCCCACCCGTCCCCTTTGATCTGCCCGAAGGCCCACGCCCACGCGCCTGCCACGTTGATGCACATGGCGTCGCCACCACCTCCGCCCTGGACAGGATGGGCACTGCGGCCAAGGCCCCCGCGCTCTGGGCGCCCCGCAGCCTGCCCCCAGCCCATTTCCCCTCTTGCCCTGTCACAGAGCATGGTCAATACCAAGCCTGAGAAGGCGGAGGAGGACTCGGAGGAAGTGAGGGAGCAGAAACACAAAACCTTTGTGGAGAAGTACGAGAAACAGATCAAGCACTTTGGTGAGCTGGGCAGGGGGCACCACGTGGGAGGCGAGACCAGAGAGGGGCCGGCCTTTTACCTCTAGGGCCCTTCCAGCACTTTTCAACACCTTCCCCTAGGCATGCTCCGCCGCTGGGACGACAGCCAGAAGTACCTGTCGGACAACGTCCACTTGGTGTGTGAGGAGACCGCCAACTACCTGGTTATCTGGTGTATTGACCTGGAGGTGGAGGAGGTGAGCCGAGCCTGGTCCCCACTGGGAAAAGGCCCTGCCAGGAGACTGCCACTTGGTGACGCCATGCCTCTTCTCCCTGGCAGAAATGTGCACTCATGGAGCAGGTGGCCCACCAAACCATCGTCATGCAGTTCATCCTGGAGCTGGCCAAGAGCCTGAAGGTGGACCCCCGCGCCTGCTTTAGACAGTTCTTCACTAAGATTAAGGTAGGAGCTACCTCCCCAGGCCTGGAGGAGCTCCCTGTGCTCAGGAGAGCTCCAGCCATGGATGGTGGACTTGGAACTGTATTTTAAACTTGGAGCCAGTAGGAGGTGACACCCCTGATTTGGAGGTGTGGGCAGAGTTAGGGATTCCTGCAGGGTGTTTGGTGTGAGCATCTGGAAAAGTAGCTACAGTCTTGAGATTTGGGAAACTGAGGCAGGTCAGACTGGAGGAATGACTCAGAGCAGGAGCATGATTCCATTGGGTTTTGGGGGCCTGCGAGCCCCCGTAGTAGGACGTTGAGAACTGGTATCAGTCTGTGATTTAGGCAGGCGCAGGTCATTAGTAGATAGCTAGATGTGAAGTCCTACTTCAGGGAACCAGACACAGGAAAGAAAAGAGGCGAAGCCTGGAACGCCTCTTGAGAGCTGTCGCAGGGTGGTCCTGGGCCCCGCAGTCCAACCTGAGCCTATTGAGCGTTCCCGCCGTCTGCAGACCGCCGATCGCCAGTACATGGAGGGCTTTAACGATGAGCTGGACGCCTTCAAGGAGCGCGTGCGCGGCCGCGCCAAGCTGCGCATCGAGAAGGCCATGAAGGAGTACGAGGCCGAGGAACGCAAGAAGCGGCTGGGCCCTGGTGGCCTGGACCCCGTGGAGGTCTACGAGTCCCTCCCAGAGGTGCGGCTGCCCGGCCCCAAGCGGGTGGCAGGTGGGCAGTGAGCTGCCTGGGTCATAGGGCCCCAGGTCCTCACCCCAGCCCCTCGGCCCCCACAGGAACTGCAGAAGTGCTTTGACGTGAAAGACGTCCAGATGCTCCAAGACGCCATCAGCAAGATGGACCCCAGCGTAAGTAACCAGCTGGGCACCGGCCAGCCCACCTCTGCTCCCTGGGCTTCTCCAATGAAGAACAGGGTTGTGTCACCATGCCACACAGATATTAGGTTTACCAAGAACCTACTGAGTGCCAGCATCCAGCAAACACCTGTTGCTCTGGCAGCTGGTCACTGTCACTGGGGTCTATTTATGAATCAAGTCTCAGTTCCCTTATCCAAACTAGTTTGTCCCTGTATATGTCTGTGCATATTCATTATACATATAAATGTATATATATTTGTGTTATATATATAAATGTATATATCTAACTACATATGTATGTAGTAGGATTTGAACTCAGGGCCTCACACTTGCTAGACAGGTGCTGTACCATTTAGCCATTCCACCAGTCCTCTTTTGTGTGTGTGTTGCTTATTTCTGAGATAGGGTCTTGCCTGGGCTGGCCTGGAACTGAAATCTTCCTAATCCCTGCCTCCTGCTGTGTACCTAGGATTACAGGCCTGAGCCACTGGGTGCTGTAATACTAGCTACTCAAGAGGCAGAGATCAGGATCAAGGGAGAATAGTTCTCCACACCCTATCTTGGAAATACCCAACACACACACACCCTCACACACACAAATAGCCAACACAAAAATGGTCTGGCAGAGTGGCTGAAGTGGTAAAGTACCTGCCTAGGAAGCGTGAAGCCCTGAGTTCAAACTCCAGTACCCCCCCCAAAAAAAACAAACCCCACAATATTAACTTGCAAAATGCAGGTGGGAAGGGAATGAGCAAGGGAGGTGCTGGTGACTGTGGGCTGGCACTGTTTACTTTGGGTACAAGCCACTGAGGTTTCTTTGTTTATTTGTGGTGCTGGGGATCAACCCAGGGCCTGCTTTGTGCTGGCCAAGAGCTCTACCACTGAGCCACCCCATCACCTCACGACTGGGTCTTACTAGGCCTGATTTGACCCATTCCTATTTGGTCAAGTTGTTTTCCTTATCTGTAAGATGGGTCTAGTCACAGGACCTGGCCTAGGGTTTCTAGAAGCTTCCATGCAAATAAGCGCCTAGAGCAGGATCTACAGACTGCAGCTGGAAGGCTCACCACCTGCCTTTAAAACCAAGTTTTAGTGGAACACACTTTTTTCTGTATGGTCTCAACTGACTGCCCTACAACCTCCAATTTTTATAAGAGTGATGAGTTGAGTGGCAGAGAGCCTGTCCCCCACAATCTGTACATACAGCCTGCAGGCTGAGGCAGGAGGGCACATAAGTTCGAGGCTAAGCTGAGCTACATAGCTGTAGGTCTTGAAAAACCAGACTGGTAGTGTAGCACAGTGGTAGAGCACAAGCCCTGGCTTCCAACCCCAGCACTGCAAAAAAAAAAGAAAAAAGTTTACTCGCCTTTGTTTCAAAGGCTCACTATTTAAACTTAAATAAGTTAAATAAAAGTTTCGTGCTCAGCATGCATGAAACCCTGGAGTGGATCCTTGACACCAAAGGAAAAAGTCCCACTGCTCAACTGCTTGGTCACATTTAAGGGCTGGGTTGCTCCATGGGGCTGGTGGCTGGCCTGTTGGATGGCGTAGGCAATAGGACATTTCCTCCCCTGGGAACATTCTTTGCAACAGCTCTGATGCAACTGTTGAGCAGGTATAAGGATATGCAGGGGACAGCCATGCCACCAGATGTGGCCAGCCCCCCTCACCCTCCTGCCTTTCTCACCACAGGATGCAAAGTACCACATGCAACGCTGCATCGACTCTGGCCTCTGGGTTCCCAACTCCAAGTCCAGCGAGGCCAAGGAGGGGGAGGAGGCAAGCCCTGGGGACCCACTGCTGGAAGCCGTCCCCAAGCCGGACGATGAGAAGGATGTCAGTGCATGACCCACTCTGGCCACCATCACCGCCTGCCTGCCTATGGGCCTCTGTGCACCCCTTTACAGAGAAGGAAAAACAGACACCATCTCCTCAGCACCCGGCTTCCTCCACTTTCGCAGACTCCCAGCCTGGGGCCCGCCCTGCTGTCCCCTCCCACTGTCCCCACTCCCCAGTGCTCATCTGCGTCTCTGCTTTGAGTCAAGGGGCTTCACTGCCTGCAGCCCCCCCACCCACCCAATCAGCGTTATGCCAAAGGCCCAGGGGTCCAGGGAGGGGCAGAAGTGGCCAGGCCCATCCTCTGGGTGGGGGAGTGTCCCCAGCCAGGGCCATCTCTGTGGGTCTGTTTTCACTGTCCCTCTGCTGTCCAGCCTTCTGTTTGGAGAACAGCAATGATCTAATAAAGGATGTCAGATGCTCACAGGGCACAGCCCTTCTCTGCAGGCAGGAGGGGAACACAGGAATGCTGAGTACAGCCTGGGATACCCTGTGCCTCTGCCCTCCATCTGTCTCCTGTCCTCATGCTCAGCCCTGTCTTGTGCTGTTCCACACTTTTCATCCTGGAATCTACATCAGAAAGTCCCAGATCATTTTGTCTCTTCCCACCCTCTGCTCCCCCTCCACCACCACCACCATCCACTCAATGGTTTCCTCTGATACATCTCTTGAAGCCCCCTCTGCTTCCAGAACTGATCTGGAATCTGCCCTCTCCCCCACCAGGGTCTGGGTCCCCTTCACTTCTTGCCCTAAGACCTGCCCAGACCTCCTCCAGGACCCCCCTGAGGCAGCCACCAGAGGGCATTTCCCTGAGTCAGGGCAGCCTCTGCAGAACAGTCCCAGGGTCCCCTCCTAAGAGGGGATACCCTGCACTGTGTGATCACCTGGTCCTCATGGCTCTTCCCTTCACTACCCAGCCCATGTCCTCTATACTGAGCACTTTTTTTTTGGTGGCATTGGGGTTTTGAACACAGGTCTTCATCCTTGTTACACTGGCACTGTGCCACTTGAGCCATATCCACAGCCCTTTTTGCTTTAGTTATTTTTCAGGTATGGTGTCATTTTTGCCCGGGCTGTGTAGCCGGGATCACAGATGCACACCACCACACCTGGCTTGTTTATTGAGATGGAGCCTCGATAGCTTGCCAGTGTGGTCTGTAACCTCAATCCTGATCTCTGCCTCCTGAGAGCTGGGGTGAGTTGTGAGCTGCCACATTGGATGGCTTCTTTTTCCCTTTTTGTTTCCTTTTCCCTTTCTCTGCTGGGGAAGGAACCCAGGGCCTACCACTGAGCCACACCCCAGCCCTTCAAAGTTTCTCGGTGTGGCCTTAGGTGACTTAGCGTACGTGCCCCTTTTGTACAGCACAGACAAGTCTACTATCTTCCAATGATATAACCAAGTGAGAAGGCGTCAGGTAAATGTGCCACCTGGTACTTCAGTGTACAAAATGTGGACCTGGGCATTTAGTAACCTGCAGGAACGCCTTCCCTTCGAGGGGATGTGTCTGAGAAGTCACAAGACATCTCTGCCTGAAAGGACCTACAGAGCTGGGGATGCAACTTGCTGGTAGAACAGTTGCCTAGCACCCTGAAAAAAAAAAAAAAGGAAAATAAGATGGGTGTCTAGTTCATGCCTGTAATCCCAGCTATTCTGGAGCCAGACCCAAGAGGATGAGTTTGAGGCAAAGTTAAGCAAGACTCAGAAACTAAATACATGATCAGGAGCACTGCAGTTTGAGAAGAGCCTAAGCAAAAAGATTACAAGACCCCATCTGAACCAATAGCTGTCACACCTGTCATTCCAGCTACTTAGGGAAGCACAAATAGATTTGCAGTCCAAGCTGGCTTGGGCATAAAGAAAGACCCTAGGTCAAAAATAGCCAAATGCAAAAAGGGCTCAGGGCTTGGCTCAAGTGGTGGAGCTCATGCCTACCAAGCAAGAGGCCCTGGGTTCAATCCCCAGTACCACATAAAAAGTACAGCCAGGAGCCAGTGAATCACACCTGTAATCCTGGCTACTCAGAAGGCAGAGATCAGGAAGATCACAGTTCAAAGCCAGCCCCAGCCAAATAGTTTGTGAGACCCTATCTTAAAAATAGCCAACACAAAACAGCAGCAGAGTGCCTGCTTAGCAAGCGTGAAGCCCTGAGTTCAAACCCCAGTGGTGGGAAAAAAAAGTACAATAAACCACTTGGGTACACATCATGAAATATGTGTCAGGTCCAACACATGAAATATCTCCAGGGGTTGCCACCTTACAGGAGCTACTTGTCACTCAGACTCACAGCTCAGTGCCACCTCTTCCCAGAACTATTCCTTAACTCACTTTCTGAGCCACCTTCATACCTAGCCACCAACCCCGCCTTGTCTGACCATGGGTGTGCTTTGCTGACCTGCATATTGTCACTCTGTACTGGAGGCACCATCAAGGCAGAAATGAAGTCTCTCCTTTTTCCCTGTGACATCTACAGCAATGGGAAGGGGAATATGGCACACAGTAAGTCCTCAGCAAAGCAAGGCGTGAAAGGACCACAAGGATGCTGCTGTGCCCAAGCCGATCACCAGCAGGGGGCAATAGTGAGCTGCAAAACCTGGTGGGCTCCACTAGTGTGTGGGGTGTGGATGGGAATGGCAGGTGCAGGGGCACTGAGTAACCCTTGTCATCCAAGATCCTCAACTTGGTTTTTGTTTGGTTTGGTTTTTTGGGGTTTTGTTGTGGTGCTGAGGATGGAACCCAGGCCTTGCATATGCTACACAAGCACTCCACCACTGAGCGGCTTCCGCTGCCCTTCCACAGGTCTGGGGTATTTTTTGTTTGTTTGTTGGTGGCACTGGGGTTTGAACTCAGAGCCTTGCACTTGCAAAGCAGGTGCTCTACCGCTTAAGCCACACCTCCAGCCCATTTTGCTCTGGTTATTTTGGAGATGGGGTCTCAACAATTGTTTGCCCAGGCTGGCCTCAAACCTCAGTCCTCCTGATCTCGGCCTTTCAAATAACTGACCAGGTGTGGTGATGTACACCTGCAATCCCAACTACTCAGGACGCAGAATCAGGAGGATCTCGAGTTCAAGGCGAGCTGGGGCAAAGTTAGTGAAACCCTGTCTCAGAAACAAAATACAAAATAAAAGGACTGGGGGTGTGACTCAGTGGTAGACCGCTCAACTAACATGTGTGATACCCTGCGTTCCATCCTCAGTACCTCTAAGAAAAAAAGAAAAGAGGACCAAGGTCAAGAGTCACGAGTGGTGTGGCTGGAATTTGAACTTGGGCCGTCCAAAGCCAAAACTTCGGTCCGTGTTGCTGCTGTTTCCTCCCTGTGGTTACTGGTGTGAATTTTCTAGAAGAGCATAGGTTCACACATGTGCCCAGCGGGGCATAGAGCCTTCTTGGGAAGGGTCTCTTAAAAGTCACCTCATGTTCCTCTTGGGGAAGGGAATGACTGTCCACTGAACTCTCCCATTCAAAGGGACTTAAGGAATTGTGTTTTTAGCTCACCAGTTCTTGGTTTTTCCCAGGCATGGGGAGAGCTCTGGGGAGGCCCCTCCCTGAAGGCCTGGTGGGCTGGGGGGAATCCCCCAGTTCTGAAAAGTGGCCAACTGTCCTGGTTGGCTCAGGACTGTCTCCATGCTAGCATGGAAATTCCCGTGTCGGGGAACCCCCTAGGCAGTGGCTTACCAGCCCTGAGGCCTCCCTGCTGAATCCTGGCCAGGTCTATGATGCAGAAGTTCTGTACAGGCCTCAGGCCCTGGGGGCGAGACATGGGCCTTTCTAGAAGCCTTCCCCCTTCTCTTCACTGGGAAATGGAGGTTGGGGAGCATGGGTCCCACTTTAGAGAACCTGTGGAGGGCAAGGGGTGCAGCTCAGTAGTAGAGTATTTGTCTAGCACGGGCAAAGCCAGGGACAATCCCCAGCATGGAGGAGAAAAGGAAAAGAAAGCAAAAGGAAGGAAAGGAAGGAGAGAAAGAAGGAAAGAAAGAGAAAGACAGAAAGAAAGAAAAGAAAGAAAGAAAGCGAGCCCTAGGTTTAGTAGATGCCTGCCCTGGCCAGCCCCCGCCTGGGAAGTGGAGAACTATGGTTTATTAATACTGGGTTTATTACCATTATTATTATTATGAGTCACCTCTGACATTTCCTGCAGGTCCCTTTGGAGTGGGGGATACCAGATCCCAGGCCCACCAGGCACTCTATAATCCAGTGTCCAAAACCTGGTTGAGGACCCAGCTGCCTGTTGGATTTGGCACTCTCAGCTTCCTGCTACTGAGCCCCTGGCAGGGGACCAGCAACAGCAGAGGAAGCCCAGCCGGAAGGCCACGGCCAGCCCTTCCTGAACACGAAGTGGCCTGGCCTCCTTGCTTCTGTTCATTCATTCGCCCATGTGCTACTGGGGGCAGGCACAATTCCAGAGGCTGAGCTGAGAGGAAATCCAGACCCTCCCTCCATCCCTCCCTCCTGGGGCTGACTTTCTAGAACAGAAGCATGGGGCTCAGACAAACTTCGAGGGAAATGTCAGATTGCAGATAACAGAAAAAAAAATATACAGCAAGCCAGAGGAACAGAGAGATGAATTTGCTGATTCAAAACCAGAAGCTGATATGAAACAGTGAGGGTTTAGTTTCTTGGCCTGGAAGCTTGAATGTTTATTACTTTAAAATTTGGGGGACTTCCGTACTTACAGTACTGGGGTTGAACTCAGGGCTTTGCACTTGCTAGGCAGGTACTCTACCACTTGAGTCATATCCACAGCCCTTTTTCCTTTAGTTTAAAATAGGGTCTCTCGATTTTGCCCAGCTGGCCTCAGACCACATGGCTACAGGCACATGCCACCACATCCAGCTTATTGGTTGAGATGGGGTCTCAAGAACTTTTTTCCCAAGCTGGCATGGAACCACAATCCTCTAGATTTCTACCTCCTGAGTAGCTGAGATTGCAGGCATGAGCCACCATACCCAGTCAAACTTACTTATTTTTTTGTGGTGCTTGGACTTGCTGTGCAAGTGCTCTACCAGTGAGCTGCACCCCCAGCCCTGACACGGTAATGTTTTTTTTTTACAGTATTGGGGTTTGAATTAGGGCTTTGTAGTTGCTAGGCAGGTGCTTTACCACTTGAGCCATGCTCCCAGCTATAGTAATTTTATTTTTTAAAGATAAGGGACATTTTAATCAGAACTCTTGCAATAGTGGTATTGAACCAAGTTCAACTTGAAACACAGCAAAGACAGCTGGGGAGCCACAGCCAAAGAGCAGGTGAGTTGGTCCGTCCAGGGCAAATTACTAACAGAAGGTATCAGGGGTAGGAGAATTCTTTCTAAAGCTAGGAACAAGACATTAAAGGTGAGGAATGAAGGATTGGATGAAAGGTAGGATGACTTAGGAGGATTCTTTGCTAAGACCAGGATGGACACCAAAGACAAAGCCCAGGCCAAAGTTGAGATCTAGTTGAAAGAGGGCCCAGACTGCCCAGTGAGGTGGCTCAGGCCTTTAATTCCAGCTCTCAGGAGGCAGACTTTGGGAGGATCTCAGTTCAAGGCCAGCCAGGGCAAAAAACTTCCTAAGACCCCATCTCAATCAATAAATTGGACATGGTGGTGAATGTCTGCAGTCTCTGCTATGTGGGGGCCATGGGTAGGAGGATGAAGTCTGAGACCTACCCAGGCAAAAACTGAGAGATCTTAGCTGAAAAATGATTAAAGCAAAAAGGGGTGGAGATGTGGCACATGTGGTAGATCACCTACCTAGCAAGTGCAAGGTCCCGAGTTCAAACCTGTTTCCAAAAGAGAGAGAGAGAGAGAGAGAGAGAAAAGCAGATTAAGGACTAACGTTTTCCGAAAGTTTGGTGAAGGAGAGCCATCACCTTGTAACAGGGCCCCAGGGATTAGCATTAATTAGGATACCTGAAGGAGATACCATTCTGGGAGTGAAAAACGTGTCACCCACAGTCCTGATGCCAAAAGATTCATCTTCCAGGAGAAACGTGATCGTGGCACAGCCCACCGCTAAATCTCCACGCACATAGTTCTTGCCTTTGGTCTCATTTTTTCTGTAAGTTGTGACACTGCTAAAAACAAAGAGGAGACAGACTAAGAATTTCTCTCTCCCCAGTTTTGTCCAAAACTAAATAAATTCATTTTCCATTTATGTCATTGCTTTCTCTTAACGTGGACAAGCTTTGGACCCAGAGCTAGGTTTTATTGCTCGGGGGTGCTCCTTGTAACAACCGCAGCCTCAGTTTTTCCCCCTGTGAAATGGGCACAATTAGAGGGCTGCTTCCAGGATCCAATGAGATAACGTGTATAAAGCACTCTGCAGAAGCCTTTGGTGGAAATGGCAGAGACTTGCCCAGCGAGGTTTAGAACTCAGATCTGGTGGCGTGTCCAACTGCTAGCTTGACAGCAAGAGGGCCTCTAAAGACAGGGCTGCAGGTGATGAGAGCCTCCTGGGCCGGGCGCGGTGGCTCACGCCTGTTATCTAGCTACTTGGGAGGCTGAGATCGGGAGGATCACGGTTCGAGGTCAGCCTGGGCGAATAGTGCTGAGACCCCCCCCCTCCGCCCCCATCTCCAAAATAAGCAGAGCAAGAGGATTGGTGGAGTGGCTCAAGCGATACGGTGCCTGCTTTGCAAGTGTGAGGCCCTGAGTTCAAACTCCAGTGCCACCACATAAATACCTGCCGGAAGAGAAAGAAACCCAGCCAGCCAAGTGGTTGGCCAGGCAGAGATACGGGAATACAGATGGGACAGGACGTAATGGGGCATCACATGGGGGCGACTGGAAGGCTGAATGGCGGCCATCTACTGCCTCCAACGTCGAGGAGAGTCCGTGAGCCTGAGCCCCACGGTCAGGATCGTAGCTGACCCAAACCACAGCCAGCCCTGGCAACCCAGGTTCTAACTGCGCTGCCCACGGTCTATTCTCTTCCGCCCCCCCTGTAGCTCACCCTCTTCCGCGTCTCCGCCCACATAGTCTCAGCCAATCACAGATGCAGAAGCGCTTCCGGGCGTCAACTCAACCAATGGCGGTTGAGACACGAGTGACGTCAAGAACCAGTCGGTGAAGCGCCATTCTGGAGAAACTGCCAATGGTTACCTACAGCGGGGGACGGGACTGCGGCCACAAGGGCATGCGCGTTGCAGTCAGCCAATGGGAAGCGCTGTCTCGTCTGCGAAGTGGCAGCGGCTCCCTGCGACGGCGGGGCGGGGTCCCGGGTTCGAGCCCGAGTTCCCCGAGAAGGGTGAGTCTGGAGGGCAGGGCGGAAGGGGGCGCGCTTGGGAAGTCATCAGGAAGGGGGCTGGAGGGACTGCAGGTGGTTGACATGAGCTGGACGGGAGCAACCGCTGCCTCCGCTAGGCTGGTCGGATGTCCCGCCAGTGCACCGCTCAATTACTGCCCGGGCCTGCCGGATTTGGAGGTTTTCGCGTGTGAAGGGGGTGCAGCGTTCCCAGGTTCAGATTTAACCCTGACTCCATCTTCAAATCTGCGCCTAAGTCTAATGGGGAGGAGGATGGAGGAAGTGAGAGTTCCCCATCCCCAGATGTGATCCCAAGCACCAGTGGATACTGATAGTGCACATTAATTAAGCGCTTACTGTATACGAGGCATTTCCAAGCCCCATGTCATTGACCCTACCCTATAGCCCTTTGAGGTGGACACTGTTACGTGCCCATTTTCCAGGTGAGAACGCAGGCTCAAATAGGAGCCCTGTCCTATAGGACCCGACGGTGTGGCATCACAACATCTCCCTCTCTCCAGGGCCTTGTCACAAATCAGTGACTTCCTGCAATCACTGCTAGACCACCCTAATGAGACTGGAGACTTGGCCTTGGTGTGGGGGGGGGGCAAGATGTACACAGCTCCCCACCCCAGGTTAAGGGAGTCATAAGAGACTGTGGTCATTCATGGGGACAGACACAGAGGATGGGAATCAGGAACTGAAAGAGAAAAGTTGTCTTGCTGCTGAAGCCAAAATAATGACTTCATTAAATTAACGAATGAGCTGGGCACTGGTGGCTCCCACCTGTAATCCCACCCAACTACTTGAGAGGCTGAAGTCAGGAAGATCACAGTTTGAGGCCAGTTGGGCAAATCGTTTGGGAGACCTCATATCCAAAATAAGCAGAGCAAAATGGACTGGAGGTGTGGCTCAAGTGGTAGAGCAAGTGCTTTGTGAGCTAGAAGCAAAAACGTAGTTGCTTGCCACAACACTCTCCAGTCCCAATCTTGATTTTCGTCACCTTTGGGTCATACTTTTTTTCCCCTGCTTCATTCAAGGTGTGTGCTGATCACCATGCAGACAAACATTGAAGCCTCTCGTCCTTCTTCCCTGGCCACCACCTCAGCACCTCTGTGCACACAGAGGCACTGAGGACCAGAATGGGTAAGTGAATGACCGCCTGAGTTGGCACAGGAAATTCCAGGACCCACCCCCAGGTGTGTTCGGTGGCAACTGCCTGCCTGGTTATTTTGGAAAGGTTGGTTAACAGTGGGGTTTTTTGGTTTTGTTTTTTTTGTGACAGGATCTCTTTATGTAGCCCAGGCTGTTCTGCCTCTGCCTCCCTAGTTCTAGGATTATAGGCGTGCACCACCAGGCCCAGCCAGAGTGAATCTTTATATTGGATTTTTATATTGGTTCAAATTTATCAAAAGAAAGGAGAGTTCAAGTGTTCAGTGGCACACACTTGTGGCCCTAGCTACTCAGGAGGCTGAGGCAAACGGATAGCTTGAACCTAGGAGTTCAAAGGCAGCTTGGGCAACAGAGTGAAACCATGTATCAAAAAAAGTAAAAGGTTTTGGTGTTATCATTTATGACAGGTGTAACAGATGGGGACCCACCCCCCCTCTGTGAGAAACTAATGTGAAACCTGAGGCACAGGGAGGGGGATCACACAGCCTGAGGGACCCCGAATCTCCCCTGGGGCCTCATCCTGGGTGGGTGCAAGGGTGAGGTGCTAAGAAGAAGTCCAGGGGGAGGCCTGGGGGCTGATGGGCTGTCCCTTCCCCAAAGGGACGTGCTGTACTGCTTAAGCCACATCTGCAACCCCAGGAGCATGCCTCTGTGTCAGTGGAAAGCCATGGCCAAGGCCCGCAAGCCCAGTGGGGTGGATGCTCAGCCCATGGCCTCCGTGGGAGGCCTGAAGGTGCTTCTGCATTGGGCTGGCCCTGATGGCGGGGAGCCCTGGGTCACCTTCAACGAGCCCTCACTGACTGCCGAGGAGATCTGCATCCGAATCGCACACAAAGTCGGTGAGTCCAGGACTTCGGCATCATGGTGAGGGTGGGAGAGCGGCAGAGCCAGTCCCCATTCAGCAAACATTGAGCACCAACTGTACGCCACCTGCAATTCTTTTCTTTTTATGGCGGTACTCAGGTTTGAAGTCAGCTTCCCACTTGCGAGGCAGGCACTTGAGCCACACCTTTAGCCCTTATTTCTCTGATTATTTTGGAGATAGGGTCTCACTTTTTCCCCAGGCTGGCCTGGACCTCATCCTCCTATTTTACACTTACAGGCACACACCGCTGTGCACAGCTATTGGTTGAGATGAAGTCTCATGACCTTTTTGCCTTGGCTGGCCTCAAATAGCGATCCTTCTGATCTCAGCCTCCCAAGTAGCTAGCATTACAGACATGAACCACTGGCACCCGGCTGAGGGGGGTTTTTTGTTTTGTTTTGTTTGTTCGTTTGTTGAAGAAGGAGTTTCGACTGACACTTAGTCCTGAGCAGAGTCGTGGAATGACCTAGGAAGCCCACAGTGGATGTTTATCGGAGTCATGGTTCTGGAGGCTGGGAAATCCCAGAGCATGGCTCTGCTGTCTGGTGGTGGCTTCTTGCTTTACCACATGGTTGAGTGTGTCCCATGTGAGACAGAGTGTAGCGGCAGCTTAGGTTTCTTGTTTCTTTTTTCTTTGCTTTTCTTTGCGGTATTGGGGCTTGAACTAAGGGCCTTCATCTTGAGCCATTCTACCAGCCCCTTTTCTGTGATGGGTTTTTTGAGATAAGGTCTCTTGAACTGTTTGCCCCAGCTGGCTTTGAACTGCAATCCTCCTGATCTCTGCCTCCTGAGTAGCTAGGATTACAGGCGTGAGCCACCGGCGCCTGGCTTCTTCTGTTTCTTATAAAGCCACTAGTACTGTCATAGGGTCCCGCCCTCATGACCTCATCTGACTCTAATCACCTCTAAAAGGTCCCACCTCCACATTTATGTCTCTGGAGATTACGTTTCCTACACAGGAACTTTTGAGGGGTGTGACAGCAACCTGGCTGTGACATCTGCCACCTATTGATTTTCAGGGTTGATTTGACTCATCTGGCTAGCCGGGTGGTGCCTCCTTTCTCCTTTACTCCTCCATGTTTGTCTCCCTTGCAGTTCACACTAGGGGGAACGACATCCTTCCTCTTTCTCCCTAGAGGAGGACTGTTCTTGGGTTAAGGGTGTATGAGGAGGCGTCCCCTGCTGGATCGTGTAAACAAGCTGTCACACAAAGCGTGGGTGACAGAACATGTGCCCAGCAAAAAGAACAAGGTCTTTAGAGGTCCAGAGAGCTTGATGTGCTTGTGGAAGGAAAAGACGTGCAGGGTGCCGATTCTAAGAACTGGGAGGGAAGTAGGAATTGAAACCAGAGTGTGACGGCAGAAGCCAGGCCATGGTTAGTCAGTGCTGAGGGGCTGGGCTTTCTTGGGAGACAGTGGGGAGTCATGGAAAGTTTAACTCAGAAAGCAGTGCAGTTTTACTGGTGCTTTAGGAAGCTGTCTCACAAAGAAGACAGCCTCGTTTTCTTCTCAGCAGGTCATTATAATTAGATGTGGAAACTTTGGAGAGCAATCTGATGTCATCTAACATGTTGAAACATATGTTCCCTGAGGCCATATAGTTTCATTTCTGGATGTCCACCCTACAAACATGCAACTCATGCATTCCAGGAGACCCACGTGAGAACTTTAGAGCTGCTTCATGTGTGAGAATGAAACACAGGAGACTATCATAAAGTCCCTCAACCAGAGAATACACAAGTAAATTGCAGTATGTTTGAACAATGGAATACTATGCAACCTGGACAAGGGAGTTTAACCAAAGCTGATATACCATACTCTATTTGCTTTGTTTTATTATTATTATTTTTTTTAGGGCTGGGGATGAAATCCAGGCCCAGCATATGCTAGGCCTGAGCCTACCCCCATCTTGAGGATTTATTTTTTATTTATTTACTTTTTTTTCTTTTTTGTATTACTGGGGATTGAACTCAGGGCCCCTAATTTGTTAAGCAAGGGCTCTACCATTTGAATCAATCCCCAGGCCTTTTGCTTTTAGTTTGGTTTTCAGATAGTCTCATGCAACCTTTGCCTGGGCTGACCTTGAACCCTGATCCTCTTACCTTTGCTGCCTGAGTAGCTGGAATTATAGGTGTGTGACACCATGCCTGGCCCTTCAGCTTTCTTATTTGTTTGTTTATTTTGGTGGGACTGGAGTTTGAACTCAGGGCCTTACACTTGCCAGGCAGATACTCTACCACTTGAGCCCCTCCCCCAGCCCAAGAAGCTTTCTGTTTTGTATTTTTCTTTTTCTGCAGTGTTGGGGCTGGGACCCAGGTCCTCATGCATTCTAGGCAAGTGCTTCTCCACTGAGCCATACTCTCTGTCCCTCTATACAAAGCTCCAAAACCTGTCACGTAAAGAGAAAGCCCATCACAAAAGGCCACCTGGTATAATACCACACATTTAAAGTTTCTAACATTGCAGATTGGATCACAGAGGACATGAAGATGATAAACTTGGTTCAAGTTTATGGTTACCTCTGCAGGAAGATGGATTTATGTAAGGACTTGAACTATACTTGTTTTTTTGATGGGACTGGAGTTTGAACTCAGGGCTTCATGCTTGAGCCACACCTCCAGTCCATTTTGTGCTGGTTATTTTGGAGATGGGGCCTTGTGGACTCTTTGCCTGGGCTAGCTTCAAACTGCAATCGCAAATAGCTAGGATTACAGGTGTGAGCCACCAGTGCCCAGCTAGATTTTATTTCTCCATCTTGTGGGTGGCACATAAGTGATTATAAGTATTCTGAGTTTTTAAAATAAAAATTAGCGTATATACACAAAGTTGGGTGGCTAGTGAGAGTAAGTCCAGAGACAAGGGCTGGGATCTGGATTTGGAGGAGATTCTGTTAGGTCAGCCTTCTATCACTAAAATAAATGTCTAAGACAGTGAATTGGAAAAGGTCTCTTTTGGCTGACAATTTGGGAGGTTCTCATCCATAACTTGTTGGCCATGTTGTTCTGGACCTGTGGCGAGACAGCACATCACAGAGCTTGTGGTGGCGCAGAACCACTCGCCACGTAGTGAAGACGCAGAGAGAAAGGAGAGGACCAGGGTCTCAAAAGCCCCTTGGCATCCCACCTCCAATGACCTAGAGACTTCCCACTAGGTCCCACCTCTTAAAGGTTCCACCCCCCCCGCCCTGCCCAAGTAGCACCACCCTGGGGATCAAGTCTTTAACACACAGGCCTTTGGGAGATGTTTAAGATCCAAACTGTAGCTAAAGTGGATTGATTTTGGAGAGATTAAGATGTAGAAAGAGCAGGAATTTGAGGCTGATGGGGTGTGGAGGGCATGTGGGAAGTTCTGGTTTGAAGAAGTAGTCAGAGGAAGCACAGGTTTGGGGACCATGAATGAAATCTGTTTGGAGCAAGGCACATCGAAGGGGGCCTTTGCTGTGCAGGGGAAGACAGCAGGAGGTAGGTGGATATTTGTGAGGGGCTGGATATACCAGGCAAATTGCTAGCAGTTTCTAGAATCGTGTTTGTTTTGGATGTGTTTTCCTGCTATAATAAGCAACCCCCCTGAGTATTCCTGGATTAAGAAAATGAAGTTTACCTAAAATCAAATGCAGATTGGTTTGAATGTGGTGATATCCGTCTGTAATCTCAGCACTTGGGAGGCTGAGGTAGGAGGATTCTGAGTTGAAGGTCATCCTGGGCTTCATCACAAGACCCTGTCTCAGAAAACAAAGATGGCACAGAGTGGCTCAAGTGGTAGAGCACCTGCCTAGCAAGCGTAATGCCTTGAGTTCAAACCCTAGTACTGCAAAGCAAGCAAACAAAAAGCCAAATCCCCCCAAAAACAAGCAGGTCATATGGTCATCTCCATCTTATAGGGGCCTTCAACAAATCCCCGGGCAGGGGAAGATGGCAGGAAGAATTATTTCCAGGCTCAGGGATGTGCCCAAACTTCTGTCCACATACCATTGGCCAGGGGACCCCTTCAGTCCCCCCATCCTAGGTGCAAGGGAGGTTGGGAAATGTAGTTCTCTTGTGAGGCCATGGGCTGGTACACATATTGCCCATGTGCACCAGGAGACAAGCTGTAGACAAGTGAGGAGACCCAAGGAGGGAAGGTGAAGGGGGACAGCAGGTCTTGGGTCCCCAGATGGGGGACCTGATGGCAGCAGGTGACATGGCTCTTGACCTCATCCCTTCCGTTGCAGGGATCACGCCACCCTGCTTCAATCTCTTCGCCCTCTTTGATGCCCACACCCAAGTATGGCTGCCCCCAAACCACATCCTAGATGTGTCCAGAGACACAGGCCTGATGCTGTATTTCCGCATGAGGTGGGTGTAGCCCCCTTGGAAGGTTCTGTCCCATTTTGTTCTGGAGCAGGTGTGAGCCTCTGAGAGGTCCTAGCTGCACCCCTTCCCTTCCTGCAGGTTCTATTTCCGGAACTGGCACGGCATGAGTCTCCAGGAGCCAGCTGTGTACCGCTGTGGGTTTCCGGGGACCGAACCATCCTCAGATCGGGCAGAGCAGGGGGTACAGCTCTTGGACTCAGCTGCGTTTGAGTATCTCTTTGAGCAGGTATGAGCAGGGGTGGGGAGGGGAGGCCATTGTGGGGGTCTCAGGAACCCCCACTTCCCTCTCCAAGTCAATATAGCTAGTACATTTCAACTCATGCCATCTGAGATCTTTTGCTGCTTGAACCAAAAGACCTAGGTGTGGTTTGATCCCAGCACTGGGGAGGCTGAGGCAGGAGGATTGTGGATCTGAGGCCAGCCCAGGCTATATAGCAAGACTCTGTCTTAAGAGACTAAAAACAAAGCAGAAAAAAAAAAGAGTTTGGTTGAATGAGAATGAGTGCTGGGGTTGATTGGTGATGTCTGCCACAGGCACAGGATGGACAGAGGAGGTTTGTAAGCTATGTATTTGGTCTTTCATGAAAATGATGATGTCTTCCTCCAGAAGGTGCGAAGAAGCAGGGAACTAGAGTTCTCTGGCTCAAAAGGAAAGATTCTCACACCTCCCTTTCTACCCGCTTCTCCCACCCCCAGGGCAAGCATGAGTTTGTGAATGATGTGGTGTCCCTGTGGGACCTGTCCAGCGAGGAAGAGATCCACCATTTTAAGAACGAGAGCCTGGGCATGGCCTTTCTCCACCTGTGCCACCTTGCTCTGTGCCGCGGTGTCCCCCTGGAGGAGGTGGCCAGGGAGATCAGGTGTCTGGGGATGGAGTGGGGTCACTGAGCAGGTGGGGAATGCCCTTCACATCAGGTGGCTGGGGTGGCCCTTGCATATTGCCTCAGCTTAATTCATTCAGCAAACATTTATTGAGCACCTGCTGTGTACAGACTCAAGCTGTAGGCGTTGTTGCTATAACAGCAAATGGACAAAACTCCCCAGCCATCTCTTTGCATTGGCCCTAAAAGTGAGCACTTTTGGTCCCATTTCACATACGAATCTTTAACAGAAACAAAAAACAGACCCCTACATCCATACTTTTTTTTTTTTTTTTGAGACAAGGTCTCACTATGTAGTCTAGGCTTGCCTCAAACTCTCAGTCTCCAGTGCTGGGATTACAGAAGTGCACCTGCACACTCGGCCTAAAAGAAAGTCCTGTTAGGTTTCCAGAAACTGCCTAAGAGCTGAAATTTCAGCCCCATCAGGGATTCTGGTGATCTGTGCCCTGGACCCCCACTGCACCCCACTTCCCTGGGCTGTTCTTTTATAGGGTTCTTTCTTTTCCCCCTTATAGTGAGACTCAGAGAGGTTAAACCACTAATCCCAAGTCACCCAGCCAGGCCTGCCACCCAAGCTCCTGACCCCGCCATGTCCCTGTCCGCGCCCCCCCCCTTCTAGCTTCAAGAACTGCATCCCGCGCTCCTTCCGCCAGCAGATCCGCCAGCACAACGCGCTGACCCGGCTGCGCCTGCGCACTGTCTTCCGCAAGTTCCTGCGGGCTTTCCAGCCGGGCCAGCTGTCTCAGCAGGTGGTCATGGTCAAGTACCTGGCCACCCTCGAGCGCCTGGCGCCCCGCTTCGGCACTGAACGCGTACCCGTGTGTCACCTGGAGCTACTGGCCCAGGCTGAGGCAGAGCCCTGCTATATCCAAGACAGAGGGCAGGGCCCTGTGGACCCCAGCCCCGAATCGGCCACCGGGCCCCCCACCCACGAGGTGCTGGTGACTGGTGTCGGTGGCATCCAGTGGCGGCCAGTACAGGCTGAGGTGAGCAGGGTGTCTCTTCCACACTGGGGGGAGGCGAGCCTAAAGTAGGGTCACCACTCACCCTTGGCCTTGGGATGCAAAGGGTGGCCATGATGGCCCTTTCCTCACCTCTGAGGAGTCTCCTGTGTCTATTTCTTGGAGAGTGTCCTCTGTAAGGCCCCTGGGGACCTGATGTCTAGGGTCTGTACGGCCCGCCCCCCCCCTCCCGTTTTTTTGGTTTTTTGTTTTTTCAGTACTGGGGCCAGCCCTTTTTTGTGATGGGTATTTTTAGGAGTGGGACTCATGAACTATTTGCCTGGGCTGGCTTGGAACCATGATCCTCCTGATCTCTGCCTCCTGAGTACCTAGATCAGGAGTTCTTGAGCCCAAGAGTTCAAGGCCAGCCTGGGCAATATGGCGACACCCTGTCTGAAACAAAGTGAATACATAAAATAACATGCCTTGCCTTGCTCTGTCCCTCATCCCACTCACTGGGTTTGTAGGATTCCAAGGGTGGCAGCAGCAGCAGCAGGAACCCCATGCCCACTCTGTCCAGGAAGAAACCCAAGGCCCATGAGGAGGGTAAGCAGCTGGTGGACAGGCCTCGGGAACCACCGTGGACCTACTTCTGTGACTTCCAGGACATCTCTCACGTGGTGCTGAAAGAGTGCCATGTCAGTATCCACCTACAGGACAACCAGTGCCTGGTAAAGTTCGGGCTCCTGCAGCCATCTGGGTGGGTGGGGATGGCTCTGGCCTACAGCACGTCCCTGACGTCCTCTCGGCCCGCAGGAGCTGAGCCTGCCTTCCCGTGCTATGGCCCTGTCCTTTGTGGCACTGCTGGATGGCTACTTCCGCTTGACCGCTGACTCTAGCCACTACCTGTGCCACGAGGTGGCACCGCCACGGCTGGTGATGAGTATCCAGGATGGTGTCCATGGACCTCTGCTGTGAGTGCCCGGAGCGGGAGGACTGGCAATGAGCCCAAGACTCTGAACTCCGCAGGCTGTGCGGTGTGTGCATGTGTGTGTGCACTTATGCATATGTGTGTGCACATGTGAGCTCATGTGTGCCTCTGTCCATTGTGTGTGCATGTTAGTGCACGCCTGCTTGCCTTTGTGAGCATGCATGTGCATGCTTCCAAAATGTGTGCCTTTGTGTCAGTGTGTGTGCAGATACACGTGTGCAAATGGACACAGTGCACACGTGGGTGCACATACAATGTGTACAAGTGTGCACATCCATGCACTATGTGTGTACACGTGCGCACATGGACACACAATGTGTGTTTGCCTGTGTGTCAGTGCATGTACGCATGTGCATGCATGCTCAGTGCATGTATACATGTATACTGTGTGCATTTGTGTGTGCAGTGCAGGACATGCATGAGCACACGTGTGCACATGTCCAGTGTCCTGAATGTGTGTGCATATGTGTGCGTGCATGTGTGTGCGGGATTGCGTGGCAAGTGTGGGTACCTGGGCTAGGAGGGCCACGTCTGGATGTAGGTTGTGTGGCTGTGTCACTGCTCCAGTGACTTGTGTGTGAGATGGCCATCACCTATCAAATTGTCAGATTGTATAAAACAGGCGGTTTTCATGGGATGGCATGGCTTACCAGCTCCAGTGGCCATTAGGCCTGTTGGTACTTGTACCTGGGCAGATGTGTGGAACTCTGCAGGTCCCTGTCTAAAGAATTCTGCCTGTGACATGCAGCACTGAGTTTGGGAAGTGTCAGTCCCATGTGCTCATCAGGCGTGCATCTGTGTGGGGTGAGGTCATGGTTTGTGACTTATCTGGTCATTGACCTTGTGTCTTGCTTTCCCTTATCCTTCCTGTGACACTGGGCCTTAGCACCCGGGGGGGTGGCTGCAGAGGTCTGACCTATCTGGGACTTGGCCCTCCCCCAGGGTAAGCTGAAGTGGCCATTTCACCTCTGAGGGCAGTGGCTCTGCCCGCCATCCGACCCAGGTGTGTGCCACCATCTGTGTGCATGAGCCATATTAGTGTGTCAGGTACTTTGTGTGCAGCTTTCTGGGCCTGTGTATCTAGCACTTTGTAGTGCCCATTTGTCATCTCTGGGTCTGGGATGTCAGGTTCCTATATTAGTCCATTTTTCATTGCTATAACAAAACACCTGGGGCTACATGCTTATAAAGAACAGAGGCTCGTCAGGCTTGGTGGTACGTGCCTGTAATCCCAGCACCTGAGAAGTGGAGGCAGGAGGATTGAGAGTTTGAGGCCAACCTGGACTACATAGCAAGACTGTCACCAAAAACACTAGCCAGCTAAACAAACAAAACAGGCCTGGGGATGTAGCTCAGTGGTAGCGTACTTGTGTAATAGGTGTGAGGCCCCGGGAAAGAAGAAAGGAGAGGAGAAGGAAGGGAAGGGAAGGGGAGGGGAAAGGATAGGTGAAAAGAAGTTTATTTTATTTTTTTGGTGGTACTGGGGTTTGAACTCAGGGCCCCACACTTGCTAGGCACGTGCTCCACCATTTGAGCCATTCTTCCAGCCCTTTTTTTGTGCTAGATATTTTCAAGATAGGATCTCATGAACTATTTGCCTGGGGCTGTCCTTGAATGCAATCCTCCTGATCTCTGCCTCTTGAGTAACTAGGATTACCGGCATGAGCCACCAGTGCCCAGCAAAACACGGTTTATTTTTTGGCTCACAGGTCTGGGTCTTAGGTTGAGGGCCACATCTGGTGGCGGCCTTGCTGGTAAAGTCCTGAGGCAGCACAGGTATCACGTGGCAAAAAGACAGGAGCAGGGGAGTGCATCTCATCTGGTCTCTCTCTCGTTACGTTTTTTTTCATGTCAGAAGGGTAGCGTGCCCACCTTGTAACAAGGTTTGAGGGTGGCGCATGTCACACAACGGCATGAACACCCAATCATCACGCTGTGGGCCAAAAAAGGATCACTTCTTTTTATTTTTATTTTTCAGTGCTGGGATGGAACTCAGGGTCTCACACATACTAAGAAAGCACTCTACCAAGAAGCTACATCCCCAGCTTTCCCTCTTGTTGTAAGCCATCAGGATTTGATCTTTGGGGTTCCACCCTGAATCAGTCAGCTTTGTTACTGTAACAAAATACCTGAGGTAATCAATTTATAAGAGAAAAGGTCAGTTTTGGCTGACAGTTTTGGGTTTCAGTCCGTGATCACTTGGCCTGTTTGCTTTGGCCCTGTGGCAAGGCAGAAATGCCTAGCAGACTCACCTCATGGCTAGGGAAACAGCAAAAGGGAGGAAAAGACTGGGGTCCCATAGTCCGCTTAGAGGGCACTGCCCCAGACCTAAAAACCTCCTGTGTAGCCCTACTTTTGTGTGTGTGTGTGTGTACTGGAGTTTGAACTCAGGGACTCGTGCTTGCTGTGCAGGTGCTCTACCACTTGAGTGCCCCCAACTCTTAAAGGTTCTGCCACCTCCCAACAGCATCAAGCAGGGAAGCAAGTCTTTAACACATGGGCCTTTGGGAGGCATTCAGGATCTAAACCATAGCACAACACGACAAGTTTATCCTATACTAGTCCCTCAAAGGTCCCACCCCTACGCACTATGTTCAGATCGAGTTTCCACCCCTAAAACCTCACCATGGGGTTAGACTCCAGCTTCAGAGTTTAGAAGTTTTAGTCTATTAGAGCCATATTCAAACCACATGCAATCAGTGATCCCACCTACTCAGGAGGCAGAGAGAGGAGGATTATGGTCTGAGGCCGGCCCCTGGCAAAAGCACAAGGCCCTATCTGGAAAACTACTGAAGCAAAAATGGCTGTGGGTGTGGCTCAGTGGTAGAGAACTTGCATAGCAAGTATGAGGCCCTGAGTTCAGACCCCAGTATAGCTTCCCACCCCGCCAAAGAAACACCTACACTGTCAAACCAGAGCAGCTCCATGTGGCCCTGTTACCTTGGGCAAGTAGAAATATCTGTGATTGTCCTTTGGGTATGAATGGAATGGGTGTGCACCCATCTGGCGTTTCATGGCTGTTTTTTTGTCTCTGTGTCACCCGTTCAGTGGCTGTATTTGGTGTCATGGATACCTGAGTGCCTATTCTCCCTCTTGTGTGTCATGTCAGTGGTCATGTGTTATCCCGTGTGGGTGTGTCACGTGAATGGCTGACTTTTTTCTGGGGTAGCATTGGTGTTCAAACACAGTCTTGCTTTGTAGCCCAGGCTAGCCTCAAACTCACTATGTAGCCCAGGCTGGCCTCCAACTCTCAGTCCTCCTGCTTCAGTTTCCTGAGTGTTGGGATTACAGGCATGAGCCACCACGCCTGGCTTCTGTCTCTTCTTTCCTCCTTTCCTTTCCCTTTCTCTTTCCTTTTCCTTCCCTTTCCCTTTCCGTTTCCCTTTCCTTTCCTTCTCTTTCCCTTTCCCTTGCCCTTTCCCTTCCCCTTTCCCCTTTCTCTTTCCCTTTCCTTTCCCTTTCCCTTTCCTATTTCCTTTCCCTTTCCCTTTCCTCTCATTTCCCTTTCCCTTTCCCCTTTCCTCTTTCCTTTCCCTTTTCTGTGGTACTGAGGAGTGAATTTAGGGCCTTGCTAGGCAGATGCTCTAGCACTTAAGCCCTGCCCCCAGTCCCTGCTGCTTTCTGTCTCTCTGTTCTGGTGTGGGCTGGCCTAACATGCCCTCTTGTCCCCCTCCCAGGGATCCGTTTGTGCAGGCCAAGCTCCGAACTGAGGATGGCCTCTACCTCATCCACTGGAGCACCAGTCACCCCCACCGCCTCATCCTCTCAGTGGCCCAGCGGAACCTGGTGGGCCTGGGGCTGGGGGGGTCCCTGGACTGGAACTGGGGGGTCTCCCTGCCCTGATCCCTGCTCACTGCCCCTTCCCCCCATCCCAGGCACCCAGCACGCAGAGCTTGCGCCTCAGGAAGTTCCCCATCACGCAGCAGGCCGGGGCCTTCGTGCTGGAGGGCTGGGGCCGCTCCTTTGCCAGCGTGCAGGAGCTGCGGGTTGCCTTGCAAGGCTGCTCTCTGCGGGCTGGGGACGACTGCTTCTCCCTGCGCCGCTGCTGCCTGCCCCGGCCGGGAGGTAGTGACGATGATGGGGACCATGGGGTGGGCATGGGATCACTCCCCGGTGCCAGCCCATGTTAGCGACTTCATTTCTGCCCCTAGAAATCTCCAACCTTATCATCGTGCGGGGGTCTCGGACCAGCACCAAGCCACTGAATCTCAGCCAGCTCAGCTTCCACAGGGTGCACCAGGATGAAATCACCCAGGTGGGCGTGGCCTCTGGGTGGGCGTGGCCACACGAGATTGCTCAGGTGGATGTGGCCTGGGCGGGCGGGGCCACCAAGGTGAGACACCCAGGTGGTGTGGCCCTGGTGGGCAGGGCTTGAGCAGAGGGCAGGGCCCCTGAGGACATGGTGGCTGGTGTTTTAGGTCAGCTGCCAGCTGGCCTTACAATGCTGTTCTGTGTCATTTTCCACAGCTATCGCATTTGGGCCAGGGTACAAGGACCAATGTGTATGAGGGTCTCCTGCGAGTAGGGGGCCCTGAGGAAGGACAAGCAGACAGCGGGGCCCCAGAACCTGCTGGGGGCCGTGTGCAGGAGCTACGTGTGGTGCTTAAAGTACTGGATCCCAGTCACCACGACATCGCCCTGGTGAGTGAGCAGGACTGGCCCTAGCATGCCTGTGGAGTGGGGACAGGACAGGAGGGGTGGGCTTGTCAGCCCCCTGACGTGCCCGGTCCCCACAGGCCTTCTACGAAACAGCCAGCCTCATGAGCCAGGTCTCCCACGCGCACCTGGCCTTCGTGCATGGCGTCTGTGTGCGCGGCTCTGAGAGTGAGTGGGCCCCATCCATACTTAACCTGACTTTTGTAGACAGACCACCCCCGCCCACCCCCCCCTGCCGCTGCCTTATACCATTCCCAAGCTGTACATCGACTCCCTTTTTTTTTTGTGGTACTGGGGACAGAACCCAGTTTTTGTACATAGTTGGCAATTGCTCTACCACTGAGCTGCACCCCAGCCCATGACTACTTCTCGGGTCTCACTGTACCCCAATCCCAGGCTATACCTTGATCTTCATCCTGTACCCCATCCTAACTATATGCTTAATCCATTACATCCTAACCCCAGATTACACTTGGGCCCTCACCTGTACGCTGACTCTCCACCTACAACCTATTCCTGACTACATCTCAGTCTCCTCCCACCCCAACCCCTTCTGCACCCCAGGCCAGGTCGACACTCCTACCCCATCAGCACTGTTGTGTTCCCATCCTTCTAGACCTCAGTCATAGTCTAGTCAACCTACTTCAAGCCCTCATACCACCTGCACCCTCTGCTGCAAGTTCACATACACAATGACCCCAGCTCCACCCCTACCTCCGCCCCAAGGGCCTGTTCCTCTCTGTTGCTTCTCTGACCTGCCTCCTCTGTCCATTTGCCTGACTGCCCTGCTATCCTGTCATCACTTATGCCCCACCTTGTCCACATCCACCTCCTCTGTGCCCCACCCACCTGGGCCCCAGTGCCCCTTCCCCTCTGCCACACTCTCCCCTCCATCCGACATTCCTTCTAACCCCAGACTGTCTCCCCAACCCAACCTAGTCCCTCTGCCCCATGCCTTTCTTCCCCAGCCCTAGCTCAGCCCCCAAGTCCTGTCCCTGGTCCCTGGAGGTGGGAAGGCGGGAAGCAGGGGGCGGCCCTTGGAGCAGATGGTTCTTTGCAGATATCATGGTGACAGAGTATGTGGAGCACGGGCCCCTGGATGTGTGGCTGCGGCGAGAGAGAGGCCATGTGCTCATGACGTGGAAGGTAGCAGTGGCCCAACAGCTGGCCAGTGCCCTCAGCTACCTGGTGCGTGGGCTGTGGGTGGCACAGTGTCATTGAGGGAGGCCAGGCAGCCTGGGCAGTAAGGCAAAGGCAGGACACAGCCCTCAATCCCCACACTGGTTTTGGGAGATCTGGCCTGGGAGCTCATACATCTTGCTCCACCGCCTGCTGTCACAAGCCTGTGGCCTGGCCTTGGCAACCTCTGATGTTCTCTCTGGTCTTTCATCCCCCATCTCCCTCTAATCCAATCATCCCAGTCTCCAGAGCGCCCCCTTCACCCACTCACTCAGTGTTTGTTGGGTACCCTCTGTGTGCCAGGCCCTGTCCTATGCCCTGAGGATACAATAGCAACAAAGAACCTATGTCCCTGTCCTCGGGGAACTGGCATTTTAGGAGGAAGAGAAAAGGGTAGTACATCATCCCTTGATACCCTGGGGAACTGATTCCAGGATTCTGGAGGATGGCAAATACGAGGACGGTAAAGGCCCTTCTGTAAAGTGGACATCAGGCCAGATGGGGTTAGGCACGGTGGTTCATTTCTGTAATTTCAACTACTCAGGAGGTGGAGGTAGGAGGATCAGAGTCTGCAGGCCAAGGCCCAGACAAAAGCATGAAACCCTATCAAAAATATCTAAAGCAACAGGGGCTGGAGGTGTGGCTCAACTGGTAGAGTGCCTGCCTTGCAAGTGCATGGCCTTCAGTTCAAACCCCAGTGCCACCAAAAGAAAAAAGAAAAAGGTATAGCGTTTGCGTAAAACTTGTGCACATCCTCCTGTGGACTTTTTTTTTGTTCTTTCTCTCTGCTTCCCTCCCCTCCTCTTTCTTCCTCTGCCTTCCCCTTACCTCCCCTGCTCTCTTTCCTTCAACATGTAGCCCATGTAGTCATGGCTGGCCTTGAACTGGAGGTCCTCCAGCCTCAGCCTTCCAAGTACTGGGATTAAAAGCATGCACCACTAATCCTCCTGTTAACATTAAGTCATCTCTAGATAACAAGCTCTTAATATAGTGGACATGCTATGAAAATAGTTACGCTAAATTGCTTAGGGAATAATCACATGAAAAATATCTATACATATTCAGTACAGACACAGCCATTATGGGCCCAACTATGTTTTTGATCTATGGTTGAATATACAAATGCAAAATCCCCAGATAGAGGGCTGCCTGTAATTAACTAGGTAGCATAATAGATTGGAAACATAAGACTGGGGGCAAAAGCTGGGTAGAGTTAAGGGGTTGCTACAAGTAGGCAATGAGGTGAAATTGTATATAGGTGGGTTGGTGCCAGGTGTGGTGGTGAATGCCTATAATCCCAGCACTCAGGAGATTAAGGCAGGAGGATCAAAAGTCCCAGGCCAGCCTGGGCTATGTAGTGAGACCATAGATAGATAGACAGATAGACAGATAGATAGACAGACAGATAGGGTTGGGGAAGGCCTTACTAAGGCCACCTGAGGGAAGTGGCAGAGGGAGCAGTGAGGACACTTGAGGGAAGAGAATTTCAGGCAGAGGGAATGGCCAGTGCCAAGGCACTGAGGCAGGAGTGTGGCTGACATGCTTATGAGGATAGCAATGGTGTCTTCTGGCCTTTCGTCCCTGGCCAAGAGCCTTGGCTCCCAGTTATACCTGGTTTCGATGACAATGTCTTGGCATCCCAGTAATGGCCACAGTTGCCTTTTCCCCATGGAGACCTTGTGGGAGAGGGGTTGGGAGCAGAGTTTGTTTCCTACCCTGGTGGTCAGGCCCCTCTTCTTGTCTCCCACCCCAGGAGGATAAGAACCTGGTTCATGGTAACGTGTGTGGCCGTAACATCCTGCTGGCTCGCCCGGGGCTGGCGGAGGGCACCAGCCCATTTATCAAGCTGAGTGACCCTGGCGTGGGTCTGGGCGCCCTCTCCAGGGAAGGTGAGGACCCAAGTGGGGCTGGGCACAGGGTCGGGCTTCCCCTGCTCCTTCCACCCTTGGTGACCTCTCTGACTACGGCTCTCAGAGCGGGTGGAACACATCCCCTGGACGGCTCCTGAGTGCCTGCCTGGTGGGAACAACAGCCTGAGCACCGCTGCTGATAAGTGGGGCTTTGGCGCCACCCTCCTTGAAATCTGCTTTGATGGGGAGGCCCCTCTGCAGGGCCGTGGCCCCTCTGAGGTACGTCCAGGGGATCCCTGGGCCTCCAACTATGAGGGTTCATTCAGTAATGAACCCCTTTGAAGGTCATCGTGGAAATCAGTACTGCTCAACACACACAAAATAAGCAGCCAATGTGCTTTAGAGCAGAGATGGAGGAAGGGCAGGTTGGGTGTGGCAGGGGGAGGAGGGGAGAGGGGATCCCTGACCCATTTGAGGGACTGAGTAGGGCTTCCCGAATGAGGTATTATTAAGTGCAGAATTAGGTCCCAGACATGGTAGCTCATGCCTGTAATCCACTTGCGAGGCAGAAGTAGGAGGATCACAATCTGAAGCCTACCTAGGCAAAAGCAAGATACCCTATCTGAATAATAAATAAAACAAAAAAGGGCTGGGGGTGTGACTGAAGTGGTGGAGCACCTGCCTAGCAAGTGGGAGGCCTTTAGTTCAATCCCCAGTATCACCACAGCGCTCCCCCCCCAAAAAAAGTGCAGAATTAGGCCAGTGGGAAAGCCTGGAAAGGGCAGTTAGAGGGCACAGCCTGTGCAAAGGACCAGAGGCTTTTGTGTGTTCAGGTTCCTTCAGTCTTGAGAGATCAAGGCAGGGTGCAGAGGCAGTGAAAGCTAGTTCAGTGCTGAACTTGGGTCCAAGGCCTTCCAGTGTGGCCCTTTGCTGAGCTGTTGACTCCAGTGTAAAACATGAATGACGGGCAGGTACTGCCTGTGGCCCCAGGGCCTGGATGTGCTCTTGGGGCAGGGATGAATGAGATGCCACTCCCACCTGTCCCCTTCCCCACAGAAAGAGCGTTTCTACCAGAAGCAGCACCAGCTGCCTGAGCCCTCCTGCCCTGAGCTGGCCACACTCACCAGCCAGTGCCTGACCTATGAGCCCGCCCAGCGGCCATCCTTCCGCACCATCCTGCGCGACCTCACTCGGCTGCAGCCCCACAGTGAGCCCTACCCCAGTTCTGGGACCCTAGGAGATTAGGGGTGGGGTTCCTGTTGAGGCAGGCACTGTGACACTTCCCAGGTCCCTGTACAGGGGTACAGGGTGTGCATCGGTTTCTGATTCACTTAAGAGCAGCCGGGTGAAAGGGATGCTGGGGGAAAAGGGGCCAGCCTTGTGATCCCCGAGTGTGGACCAGCTGGGGAAAGGGCCAGGGTTCGGCCTCACCCACTATGGTTCTTCCAGATCTCGTGGATGTCTCTGCTGTGAACCCGGACTCACCTGCCTCAGACCCCACGGTTTTCCACAAGCGTTATTTGAAAAAGATCCGGGATCTGGGCGAGGTGAGGGCAGGGCCTGGAGAGTGGGGACTTGGCTTAGAGAGCTGGGGTGGGGCCTGGAAAGCAAGGCTGCTTAGAAGGCTGAAAAGAGACCTAGGCCCCAAAGACATCCATGGAGTGGGTGGGCCCTAGGACTTTCCACAAGGAGGATTACCAAGAGGCATGGCCTGGGAACTGGGGTTGGGCTGACCCTCCTCTGCGCTCTGGCCAGGGTCACTTTGGCAAGGTCAGCCTGTACTGCTACGACCCGACCAACGATGGCACCGGCGAGATGGTGGCGGTGAAAGCCCTGAAGGCGGGTTGCGGCCCCCAGCTCCGCTCGGGCTGGAGGCGGGAGATCGATATCCTGCGCACGCTGTACCACGAGCATATAGTCAAGTACAAGGGCTGCTGCGAGGACCAAGGTGGGCGGAGCTTGGCGTGGCTCAGTCGTGCGGGAGGGGGGGGGGCTAGGTTGTGGGCGGGGCCCCCTTAGGACCTGGCCAATTAGAATCTCAGACCCAGGGTGAGGCTGCGGCTGGGAAGACTTCTTCCCAGTAAGGGGGTGGTGCGTGCTGGGCTCAGGATGGGTGTAAGCCAGTGGCGCTTCCCTTGCGTGGGGACAGGAGGGTCCATCTCATCAAAGGACTGGGCCTAGTATGCACGGGTCTTGGTCTTGCCTGCTCACCCGGGAGGGGGCTCTGCGGGCCACATGATGGGCACCCACGGCCCTTCTCCATGACAGGCGAGAAGTCGGTACAGCTCGTCATGGAGTACGTGCCTCTGGGTAGCCTCAGAGACTACTTGCCGAGGCACAGCGTCGGGCTGGTCCAGCTGCTGCTGTTCGCCCAGCAGATCTGCGAGGTGGGCTGGCTCTGCCCTTATTTCCAGAACCTGCCACCTCCGCTTTGACCTGCCCTGAAAGGTCTTGTCCAGTCTACGCCTGCTTATTAAGCCAGGTCCTCTTGTGCTGGGACTGACTGCCCTTGGTTCTCTTGAGTCCTGCTCACCTGGCCACACCCCCTGCAGGCCCCGCCCAGTTCCCACTTGCCTAGATCCGCCCACCCTTGCTCGGGCCCCTCCTCTGCTTTCTGGCGCCTTCTTTTGCTCAGCACCCCCCCTGCCATCCTGTCTCTCTCGCCACTGGGTCCCCACAGGCTTTATTTAACCTGACTGTCCCAGCCATCCTGGTCACCGCTCCTCAGGCCCTGCTGCTGCCGCTGCTGGCCTGCCTCTGCCCCACTGATCCTGATTGTCCCTACCCCGCCCCCAGGGCATGGCCTACCTGCACGCACAGCGCTACATCCACCGAGATCTAGCTGCACGCAACGTGCTACTGGACAACGACAGGCTGGTCAAGATCGGGGACTTTGGACTAGCCAAGGCCGTGCCTGAAGGCCACGAGTACTACCGTGTGCGCGAGGACGGAGACAGCCCTGTGTTCTGGTGACTGGGGGTGGGGAGTCCGGGGGCGGGGTGCCAGGGTCACTTGGAACAAGCAGGGTGGAAGAGTCAGATGCTGGATCTCAGAGGAAGAGCCTGGGGGCGGGGCCACTTTGGCTTGGCCAAGTAGACCTTCATCCCCTTAGACTGGCACCGAAGAGTGGGATTCCTCCTGGGGCCAGATGTGCCCTTCAGTCCCTGGTGAGGGCTCCAGCCTGGTGTGCTCCCATGCCCTGAGTTCAGTCCCAAAAACTAAATGTCCCCTTTCCCCAGGTATGCCCCAGAGTGCCTGAAAGAGTGTAAGTTCTACTATGCATCTGATGTCTGGTCTTTTGGGGTAACCCTCTATGAGCTCCTGACACACTGTGACTCCAGCCAGAGCCCCCCTTCGGTAAGTGCCAGGCACATACACCCACCTTGCATTTTGCCTGGGGACCTGGCTCCCAGCCCGGTTTGGCGATGCACACCTGTAATCTTAGCTACGCAGGAGCTACTGCCAGGAGGTTCACAAGTTCAAGACCAACCCAGGCAAAAGTAGTGAGTTCTATCTCAGAAACAAAAGGTCTGGGGACAGAGCTAAAGTGGTAGAGCACCTGACTAACTAGTGTTTAGAGACAGAGACTTGGTCGTGCAGTGGAACTCTTTTGGCCTCCACTCACTATTAGCTGCCTCTGGAAAAGAGCTTGGATTGTTTAATTCATTCATTTTGGAGGTACTGGGGTTTGAACTCAGGACTTCATGCTTGCTAGACAGGCACCTTATCACTTGAGCCACACCTCTAGCCCTAATCAGTCTTGATTATGCCATAGAAATTCATCGAGCTCATAGGCCTCACCCAGGGCCAGATGACGGTGCTGAGGCTCACTGAGTTGCTGGAACGAGGAGAGAGGCTCCCCCGACCGGACAGGTGTCCCAGTGAGGTGAGGCAGTTCCCCCTAGCCCAGCCACCTTTTCCCTGTCTCCATGGTCAGTCTGTGGGGAGGGCAGTGATCACATCCCTGGTTTCTCCTTCCCTAGGTTTATCTTCTCATGAAGAACTGTTGGGAGGCAGAGGCCTCCTTCCGCCCTACCTTCCAGAACCTCATACCCATCCTCAAGATGGTTCACGACAAGTACCAAGGCCAGGCCCCCTCAGTGTTCAGCGTGTGCTGAAGTTCAAAGGCAGCTCAGCTTGGGGCCATGACCAGGCAGTACTCACAGAGGGCCTCCAGCACACACCCTAAAAGGAACTCAGCGGGGAAAGTGGCCTCACCACCCATGGGCCTTACTCCTTTCTGAAGACCCCATCGCTATGAACTGACTTCATTTCTGTGGCCATGACCCTGAGAGACCCAGGATGGGCAAAGGGCTAATCATACCCTTGAATCCTATCCTTTTGGGTTCTCCTACCTCCCACACGCAAGACCCACCATCTCCACTAGGTGGTAAGGAACTCCTGCTGGAGGTGGAGGTCTCTGGGGCCCATCTTCAGCCAGATGGGCTACCTGGGGTCTGCTCTGGGGACTGCAGCTCTAGAGCAGGACCCTTGGACAGGTAGCATTCAACTTTTTGGGGGTTTTTGTTGTTGTTTTGGTGGGACTAGGGTTTGAACTCAGGGCTTTGCACTTGCAGGTGCTCTACCGCTTGAGTCACACACACCTCCAGTCCATTTTGCTCTGGTTATTTTGGAGATGGGATCTTGAGAACTATTTGTCCAGACTGGCCTCGAACCACAATCTTTCTGATCTTAACCTCCCAAGTAGCTAGAATTATAGCTGTGAGCCACCAGCACCTGGTTTGGATTCAACTTTTAAACCTCTGCTCACCCCTAAACCAGCAGCTATGGTGAGGATGTAGCTTATCGGTAGAGCGTGTGCTTAGTGTTCAAGAGGCCCTGGGTTCCTCTCCTGCCCCCAAAACAGGCAAAGGTAAACCACCAGCTAGATCAGTTCCTGGTACATAGAAGGCGCTCAATCACTACTTGTTAAATGTACAAAGTATTTAGGGGCCACTTACCACATACATTGGACTCTGCGGGTTTTACTCTTTCCTTTCTGTGCGGCCACAGGCAAATGGCTTTGCCTCTCTGGGCCTCACTTCTGAACCTATGGGGATGGACATGTTTGCTACCTCATAGTACTAATGTAGAGTGCTGAGGAGGGGTGCGTGTACATTGCTTAGCAGAGTGATACCCAATAAGTACTTAATAAACACTCTGTGTTGTTACTCCGGTGTTTGTCAGAATGTTTTTGCTTGGCTGATAAGACTTGAGATTATGAAGTCAGATACAATTGTGAAGGCAGCAAAATAATTTCCTTCTCCATAAAGAACTTCTAAAAACAAGTGGCCAGGTTGGGTGAGCACACCTGTCATCCCAGCACTCAGGAAGCTGAGGCAGGAGGATGTCCAGCTCCAGGCCAGCCTGCACTACGTAGCCAAACAAACAAACAAACAAAAAAAACCAAAGACTAATTTTTCAGCTCTCCGGATTGGACAATTCCACACCATTCTAGTACAGTTTGATCTGTAATAAGGAAGTTCTCTCTAAATATTTTTGACTAAATCTTTTGCAGTTCCTTTTTAAGACGTTAATAATCATAGCTGGGTGAGGTGGTGCACACCTGTAATCCCAAGCCCTTGGGATGGATGCAAGAAGATCAAGAGCTCAAGGCCAACCTGGGCTACATATGGAGACCCTATCTCAAAAAACCAAAATAACCCAATAAAAATAAATTGATCTCAACTTCCTTTTTCTTTTTTGGGGGGTGGTTAAAACAGAGTCCCACTATATAGCCCAAGCTGGAACTAAAAGTCCTGCTGCCTCAGCCTTCTGAGTGCTAGGATTACAAGCATGTGCCACTGTACTTGGCTCAATAATCTTAATTTCTTAAAAGCAGTTTTAGATCCAGGTGTGATGGTGTATTCCTGTAATCCCAGACACTTGGGAAGCAGAGGCAGGAGGATCTTGAGTTCAAGACCAACCTGGGCAAAAGTAGCAGACAGATTGTCTCAAAACCCAAAAATTAGGACTGGTGGAGTAGCTCCATAGTGGTAGAACACATCCCTAGAAGCTTGGGGCCCTAAATTCAAACTTTAGTACTGTCAAAATAATAATAAGAAGAAGAAGAAGAAAAATCTCCTCCACCCCTCCCAAAAAAAAAAGGCTGAGGTGTAGCTCAGAGATAGAGCAGTTGCTTAGCATGCACAAAACCCTGGGTTGCAGCACTGGAAAAAACAAACAAACAGGCATTTAGGTTTGCAGCAAAGTTGAGTGGGAAATACAGATTTCCCACCCTGCCCCCTCCCCCATACGCACAGCCACCATCATTACCCACATCCCGCACCCAGCTGTACGCTAGACTCAGAGGACAGCATTACGACATTGTCACCCAGAGCCCACACTGACATTAGGGTTCACTTGACTGTACTGCCCATGTGTTTGGACAGATGCACAGTGACCTGTGTTCACCATTACAGTGTCACACACGGTGCTCCACCTCCTCCCTTACCCCTGGTAACCCGCACCCCAGCCTTTTCACTGTCCCCATTGTTTTGCCTTTTCCAGAATGTCCTAGGATTGGAATTACACAGTAGGTAGCCCTTTGACATTGGCTTTTTTTCAATTTGCAAAATGAATTTAAGTTTCTGCCATGTCTTCCTGTGGCTTACACAGGGCCACTGAATAATTTTGAAGCAAATACCAGACGTCATATAACTTCAACTGTAAAAACTGTAATATACAGCCCAGCGCTCACGCCTGTGATCCTAGCTACTCAGGAGGCAGAGGTCAGGAGGATCGCAGTTGGAAGCCAGCCTGGGGAAATAGTTCTCGAGACCCTATCTTGAAAAAACCACCACAAAGAAAGGGCTGGTGGAGTGGCTCAAAGTGTGGGCCCTGAGTTCAAGCCCCAATACCACAAAAAAACACCAAAAAATGATCTGCCTCAACCTCCCCAGTGCTGGGATTTACAGGCATGTACTATCATGCTGGACTCTTATTATTATTATTATTATTATTTTTGCAGTGCTGGGGATAGAAGCCAGGGCCTTGTGGATACTAGAAAGTGCTCACCCCTTGAGCTGCACTTGCAGTCTGGCCTGAAGTCTCTTCATGGTCAGGCCTCCACTTCCGTTCTTTTTTTTTCCCTTGCAACATATCTGTTGTCGCAACTGTGTTGTTTGTCCTATAATTTTACTAGAATCACATCATCTTTTAGTATCACTTAGCACATTTCTCTGTCCTCTGAACTTGACTGAATGTAGACTAGGTGTCTGATTCACTTTTGTTTTTTTGAAATTGTGCTGCTTTCATTTTGCAATATGAATTTAAGTCCTAGCAAAAACACACAAGAGTTTCTAGTTTTTCCTTTAGTAACCTGACCAGTGCAGGGGTTTTTTGTTTGTTCTGTGGTGCTAGGGATCAATTCTGGCACCTTAAGCATTCTAGGCAAGCACTCCACCATTGAGCTACACCTCCAACTTCCAGGGGTCCAGTTTTGATTTTGGGTTCTGGGGTTTTCTTGTTATTGTTGTTTTGTAGTACTGGGACTTAAACTCAGGGCCTACACCTTGAGCCACTCCACCAGCCCTTTTTTCAAGATAGGGTCTCACAAACTATTTTCCCTAGCTGGCTTCGAACCATGATCCTCCTGATCTCTGCCTCCTGAGTAGCTAGGATTATAGGCGTGAACCTCCGGCACCCAGTGGTTGTTTTTGACAGTACTAGGCTTTGAACTCAAGGCCTCCTACTTGCTAGGCAAGTATTCTACCACTTAGAACAATGTCTCCAGTTCTTTTCTTCTTTGATTTTTTTTTTTTTTTGAGTTACTGAGGTTTGAACTCGGAGTCTACATCTTGAGCCTTTTCTGGGCTCACGCTTATAATCCTAGCTACTCAGCAGGCAGAGATCAGGAGAATTGTGATTCACAGCCAGCCTTTATCTCAAAAACACCCAATCCAGAAGAAAGGACTGGTGGAGTGGCTCAAGTGGCTCAGAGCCTGCCTAGCAAGCATGAAGTCCTGAGTTCAAGCACAAGGAAAAAGATTAGAGGTCCAGGAGGCAGTTAAGAGGACAGAGATGGGGTACATAGTGGGCAGTATCCACCTGGCCCCCCATCCCTTCTCTCAAAGTGAAGAGACCTGCTTCCTGGAGGCAGTCAAGTGGGGTTCTCCCAATTCCTCCAAGGCAAAATACCCTGCAGGAGCCACTCAGTGGTCAGCAGAGAGCCTGGCACACAAGGTCAGTAAATTCGGGCCCTGCTCATTTTCATCACTCTAAAGGTGCCTTCATTATCACCCCAAATCTTTTACTTGTACCTCAGGAATGTCAAGATCTCACATAAACCCCTTGAAGCTATGCCTACCACTCCATTATTGCCCTCTTGAAATGCTGCCTTGGAATCCTACCTTAAACCGGATATGGTGGTACATGCCTGTAATCCCAGCTACTGGAGAGGCTGAGGTAGGAGGATGATTTGAGTCCAGAAGCAGAAGGACAGCCTGGGCTATATAGTGAGATGAAGTATCAAAAAAAAAAAAAAAAAAGAGGGAAGGGAAAGAAAAAGGGAAAAGTAAAGAAATCTCACTTTAAAGAAAAGGAAGGCAGGTGCCAGAAGCTCATGCCTGTAATCCTAGCTAGGCAGAGATTAGGAGGATTGCAGTTTGAAGCTAGCTCGGGCAAAATGAGAGACCCTATCTCAAAAATACCCAACAAAGAAAAGGGCTGGTGGAGTGGCTCAAGTGGAAGAGCGCCTGCCTGGCATGTGTGAGGCCCTGAGTTCAAACCCAGTACTGCCCCCCCCAATAAAAAAGGAAGAAAGAAAAGGAGAAAAAAAATTCTACCCCAACGACAGCATTGGAGGCCTCCCATGAGCTTCCTCCTGGGGGAGGAACACCCCCCACACACCTGCTTTCATCCGGAAGAAGGTGTCTCTTCCCCTCCCCTCCTCACCCGCAGGGTTTCTGGGTACTGAGAGCAAAGGCATCCGCCAGTTCTGTTAGCATTTCCAGTGGGTTCATTTGGGGAGCAGCAGTGCCCCGAGGCCTGCCCTGTCCCTGTTTGGAGACCCCCAAACAGCTAGTTTGGAGATCAGCTGCTGGGTCCCCCCATCCTAGATCCCCAGGGCAAGAACCTGCCCCTATATATATATATGCCAGGCTGGGGCAAGGTGCAGCCTCCACACTTCTGCAATCTTAACCACAGGCTTCCGCCTCCTCCCTGCTGCTCCGGGGGAATCTCCTGTTAGAGGCCTTTTCCTCTCTCCGTCTGGTCACCATGACACCCTCCAGGCTGCCACCTGGGGCCTGTAGGACCCTGTTCATCTCCCAGCTGCTGATCTGTTGTCTTCTGTCCTTAGGTGAGGCGGGTCATCCTGGGGAGGGCTGGGGTTCAAGGATTGCTGGGAACCAAGGACCCAAGAAAGGGAAGCAGCCCCCACCCTGAAAACCTCCCACTAACTCAGATCTGAAAAAGGGCTCTATTTGCCTGTGCGGTTCCCTCTGCCTAGACCACTCTTCCTTTCACTTGGCAAACTCTACTTGGCCTTTGAAACTGGCCTTTGCCACCCCTTCCTCTAGGAAGCCTTCCTTAATTTGCCTCCTCCTACAGCTGCAAAGAATCTCCCCTGGCCTCCCTCTGTGCCATTCCCAGTCCCCATTTTTCTTTTTTTTTTGCTGGCACTAGGGTTTAAACCCAAGGCCTCACACTTGCTAGGCAGGCACTCTACCACTTGAGCCATGTCCACAGCCGTTTTTTGCTTACAGGTAGGGCCTTGGTTTCAGACCACAGGGATTATAGGCAAGTACCAACATATCCAGTTTATTCATTGAGATGGGATCTCACTTTTTGCCTGGACTGGCCTCTAACCACAATCCTCCTGATCTTTTTCTCCAAAGTAGCTAGGATTACAGATGTGTAGCACCACACAAAGTCCCCAGTCCCTTATGGATCCTGTCTTTCCCACTGGACTAGGACTGTTGTGAGAGCAGGGGCTGTTCCATCCTAGCATGAGGTAGGGCCTACTGCAGGGTGAGCATCTGCACAACCATGGAGTTTCCTCATGTTCCTGAAGGAGGCCAGGGCCAGCGGTTCCGGCTGCGGTTGGAGCCCCAGGACCCAGTGCTTCCTGTTGGAGGATCATTCTTGGTGAACTGCACCACGGACTGTCCCCAGCCTCAGCTCATCAACCTGGAGACATCCCTGTCAAAGGAGGCCCGGGACCACGGCGTGGGCTGGGCAGCCTTTCTGCTCAGCAATGTGACTGATGACAGCCAGATCCACTGCTCCGGGTACTGCAATGGCTCCCAGATAGCAACATCCTCTGGCATCACCGTGTTCAGTGAGTGGACGTGCTTGCATGTGGGGACTGACCTGAGCAGTGCTGGTAGCATACGGTCAGAGGCTCTGGGGAGCGGGAATTCTGCCTGTAGTGAGGCAGACAGACAGACAGGGACAGAGATGTTTTCAGCTGTACGGCAGGGCAGCAGCTGTTAAATCTGGGCACCAACAAGCATTTTGTTGCAGTCTGGTGCGTGCTAGGCGACCGCTTTGTCACCTGAGCCATGCCCTCAGTCTAATCGCTTTTTAGTTTATTTTAAAGATAAGGTCTTGTGCTTTTGCCGGGGCTGGCCTCTGTGATCCTCCTGCCTCAGCCTCCCGTGTAACTGGTACTACAGATGTGTACAACCATCACCTGGCTTATCCGTGTGTTTATGTGTCTCTGTGTGTCTTTGTGGGTGAGTGTATGTGTATGTGTGCATCACTGAGCCTATGTGAATGTCTGTGTCAGTATATCTGTGTCTGTGTGTGTCTTTGTGTATGTTTTTCCCCCGTGGTGTTGGAGCCCTGTGTCTGTTTCTGAGTGTGTACATATGGGTGCGTGTTTGTATTGTTTGCTTTGGCTTTGTACGTTCCTGTCTCTGTATGCCCATGAGATTTCCCGTGACCACGGTCTGGGTGTGTACCTACCCCTGTACCCACAGTGGACACTTTCTGGGATGCTTCTGTCCAGTGCTACGCCAGAAGCTGTCTGTGTGTGTGTGTGTGTTCTGGGGTTTGAACTCAGGACCTACACCTTGAGCCATGCCACCAGCCCTTTTGTGTGATGGGTATTTTTTGAGATAAGGTCTCTCAAACTATTTGCATGGGCTGGCTTTGAACCACGATCCTCCTGATCTCTTCCTCTTGAGTAGCTAGGATTACAGGTGTGAGTCACTAGCACCTGGCAAGGCTGTTTGTCTTGAGAGCCAACTGTGGTATCTCTTTCTTCCCAGGTCTGCGTCACATTGGGTGGCATGAGACCAGCCAGAATGAGATTGTTTACACCACAGATTGCCAGGTGCTGAAAGTCAGGGTCCCCCCACCACAACCCTGGAATCCCAATTACTATCATTACCAGGATTCATTGGTATCCAAGATTAAGGTGAAGGCCTCCTTGTTAAGTATACTGAAATTGTACTGATTAAGATGTTAAATATTTTTTTTGGTGGTACTGGGGATTGAACCCAGGTCTCATGCTTGCCAGGCAGGTGCCCTACCTCTTGAGCCACACCCAGCTTTTGGTCAGGGATTTTGTTTTTGAGACAGGGTCTTGCTAACTTTGCCCAGGCTGGATCCTCCTGCTTCCACCTCCTGAGTAGCTGGGATTACAGGCATACCCTACCATGTCCTGCTGAATGCAGAAAATTTTGCAGGATCTGCTAAATGATTTAGGGAAACCTATTGGGTTTGGACAACCATTACAGTGGCCTGGGGGGAAAAGTGTATTTGGACCACAGAATGGATAATGGTTTATAAATGGTACTCTGTGGGACAGAAATACCAATGTGACAAGTCTGTCACAGTGTGTTTACAGACATCAGTTTTTCTTTCTGCAATATGCTTTATTTCATGAAGGTCAGGGAAGGGACCTAAGGTCACTGTTTCTTCTTTGGTGGGGTCTGGACAGATAGGGAACTTTGCAGAAAACCTCTCTTTGCCTGGGCCCAGAGAGAAACATGGGGGTCAGAGGGAGCCTTGATTCTAAGGTAGGTTCTAAGGGCCTCCAACATGTCAAAGCGCCAGTTATTTGGGGTGTGGCTGTCTGAGTTGCAACACTGGCAAGGCGCTGACAGCACAGGAAATAATCACGATGCTAGTGACAAAGCAAATACTTATATGGGCCTATTGTAAGCACTCAAAGTTTATTAGGTCCAAGTTCACAGGCCCGGGGCGCGCGGCATGCCTAGCAGGCAGGAGGCACTGAGTTCCATCTTCACACAGTGGGAAAAAAAGTCCAAGTTCACAGTTCTGTGCAAGGATATAGGGACATCCTGCCTCTCCAGTCCCTGGGGAATGACCAGGGCCATTCTACCCTCCTCCACCAGGGTTCCCTGAGGTCCAGCTGGCCCCCCTGCCCCCTTGGCATCCCGTGGGTGACAACCTCACCCTGCGCTGTCTGGTGACAGGCGGGGCACCTCGGGCCCGGCTCTCTGCGGTGCTGCTCCGCGGGGAGGAGGAGCTGAGCCCGCGGCGGCCCGTGGTGGGGGAGCCGGCCGAGGTCACAGCCACGGTGCTGGCGGGCAGAGGTGACCATGGCGCCAATTTCTCCTGCCGCACGGAACTGGACCTGCGGCCGCAAGGGCTGGGATTGTTCCAGAACACGTCGGCCCCCAGGCAGCTTCGAACCTTCGGTGAGGGAAGGGGCTGCAGATGCTGGGTGATGAGCTAAGCCTGGGGGGAGGAGCGGAGTGGTCCTGGACCTCAAGGTCTCCTGGGAAGGCATGGCCTGGGCCATGGGGCAGGGTGGTCCCAAAAGAGACGCCGGAGACGGGAGAGATCTTTTGAGAAGGCCGCGACCCAAGGCCCTGGTTGAGGGGGTGCGGGTATCCCCAGCGGTTGTGAGGCCTCGCCCTGCTCATACTTACCCTTCTCCCCAGACCTGCCCGCGACACTCCCGCGAGTCGAGGCCCCCCTGAACTTGGAGGTGGGGACATCCAGGCCGGTGCACTGCATTCTGGATGGGCTGTTCCCGGCCTCTGAGGCTCAGGTCCAAATGGCGCTGGGGGACCAGATGCTGGATCTCATAGTCACGAGCCACGGGGACAAACTGAGAGCCAAAGCCATAGCCACAGCCCGCACCGATCAGGAGGGTGTCAGGGAGATTTGTCTGCAACGTGACCCTGGGGGACGAAAGTCGCCAGGCCCGGGAGAACCTGACAGTCTTTAGTAAGAGCGGACCCGACCCCCACACCCTTAGGCGGGACCTCAGCAGAGGGGCGTGGCACGTGCGGGCGGAGCCTAAGACCTAAGGGGGGCAGGGTCCGCACAGGAGGCGTGGCCTGGACTGCCACCCTCGCCCCCCACCCCCGGGAAAGGCCGGGAGGAGGGCGTGGCTTGACCCACGGGAGGTCGTGGTCAGCTCCCTAGCACTGCTCTGTCCTTAGGCTTCCTAGGGCCCTTTCTGAACCTGAGTGACACCAACGTCACCGAGTGGTCCACGGTGAATGTGACTTGCACGGCCGGGGCCCGAGTCCAGGTCATGCTGGATGGGGCTCGGACTCCACCTCCAGGGAAGCCCGCTCAGCTTCAGCTCCTTGTCAACGAGAGCGATGATGGGCGCGACTTCTTCTGCAACGCCACTCTCGATGTGAACGGCGTTGTTTTGCACAAGAACACGACGGTCCAGCTGCGTGTCCTGTGTGAGTTGGTCACTCGGACCTGTTAACTTTCCCTTGCCCCTGTGTGCCTCTCGGAACTTTGGGATGTCTGATTAATATGGTGGTTCCACAGATGGTCCCAGGATTGACCGAGCCAAATGTCCCCAGCGCTTGACGTGGAAAGACAGGACTACTCATGTCTTGCGGTGCCAGGCTCGGGGCAACCCGGCCCCAGTGCTACGGTGTTCGCATGAGCGCTCCGGGCTTGTGGTGCCCATCGGGATCCCATTATGCGTCAACTTAACCTACAATGGCACTTACCACTGCAAGGCGGCAAGCCCAAGGGGCACGCACACCTTGCTGGTGGTGATTGACGTTCAAAGTAAGTTAAAAAAAAAAAGTGCGTCGGGGGTGGCGGGGCAAGCCCAGGAGGGGTCGGGGCACGCATGTTTATTTGCTCCGGGCTTCTCTGCGCAGGTCGGAGCTCTCTCTCAGTCAGTATCGTCATGGTGGTGTTAGCGGTCGTAGGGTTGGTGGCTGTCGTGGTGGCCTTAGTTTACATCTTCCGGATGCAGACACAGAGCGGCAGCTACTACGTGAAGCAGCAAGGACCCTCGGTCCCCCTCACGTCTATGCAATCTGAAGAGACAGTAGGGGAAGAGGCGTCCTGAACTGCGGGATGCCGGGATCCTGGGCCCGGCCGGATCCTGGGATCGATGGCGGCAGCTTTAGTTGTTTCCTTTAGTTCCCCACCAATAAAGGCTTTAAACCCCATATTCTGTGGCTTGATTCTAACAGCGCCGCCGACCACTCCAACCACGCCGCGCACCTACTGAATGGCATTGCGGAGGCGGAAGAGGGCGGAGCTTAAGGAGCTCCAGAAGCCATTCGAACTCTGAGAGGATGGCTGGGCTTTAGCCAATGGACTAAGTGGGACGGACGGGAGGCGGGGCTTTTTTTAACCAATCGGCGGGCGCGTCCTCCTTGCCGCTCTATGCCGCTCCGCCCAAGCTCGCTGGTCCCAGAAGGCGCCGGGTTTCCCAAGATGGCGGCCGACGTGTCCGTTACTCACCGGCCCCCGCTGAGTCCAGAGGCTGGGGCCGAGGCTGAAGCCAATGATGCCTCGGAACGCCGGGCGCCCGAAGAAGAGCTGCAGCCGCTAGATCCAGAAGAGATCCGGAAACGCTTGGAACACACCGAACGGCAGTTCCGTAACCGCCGCAAGATACTGATCCGGGGCCTCCCGGGGGACGTGACCAACCAGGTATTGGGGGGGGCGGTGTGAGAGCGTGGCGGGAAATACCACCATGCGCGTGCGCGGGGGAGAACTGGCGACACCACTGCTGGCGTCGGCAGGGGGGCGTCAGCGGGGGCGTTCATGCGCGGGATCCTGGCGCAGTCGGGAGAGACCAAAATCGAGATGTGGGGGGACTATGATGAAGGGAGAAACCAATTTTGAATTACGGGAAGACGTTGCTAGGGGTGACCACAAGCTTGGGCGAGACCAAGTGATTGAAGGGGGTGGGCAATAAAAGGGAGCTGGCAGTTTTGGCCATGTTGGGGAATTATGTGAATATGTTGCTGGATTGGGAAGTGTGGAAATAGGGACCAGTTGTCTCTCGGATTGTGCTTTTCCCCATCCCCCTCCACCACTGGTGCTGGGATCTCATTCATATCCAGAAGTTTCAGGGTTAGAGAACCCTTCCATATCGCACTTTGATTTCCACCTCTAAGATCCGGAAGTTATAGCAGCCTTTCTCAAAAGGCCCCAGGTTAATTTGGGAAAATGAGGTCTTCTGCCACCATCTCTCAGACCTAGAGGAAAGAGTGGTGGGTCTGTGTGGGGTAGGGTGGGGGAGCTGTGTTCTGTGGAGCGACCCTTGGCTAATTTTCCTGCCAGGGACCTACCTGGGGCAGGGCCTGCACGAAGGAGCAATCCTCAATGCTCTTTGAACCCAGGGACATTCCATCTATAGTGCCCTACACGTGGCGGTGGAATGGCAGTGGAATAAGTTTATTCTTCCTGCTGCTCGGAAGAATTTCTTCTCCCTGGCATCAGCATGTCTGCCACTGGCCCACGTTGCCTACCTGGTGCTAGTGGGATCCCAAGAGGGTGAGGAGGGCCTAATTGGGTGGGGGACAGACCTGGAGCACACATCACTAGGCATGATCTGGTTTATTTCCCTGAGTTGGTTCTCCTAGTAGTACCCACCATTTCTCAGCTGGGAACACATTGTCCCTCCTGCCAAGTGCACAGGGTGTCTGCCACAGCAGCCCCAGCAACTTGCCCTCAAAGCCATCTTGTGAGAAGCACATGTAGCTGTACACTGTGGTTGTGTTAAGGACACAAATTCTCTGGTTCCGTACCTCTGTGTTGTATTCCCATGCTGCCCTGACCAGCTGCAAGGCCTTGGGCATAGTTCTTCACCCCACTGAGCCTGTTTCCTCCTGGACAAAATGAGTTTGTTAACATTGAGCTAGAGACAGTCGGCCTTGCAGACAGACAGGTTCATCAATGTCCCTAAAGACCTATTCTGTGAGTGTGTCCTGGGGGTAGCATGGAATCTACAGTCTGGCTCTGAATCCCAGCTCTGCCAGAGATGGGCTGAGTGGCCTTGAGCAAACAGTACTGTTGACCTCACTTTCCTGTTTGTAAAAAGGGGGTGGGACTGGTAATTTACCCACCTTTAGAGCTAGTCCACTTACAGGTGGCACCTGGTTGTTCCCCCTCGTTCCCTGGTGACTCCCTGTCCTCTGGTTTCTGTCTCTGCAGGAAGTACACGACCTACTCAGCGACTATGAGCTCAAGTACTGTTTTGTGGACAAATACAAAGGGACAGGTTTGTGGAACTGTGGGGTGGGCCAGGGCAGGAGGTGACAGTCTCTAAGATGGGAGGGTCCTGGCTTAGCATTTCTCTCCTCAGCTTTGGTCCTAATAGTGTCCCTGAAGACAGTGTAGCAGAAACACCAGTCTGTCCCTTGTCCTGGCTACCCATTCTTGTGGCAGCTTCAGTGTTCTCTCCAGACTGGTCAGCAGATACCTGGGCTCAGGGTATCCCCTCTTCCCACCCGGTTGTCCTAGCCAACTAGTCACTCAGACCTGCCTGGTCTCCAAGCCCTCCATTGCCTTAGCTTACACTTGGTTCACATCCCCTTAGTCTCTGCTGAAATGGTAGCTTCCCTGCAGCCTCTCTGCCTCCCATGATCTCCTGTACCTCTTGCCTCACCAATGGAGCCCATTACAAATCTGATCAAAACTGATTCTGACCTTGATTACTTTCCCTCCTGGAAACCTGTCTGCAGCACCTCCTGGTACTACCTGGCAAGGTGTGCCCCAGCCTCCCTATGTCCTCTAGTGCCAGTAAGGTTCCAAGCTATTTCCTCTTCCACTGTTCCTAGTTGTCCCCTCATTTATCCAGGCCTCACCAGGTAGGCTTGGGCACCCCTCCATCAGAGCACTGGCCAGCCTTGGCTATCATTGCTGGCTTGCACGTCTGCCTCCTACACCAAGTAGCACCACGAGTATGAAGGCATGTCGTGTTGGCCCCCTGAGTGAGGCTCTCAGTAGATGTCTGTGCCTACTCAGCATTGTGCCACATGTTAATCTTATAATCTGTAACATGGATGGGAAGGTGCCTCCTCTAGACCTATCTTGTAAACTAGGGCAGTAGCTAAGGTCTTGGTCCCTGAAGGCAAACAGACCTCAAGTCAGTCCTCACTGTGTGGCTGTAAGCAGGTGACAAACTGTGAGCGCCTGGCACTTAGTAGGTGCTTAACAAATAGCCACAGACTCCACAAGTCAAATCTGTGCTGAGAACCCGGTACAGTATCGATAGGATGCTTCCTGGATACCAAACTCTGAGGATGCTCAAGTATTAGGGTATAGTTACTCACATCCTGCTGTGGACTCTCAACCACCTGTGCCTAATAGAATGTAAATGCTATGTAAGTAGCTGCTGTACTGTGTTGTTGGAGACTAGTGACGAGGGAAAAGTCTGTACATGTTTAGGACAGATTCATTCTCCCCTGTTCCCCAAATATATCAGTCCACCATTGGTTGAGTCCATGACTGTGGAGCCAGCGGTATGTACCAAAGCATTGGGATTCATATATTGAGTGATGCTTTTCATTCATGCATCTTTTTACAAATACTTATTGAGTGCTCACTATGTACTGGGTGCCAGGGTACACAGCAATGAAACAGAGGTGGTCCAGTCAGGAATGAAACAGTTCCAAATGTAAAGGTGAAATGGGCCAGGCACGGTAGTACATGCCTGTAATCCCAGCACTCAGGAGAGTGAGGTAGGAGAATCTTGAGTTTGAGGCCAGCCTGGGCTACACAGCAAGACCCTGTCTCAGAAAAGGAAAAAAAAAGTGACATATCTTCGGATCACAAGCTACAGAGAGGGAGGGCACTGTGGGAGCAGAGAGCCAGGATCTGAAGTGAGCAGTCAGGCGAGGCTTCATGGAAGAAGTGAGGTCTGAAAGGTGGGCGGAGTTGAGCAGGCAAAAGGTTGGGACTCACTGTTCCTTACTCAGAGAAAAGCAGCCACAGAAGCCCCCAGTGGAGAGTGCCTGGCATGGTCCAGGAAGCAGCTTTGGGAGATGCCAAAGGAGGTCAGTGAGGCCACAAGGCTGGGCCACACAGGCTTTGCAAACAGAAGTCTCTGCCAGGGGCATGACACCTTCTAAGTATCTTTTGGTTCTTAGCCTCCTGCTAGGTGTTGGCAGGTGGCATTGGTGCCCTGGAAGAGGGATGAGGGAGGCATGAGAGTAAGGCTCTGCAGCCTGGTCACCTGGGTATACTTTATTGTATTTATTTACTTATTTTGAGACATGGTCTCCCTATATGGGAGACCATGGTCTCCTTGAGGTAGCCCAAGCTGGCCTCAAATTTGTAATCCTCCTGCCTCCACCTCCTCAGTGCTGGGATTATAGGTATGTACCACCAAGCCCTGTTTTTCTTTTTCTTTTTTTTTTTAATTTAATTTTATTTTTATGGCATTCCTGGGGATTGAATCCATGTCTCATGCCTAGCAGGCAAGCGCTATACCCTCCAGCCCTTTTTTTCTTTTAGCTGAAGTCTCAGGATTTGTTAAAATGGGATTACCCAGGCTGGCCCTCAACTTCTGGGTTCAAGCAATCCTGCCTCAGCCTCCTGAATAACTGGGATTACAGCCGTGATCCACCACTCTTACTGTGCATAGCTCTTAGGACAGAGCCATGCAGTAAGGAAGCACAGCTGTGGGCTGTGGGGAGATCCAGGGAACAGCAGGAAGTGGACCTCGTGGAACCTACGGCAGCACCTGGCTCGTTCACACTTGCCTATGTGAATAATTGCTTACATGGGACTGGGGCCTGAGATGTCCTGGTGACTCCGTGTTTTGCAGTTGGCCTTGGAACCCACTGACCCCACACTCCCTCCTGTCCACAGCCTTCGTGACCCTACTGAATGGAGAGCAGGCAGAAGCTGCTATCAGTGCTTTCCATCAGACCCGCCTGCGGGAGCGCGAGCTGTCGGTGCAGCTGCAGCCCACGGACGCCCTGTTGTGTGTGGCCAACCTGCCCCCCAGCCTCACGCAAACACAATTTGAGGAGCTGGTGCGGCCCTTCGGCAGCCTGGAGCGCTGCTTCCTGGTCTACAGCGAGCGCACTGGCCACTCTAAGGGCTATGGCTTTGCTGAGTACATGAAAAAGGACTCGGCTGCCCGCGCCAAGTCGGACCTGCTGGGCAAGCCGCTGGGCCCGCGCACACTCTACGTGCACTGGACAGATGCTGGGCAGCTGACGCCTGCCCTGCTCCATTCCCGATGCCTCTGTGTCGACCGCCTGCCGCCTGGCTTCAGCGATGTGGATGCCCTACGCCGGGCACTATCTGCCGTCCACACGCCTACTTTCTGCCAGGTGAGCCCTGGGCCCTCTGCACGGGTCACTGGGGATCTGGTGCCAGGCCCAGAGCTCCTTCCAGGGGTCTTTTGGAGTACCTGTCTTGTCTAATCTGGTTATCTTGCCCAGCAGCCACACAACCTTGGGGCCCTTGGAACCGCCTTGTGGCCTGGTGGTTGAGAACTTAAATGTGGGTCAGAGGGCTGTAGTGTGATCCCACGAGACCTCAGGCCTCAGTCATGTCATCTGCTCATCATATGTGGGCAAGACTCAAGCCCTGTTCACACCTTCATCCACTTCCACACTCATCTGATGTTTCTTAAACACCTGTGGGGCCCAGCACCAGGCCAGGCATAGAGGCTGCCTGGAGGCATCCATAGTGTAAGTCTTGAGGTTAGAAAGTTGGCCTTGGGCACTGGTCGTGGTGGTTATACCTGTAATCCCAGTATCAGGAGACTGAGACTGAGGCAGGATGATCAAGTGTTCCTGGCAGCCTAGGCTACACAGCAAGACCCTGTCTCAAAAAACCAAAAAAGAAAGTGGACTTGGCTAGATCCCAGCCTCTCTTTGTACCTCAAGAATGTCCCTCATACTCTGTGCCTCAGTTTCTCTTCACCATAAGTTCTGCATCAGATTGATAAAATACTCCTGATTAGCCGGGCACCAGTGGCTCACACCTGTAATCCTAGCTACTCAGGAAACAGAGATCAGGAGGATCAAGGTTCAAAGCCAGCCCAAGCAAATAGTTCTCGAGACCCTATATCAAAAAACCCCTCACAAAACTAGAGCTGGCGGAGTGGCTCAAACTGAAGGCCCTGAGTTCAAGCACCAGTACTGCAAAAAAAAAAAAAAAGAAAAAGAAAATACCCAACATGCAAAAAAAGGGGCTGGTAGAGTGGCTCAAGGTGTAGGCCCTGAGTTCAAATGTCAGTACCACAAAAAAAAAAAGAATGAAAGAAATTGCCAACCAAAAAAAAAGGCTGGAGGAATGGCTCAAGTGGTAGAGTGCCTTCCTGGCAAGCATGAGGTCCTGAGTTCAAACACCAGTACCAAAGAAAACAAGAAAACACTTCACATCACATGTGGCAGGTGCCATGGCAGGTGAGGTCAGGCAGAACAGGCTGAGCCCAGCACACTAAGAGTCCCCCGGATGTCTTGCCCACAGACCCCTAAGGGCAAGGGTCCTTCAGTACCTGGTGTAGGTTTGAACCCACAGCCTGTGATCACCATCCTGGATGACCCAGAGAGGCAGGTGCCAGCCCAGTTTTTGGGTGAGGACACAGGGCAGAGAGGTCAGGTTACATTCCCTGGGGTGGTAGTGCCAGGATCTGAACACTGCAGCCTGGCTCCAGATCCGGGTGTCAGCCAGAGGCCTGCACAGGGCTCAGGCGGCACATTTCTGGCCCAGCTCTGGGACAGTGTGTCCATGGGGTGTTGGTCTCCTGTTTAGACCAGGCATCTGTAAGACCCTTCGTCCTTGTTTCCTTATTCACCGATCATTCACTTGTCCTGCCTCTGTTGCACGCTTCCCTGTGCCAACCCCTGGGTAGTGCTCAGAACATGGGTGAGTCAGCTCAGCAGCCTCAGCCTCCCCCCTTTTTTGTTTTTGATTGTTTCATGTTGTAGCCCAGGCTGCCAGTTCCCTTGCCTCTGCCTCCGAAGTGCTGGCATTGTGGGTATGCACTACCACCCCTGCTCTCCCCATCTTGAAATAAGGCTAGTAGTGTTTTGCTTTTGCTTATTTGTTTTTTTGTTTCATTTCATTTTGTTTTGTTTTTCAAGACAAGGGCTTACTACATTGCCCAGACTAGTCAAACTCCTGGGCCTGAGTGGTCCTCTTGCCTCAGCCTCCAGAGTAGCTGGCCAGTGAAACTGCATGCCTCTGTCACCACATCTGGTTTAATGCTCTCTGAGTAGATTTTGTGAATGAGTGCTTATTTGTTCCTCCACTTACATGCTCACCAGACATATATTTGTTTCTTTATGTTTCTTGGTGCTGGGGATGGAACCCAGGGCTTCTTGCATGCTAAACAAGCGCTCCACCCCTGGGCCGAACCCTTCCTCTCAGCAAACACTTATTGAGCTCCTTTTGAGCACCAGGTGTTGAGGTGGCTGCTTCTGAGCAACTCACAGTCACACCCAGGTGTCCCAAATGCGGGGATGGGCTGGGGGTCAGGCAGGACAAGGTTTGAACCTCAGTCCCCTTATTTAGGAGTCATGTGCCCTTAGTCACCCTTTGTCCCCTCTGAGTTTCTCTTCATTCATTAGATGGACATGAATATGGCAAGGCCTGTGTCTGGGCCTCAGCATAGGGCCTGGCCAGAGGTGAAGGACAAGTGCTCCCGGAGTGCATGGTGAACATTTGCCTAGCTTGTGCAAAGGTCCTGGGTTCACTTCCAGCACCATAAAAACAAATAACAATGAATGAAACAGACTGAGGCCAGACCTCTCCCTGGCTGGGCGTGCTGGCCCTGGCTTGGGTGGGAGCGTTCCTGCCCATCAGTGGGCATCTTAGTCATTCCTCATAAGAAGCCCACAGGGTGGGTCTGGTTGTGGCTCCATTTTTCGAGTGAGGACCCAGCACAGGTAAGTGCTTTTTGCAAGTCACCTGTTGGGGCAGCAGCCAGCGAAAGATGGGCTGCCGGTAAAAGCTAGACAAAGTTGCTTAGAAACTTTGCTAAAAGGGGGGAAATTGCTATTAAATACGTAAAGCAGATATCATGGACTGAGGTATGCATGGTGCACAGTGGTAGAGTGGATGCCCAGCATGCACCAGGCCCTGGTTCCATCTCCAGCACTGAAAACATAGCACAAAATAAAGCAGGTATCACAAGGCTTTGGGTGGCTTACCTTAAAGCCTCTTTTGCTTATTTATTTTGTGAATGGGTTGTTCAGTCACTTTTCAAACTTCAGCACACCCTGAAAGGCCAGTGACAAAGGCTTTCCCCCATCCCAGTCCCTTCTCTGGCCGGCCTTGTTAATACCAGTTTGTCCCACCCACCGATGTTGTGCACAGTGAGTATCCCTGGTCCGACATTCTGAACTAGGAGATGCTCTGAAATCTGAAATTTAGTATTAGAGATGGGGTCTTGCTATGTAACCCAAGCTGGCCTTGACCTTCTGGGCTTAAGTGATCCTTCTGCTTCAGCTCCCAAGTAGCCAGGTATACAGGCACATGCCACCTCTCCTGGCTTTAAAACTTTTCTGAGCACCGACACAGTGCTCAAAAAGTTTTGGATGTTTGGACTGGGTGCTTGTTTAAAGGATCTATGCAGATCCTCTAAAATGCAGAACTCTAAAATCTGATAAACTTGTCCCAAGCTTTCAGACAAGGATACTGAGCTTGTATTGTGCATCTGCCACACATGTATACATGCTTCTGCTGTCCCCTGTTCTTGTGGTGGTCTTTTGCTAGGCAGTTACTCTACCGCTTGAGCCATTCCACCAGCCCTGTCCCGTTTTGCCATGCCTGGTTTGGTTTCTCCACTTTGTCTCTAGAGTCTTTCTGTGTTTGGACACAAACTTCCTCATTCTTTTTTTTTTTTTGGCAGTATTGGAGTTTGAACTCAGGGCCTCACATTGCTAGGCAGGCACTCTACCCACTTGTGGTGGGTATTTTCGAATAGGTCTTGCGAACTGTTTGCCTGGACTGCCCTCAAACCTCAATCCTTCCAATCTCAGCCTCCCAAGTAGCTAGGATTTCAGACATAAGCCACCAACACCTGGCTTCCTCACTCCTTCTATGGCTGCACTGGATTGTACTTTAGAGACAATGCATTGGTCCCAAACCATGACCCTAGTAGGACACTGTTACACACCCAAATTCTCTGAGGTGGGAGGATAACTTGAGCCAGGAGTTTCAGGCCAGCCTGGGAAACAGTGATGAGACCCTATCTCAAAAAACAAAAACAAAACAAACCATGACACTATTGTTCATGAATCACTGGGGACAGACACTGCATTTTTCCACTGCAATGCAGAGGTCCCCAGGCCGTGGGCCTATCCCTCTGTGGTAGGCAGGGAGGGGCTGAGTGTGCGCCCAGCATTCTGTGGCAACACCCCCCCCATGCACACCCCCAAAACAGCATGGAAAGCAGGACATTGATTCCCTAAGTTGGTGGCAGGTCCCTGGCACAGCTTGACCTGACCTGGTATGGGCTGTCTGGGTTTTTTTCTTTTTTTAGACAGGTTCTTACTATGTAGCCCAGGCTGGTCTCAAACTCTCTATCCTCCTTCCTCTACCTCCCCAGCGCTTGGGTTATAGATGGGCACCACCATACCTGGCATTTTGTGGCCTTTTCCCCACACACCTTGCTACAGAGTGATTTGTGTTTTTGAGGTACTGGGACCTGCCCAAGACCCCCGGGGGGGACTGAAACATTGGGTACAGTGTGTGCAGAATTGGACCAGCCCAATATCTAGTGTTTCTACTGGAACACTTCTGATCTGGGGTTCCCAATAAGGGGGTGTGGGTGTGCAGAGATGTCCCTCATCTGGTTGTGACTGCTCCGTGCTGGCTGTGTGAGCTCCACCTGCCTGCTTAAAAGGCCTTCCATCGCCCATAGGCTGTGCCTGGCTCCCAGCCCTCTGCTGCAGTGCCTGACTTGACACCTGCATTTGGGGGGACTCCATAGCCACCTGCCAGTTCCCCAGCTTGCGCCCTGGTGTGCTAGGAATCCCAAGCAGAGCCCCTCCTGATGGTGTTAGTGTGGGGCCCAAGGGAGGTGAGCCACATAAGGCAACTCTTGGCTCTGCCTGCCCACCTGCTGTGTGGCCTTGGTGTGTTGACCTCTCTGGGCCTCAGTGTCCAGAGCAGGGCCATTATAGGGACTAGTCAAGTGGAGACTTCAGGAACAGGGCTGGGGACAGCCTGGCACCTCCTCTCCAAGAGGTCACTATCACAGTCTGCGGTCACTTCATGTGGGGGCCCTCATGTGACCCGGGGCTCATGACCTCTTCCCCTGCAGCTGGCATGTGGCCAGGACGGGCAGCTGAAGGGCTTCGCAGTGCTGGAGTATGAGACAGCAGAGATGGCTGAGGCGGCACAGCAGCGGGCTGATGGCCTGGCCCTGGGGGGCAGCCACCTGCGTGTATCCTTCTGTGCCCCGGGGCCCCCTGGACGCAGCATGCTGGCTGCACTCATCGCTGCCCAGGCCACGGTGAGTGTGCAGGTGCTGGGGGGCATGGGAGCTCCTGTAAAGGCACCTTTGACTGCAGTGTGCTCAGCTACCTTCCCTCTCTCCTCTGCCCTCCCCAGGCCCTCAACAGGGGTAAGGGGCTGCTGCCTGAGCCGAACATCCTGCAGCTCCTGAACAACCTGGGCCCGTCTGCCTCCCTCCAGCTGCTGCTCAACCCTCTGCTCCATGGCGGTGCCGGCGGCAAGCAGGGTAGGGCCAGTAGAGAGACAGGCCAGGTGGGATGGTGGAGAGGGGCCATCCCTCTGGGGTGCATCAAGTTCTTCCTGGGCCTGCCCTTCAGGCACGTCTGCTGACCTCTGAAGGCTTGTGTTTCCTTCTATTGGCAGACTTGGGGCTAGGTGAATGGTGGGGGCTGGTGGGGGCTTCCCACCCAGGGCCCACCATCCAGCTCCCAGTGTCTCCCACAGGCCTCCTGGGCGCCCCCCCAGCCATGCCACTGCTTAGTGGGCCTGCTCTGTCCACAGCACTGCTCCAGCTCGCCCTGCAGAGCCAGAGCCAGAAGGTAAGGACGGTGGGGCTGCCTTTCCCGGTTGGGGGCCTAAACACCCAGGTCCAGCCCGGAGCTGGGGTGGTTGGAGAGCCACAGCTGGTGCATAGGTACTCCTGTGCTGGGGAAGAAAGTCCAGCCTCTTCGCCCATGCGTGTGGGAACACAGGAACATGCAAGTACACTCAGACTACTCTGTGTGAGTTGAGTTACTGGGGCCTGCTCTGTGACCTGCCTGGGGACATGGTGCATGTTGGCCTGTGGCTGACTTGGGGCTGGAGTCTGGGTGGTGACTGCTGAGACTGGGTGGCGCCTATCTGCTTCACGGGCTACAGCTCTCATTTCCAGCACCTGTGCTCTGTTCTAGAAACCCGGCATCCTGGGGGACTCACCCCTAGGCACCCTACAGCCTGGGGCCCAGCCAGCCAGCCCTCTCCTTGGCGAGCTGTCTGCAGGTAACACACCCTGCCCCACCCCCTTCCTGGGGTCCATCCCACTACTCTTCCTCCACAGTCTCTCTGGGTCTCGGTTTCCCGTCATTTGAGTGCCCACTGGGCAGTGGGCACATCCTGCAGACTGACGCCCTTAGGGGCCTTCCATCACTCACCACCCCTAGGCAACAAGCTGCTTCTTGGGCGCCAGGCCCTAGTCCACGTAGAGGCTGTGGGGCCCTGGGAAGAGGGGTCATGCAGAACTGAGCTGTGGGCTGACTCTGTCCTTCTCTTCATAGGGGGGGGACTGCCCCCGGAACTGCCATCTCGGCGAGGGAAGCCACCACCCCTGCTGCCACCACTGCTGGGCCCCTCTGGGGGAGACCGGGAGACCATGGGCCTGGGTCCCCCAGCAGCTCAGCTCACTCCACCCCCTGCCCCTGTGGGACTCCGAGGCACAGGCCTCAGAGGCCTGCAGAAGGACACTGGGCCCTTGCCCACACCGCCTGGGGTAAGGCCCTGCTCTGAGCCCAGCACCATTGGACCATTCCAGTCTCTGGCCCCTCCAGATCCCTCGTGCCTGGGGCCTTCGCAAATCAGCCCTTCTGTCACAGGTGTCGCTGCTGGGGGAGCCCCCCAAGGACTACCGGATCCCACTGAACCCCTACCTGAACCTCCACAGCCTGCTTCCAGCCAGCAGCCTGGCAGGAAAGGAGACCCGGGCCTGGGGCAGTGGCTCAAGAGGCCGCCGCCCAGCTGAGGGTCCCCCTCCAAACCCCCCTGCCCCTGCTGGGGGCAGCAGCAGTAAAGCCTTCCAGCTCAAGTCCCGCCTGCTCAGCCCCCTTGCCAGCACCCGCCTGCCCCCTGAGCCAGGGCTGCCTGACAGCTATGGCTTTGACTACCCCTCGGTGAGTACCTGGTGGGCTGCTGGGCCCCTTCATCTGCTGAGAGCAGGTCAGTCTCCAGATCAACACAGGGTGAGCGTCCCTAATCCAAACGCAAATCAAAAAGGTTCCAAATTGAGTAACTCCTCCCACATACACTTTAGGGGTGGAAGCCATGGTCTTGTGCATACCAGGCAAGGGCTCTGCCACTGAGCTATACCCCCAGCCCCAAATTCCAAGTTTCTGAGCACCAACTTGTTACCATAGTGGAACATCCCATGCCTGACCTCATGTGATGGGTCACGGCCCAAATGCAGACTGGGCCCGCCCCCACGATCTGTCATCATGCACAGATAATCCCAAGTCTGAAATAACCCTGAGTCTGAAGCACTCAGATAAGGGTTACTCAGCCCAATTTATTTCTCTAGTTGGGCCTGGGCCAAGCCATACATTAGGGAGGCAGTCTCCCCTCTGTCATCTGTCCATCCCTAGGACTTGGACATTCTCACCCTGAATCTGTCTGTCAGTGTCTGTCTCTCCTGTGAGGCCTTATGTGCTGCTGTTTTCCCTTTTGACTCATGTTTACATCCCTGGAGTTTCAGTCTTTCTATGATCCAAACTACCTCCTGGTCAGAAGTGACAAACTAGCCACCCTGTGATGACCCTGTGGGTTATGTTTGGCCCACACTAGGTTTATAAAAAATATAGCAATTGAAAAGCCAATGTAAAAATATCACCAGTGTTTACACCATCTGGATTCCCTAGCTTGCTCAGAAACTGATCACCTGGCTCCACTGGAGCCACAGTCCTTCCCAGAAGCCATCACAGGACCCAGGCGTGCCTGCCCCTTGGGATGACACACATCTGGTGTCTTTCCAGCTATGCCATTTTCTCACAGTCCCTGCAGATTGACCCTCCCTCTTCCACGCCCAGACATTGGGGGTGCAGATCTCCTGATGCCGGTTATGTTGTGGAATTCAGCCCAGGGTGAGGCTGGCACAAACCCCCAATCCCCTGCGCTTCTGCCCCTTTGATTCAGGACTTGGGACCTCGGCGGCTCTTCTCCCACCCACGGGAGCCAGCCCTAGGACCTCACGGGCCCAGCCGACACAAGGTAAGAGTCACCTTGTGTCCTGCCCCCTGGGTTTACCAGTTGGCTCTGGCTGTGTAACAAGCCAATCCATCACTTTGAGGTTGAGCACTACAAACATTTAGTTTTTCGAGATGGGGTCTCTGTTGCCTAGACTGATCTTGAATTCCTAGGCTCAAGCAATCCTCCTGCCTTAGCCTCCCCAAGTAGCTGGGACCACCAGTGTGTGCCACCAGGCCTAGCTGGTTGCTCACCAGGGAATCAGTGGTCCCTACTTGGTCACTGAAGGACCCTGGGTTTGTAGAGTCTGTCCCTGCTCTCCACAGAGCTCACCCTGTGCTCATTTGGCTGGCCATTGTCCCAGAGCTCCACGGAAGACAGGGAGGGCCGTGCCCCATGTGCCCCCTCTCTTGAGTCCTATTGGGCAGAGCTCATTATGGCCACATGCATAGTGGCTTTGGAGCTTCCACAGTGGTCTTCCTCAGTCAACCCCTCTCTGCAGATGTCTCCCCCACCCAGCGGCTTCGGAGATCGGAGTGGTGGAGGAGGCGGGGGGCCGCTCTCTCACTTCTATTCCGGCTCCCCCACTTCCTACTTCACCAGTGGCCTGCAGGCCGGCCTCAAGCAGAGCCACCTCAGCAAGGTGAGGAGGCTTCCCTGCCAGGGACAGATGGGGAGAGCCAGGGTGCTGGGGGAGGAGGCCCCCAAGGCTTTGTGCCCTAGTGCCTAGGCCAAGACTGAGATGGCAGGGGGCAGGTTTGCTCAGCAGCTCTGCCCTGCACTGTGTGCCTGGCTTCCTTCACTTCCTCCCCCATCAGCCCCAGGTGGCAGATGAGGAAACTGAGGCTCAGAACTGGAGTCATGTGCCAGGCCTCAAAGCTGTAGGAGGCAAATGGAAGATGTGGGCCAGCGTCCAGGAGCTTCCCTGGCCCCAGGAGTGACCCACCCTACCTCTCCTCTTCTGTTTCTCCAGGCCATCGGCTCCTCCCCGTTGGGCTCCAGTGAGGGGCTCCTGGGCCTCAGTCCCGGGCCCAATGGCCACAGCCCCTTGCTGAAGGTACGGGCAGGGGGTGGGGACCCACAGGGCTGGGGAGCCATGGCCCCTGCATGGCCCCTGACGCGGCCTCCCCTGCCCTCTGTCTCTAGACCCCACTGGGCGGCCAGAAACGCAGCTTTGCCCACCTGCTGCCCTCGCCAGAGCCCAGCCCGGAGGGCAGCTACGTGGGTCAGCACTCCCAGGGCCTCGGTGGCCACTACGCAGACTCCTACCTGAAGCGGAAGCGGATTTTCTAAGGGCAGCTCTACTGACACTCCAGGGCCTGCACCGGATCGCTTTGGGCTTTTTTGCTCTGTGCTTCGTGGAATTTTTTTTTTTTTTTTCCAACTTACTTTCTTTGGGTAATAGAGAAATCTCAGAAAGACTTTGCTGACTGACCAGCCGGAGCCCAAGAAATGGGGGACCAGCTCCCAGCACGGAAGCCCCACAGCCTTAGGAGAGGGGCCTGGCCTGCTCTCTCTCCCTCCCTGTCTCCCATCCTCCTATGCCTGGCTCTTGGGGAGTCCTCTCCTGCCTCGCCACTCCTGTGTTTTGGCCTTTCGAGTGCCTTGGAGGTCTCCCTGACCTCCCGTGAGGATCAGAGACTGCCCCCTTTTTTAACTTTTGACAATGGACTTTGGTTTCATTTTCTAATTTTTTTTTTTTTTTAAACCATCAGGATGCCCCCAGCTCTGATTCCTTCAAGATCTGGCCTACCTGGGCCCCCATTCCACACTGCAGTATGAAATGGCTCAACCCTTCTCTCTTTTCCCCGTGTCAGCTGCAGGCATTACTGTCTCTTGCCCCTGCCTGCTCACTCTGGCCAGTACCCCAGCCCCAACTCCCTGCAATGGTCCCCTTGCCTCCTGATGCCTTAAAGTTGGGCTGCAGGCCCCACTGGCCAGAGCCTCTCAGATGCCGAGCTCCAGAAGCTTGACTCAGGACCAAACAGCTCTGGCCTAGGGATTGGGCCCCTCTACCAAGGTCTCCACTCTTGGGACAGTAGAAGGCCAAAGCCTTGGTCTTGGCAAAACCTCCCACCCCACACCTTTCTGCCCAGGCCTAGGTGCAGAGATGGACCTTCCCTGCCAGCTTCAACAGTCCCCTTGCTGTCTGTGGCAGTTGGCAACTGCCCATGTCACTGAGCCTCTGCTCCCCCCTCCCTCCTTGAAAGTGAACCCCATCCCCATTACCAAGCCAGATCACCCGGAGCTGGCCTCCTCTCTGCTCAGTGCTGGAAACCGATGACTGTGCAGACAAGCTCTGCACTACCCGCCAGCAAGACCTGAGGTGGCCCTAGTCCCTGCCCTTAGCCAGCTGGGCCACCAGCTTCCCTCCCCTGACTGGGGGCCCACATCCACTCCAGGGGGGTGTCCTCCCCATTCTTTCCACACAGACCTTTGCTGAATTAAAGTTTCTAAGTAAACGGTTTTAAAGAAATCACAGCTGGCTGGTTCTTGGGACAAATGGGCCGTGAGGGGGCTGGGAGGGAGGTCTGGGATGGGCTCACCGGCTTCCCTTCCTCGGACCCTGTCTGGTTACCTTACTGGTGGGAACGTCTGACCGCCACGGTCCCCACGTTTATATTAGGGTAATTACGGCCCTCGGCGCCCATGTCAGGTGCTGCGCATGCCCAGTCGCCCGGTCACGTGACGCCTGTCATGGCCGCCTCCATGGCTCGAGGCGGCGTGAATGCCGTGTTCTTGTTGCGGGCGGCCAGGGGCTCCTGGTGGAGCAGGTCCTGCGAAGTGGCGGCGCTGGTGACAACCAAAAAGCTCTGGACAACAGGTACAGAAGGCGCCAGGGACAGGCTGTTCATCCGCCGGACGCCGGCCGGGCCCCGCTCATCCTAACCGTGTTTTCTAGGCTCGCGCCAGGCTGGAGAGGAGGAGGCCGGCGGCCCGGAGCGGCCCGGGGACGTGTGAGTGTAGGGACAAAGTCCCCGCTTCCCGTCTTGGCCTGCAGCTTCGTCTCAGTCCCTAGCCCCTGCCCCGAGTTCCTAACCCTAGTTTCCAGTGGCCGCGCAGCCCTTATCCAATACGACACTCGCATCCCTTTCCATCCCCAGGGTGAACGTGGTGTTTGTGGATCGCTCCGGCCGGCGGATCCCGGTGAGCGGAAGAGTTGGGGATGATGTTCTCCATCTGGCCCAGCGCCACGGTGTGGACCTGGAAGGTATGAGCCACACGGGGGAATTCGGGAGGCCCTTACCCATTATTTCAACAAACAAAAGTCACAGCCGGTGCCGTGCCTCACTCCTGTACTCCTAGCTACCTGGGAAACTAAGATCAGGAGGATTGTGGTTCGAGGCTAACTCAGGCAAATAGTTCACAAGACCCCCATCTCCAAAATAACCAGAGCAAGAGCTGGGCGCTGGTGACTCAGCTCTGTAAACATAGCTACTCAAGATGCAGAGATCAGGAGGATCGCGGTTGGAAGCCACCCCGGCATAGAGTTGGCAAGACCCTGTCTGGAAAATGCCCAACACAAAAAACGGGCAGGCCGAGTGGCTCAAGTGGTACAGCGCCTACCTAGCAAGCCCGAGGCCCTGAGTTCAAACCCCAGTACTGCCAAAAATGAATAGCTAGAGCAAAACGGACTGGAGGTGTGGTTCAAGCGGTGGAGCACCTGCTTTGCAAGCATGGATTCCTAAGTACAAAGCCCAGTCCCACCAAAAAAAAAAAAAAAGCCTACACATCAGCAGGGTGTGATGATATAGGTCTGTAATCCCTGCACTGGGGCTACATAGAGAGACCCTGTCTCAAGAAAAGCACAACAAGCTAGGCGTGGATGACTTATGCCTGTAATCCCTGCATACTCAGGAGGCAGGATCAGGAGGATCATAGTTCTAAGCCAGCCCAGGCAAATACTTCACAAGACCCTATCTGCAAAATACCCAGCACATACATATGTATGTAAACCGAAAAATGAGATCTGTTGACTATTTCAGGAATGGGGGAAGAAGGGGGGATAAAGGAGAATGGTGGAAGGAGTGAATTCATATGGGACATTTGATATATTGTAAGAACTTTTGTAAATGCCACAGTGTACCCCCACTCAGCACAACAATAAAAGAAAATACCTAAGACAGGCCTGGCTAAGTGGCTCAAGGGTAGAGTACCTGCCTACCGAGTGTGAGGCCCTGAGTTCAAACCTCAGTGCTGCCAAGGGGAAAAAAAAAAAGACAAAGCAACAAACAAAAATCAAAACTCTTTTGTGGCCTAATTTCCTGCCCCGCTTCCATTTGTTGAGCATCTTATTATAGGTGACTAGAACTCCTGCCCTCTGTGTTCCCTTCCCCCTTGCTCCCTCTATTCTAGCCATCTTGGCATTGCTTTTCCTTTTATGAGATAGAGCCTGCTATGTAGCCAAGCTCATTCCTGCCTCAGGACCTTTGCACATGCTGTTCCCTATGTCAGAAGTGGCTTTCCCAGCAAATATTTTGTCTCCTTTTGCCCTTCAGATCTAAATGTAAATACCATCTTCCTGACAGCCCCATGTTCCTCAGTCCAACTAAAGTCTTCATCTCCTATCAGTGCATTTTATTTTGTCCTCAAAACACTTCTCACTGTTTTGTTGCCTTCCTTGTCATCTACCCCACAATGAGCTTGGACACCCTGTTCACACTTACCTGTTGCCTCTCGTGATACTTACATGTAACCTGCATGAATTCAGTATTTGTTGAAAGAAAGATAATAATTAAGCATGACTGAGTCTCCATGATAACTCTATAGAGGAGACTGTAGTTGCATTTTGCAGATGAGGAAACAGCCCCAGCATAAGTAGATCTGGTTCAAAGTCAACCTAGATGCCAATTCAGCCCATTTTAGCTACTGATCTGTGCTGCCTTTTTGTGAATATTGACTACCTCCCATGTATTAGGCAGCACTGAACAACAAAGACAAGGCCTCTGTCATGTCACACCAGTTTCAGCCTAATAAGGACAGCAGCCCCATCAGTAAGCACTATGCTAGGAAACAGTGTTTGTCCTTAGGACCTGGCACATGGTGTACAGAGAGGAGAACAAGTTGATGAGGACCAAGTCAACCTAGAGATTGACTGGGCATGGTGCATGTGCCTGTAATCCCATCAATCAAGAAATAAATAAATAATATTTAATGTTATTTATGATGATAAATGCTGCACAAAATGAAAAGGGGGGGAGGTGACAAAAAACAGAAGGTGGGACAGTCAGGACAGTGGAGTTGAATCCTCAAAGACAAGAAGGATCCAGCTTTAGAAAGAGTAGAGAGAAGAGCATGCCAGGCCATGAGTACAGCAAGTCCAAAGGCCCCGAGGCGAGGACGAACTTGATGTAGTAAGAGTTGCATCAACTGGCTGCCGGTGCCTCACAGCTGTAATCCTAGCTACTCAGGAGGCAGAGATCAGGTGGATTGAGGTTCAAAGCCAGCCTTGGCAAATAGTTCTTGAAAAACCCATCAATAAAATGGGCTGGTGGAGTGGCTCCAGGTGTTCAAGCCCCAGTACTGGGAAAAAAAAAAAAAAGTTGCACCCAAGGGGTCAATTTGGGGCCAGGCGTGATTGATGCATGCCTATAATCCTAGCACACAGGAGGCTGAGACAGGAAGATCATGAGTTGAAGCCCAGCTTGGGCTACATAGACCCCATCTCTGAAAGAAAAAAAAAGTATGGAGGCAATGTGACTGAAGTGGAGCAAATAAGGCAGAGGGGTGGGGAGATCTCAAGGCCTGAGTGGAGGAGTTTGGGTTTCATTCTAGGTGTGAAAACACTTTGGAAAGTTTGAGGCCAGAAAGGACATTGTTCCCAAGCACAGTTCCAGGTGACCAACCAGAGGGCTCGGGAGTGTGGCCAAGGGAAAGGGTGGCTGGTCAGAAATCCTCAGTTTCCCTCTATGCACCCTAGCACCCTGAGCCTTCTCCCTGCACACTGGATGTGAGTTAGCTCCTATGGCCTCTGGGATTGGCAGGGTGCTGGGAACCCCTGTGCCCTACACACAGGCACAGCAAGGGCTTTCAGGTGCCCTTCAGAACTTCCTGTGTGGCCAGGCTCATTCCTAGTTCTAAATGGGCTAGCAAGCCCATTTAGCATGCCTTTGTGGGGTTTTTTTTTTGTTTTGGCGGTACTGGAATTTGAACTCAGGGCCTACACCTTGAGCACTCCACCATCCCTTTTTTTGTGAAGGGTTTTTTGAGATAAGGGCTCTCGAACTCTTTGTCTGGGATGGTTTCAAACTGCTATCCTCCTGATCTCTGCCTCCTGAGTAGCTAGGATTACCCTGTGAGCCACCAGCACCCAGCTGGACAGGGCTTTGTAAAGCCTCCAAGCAGCTTGGGCACACCCAGCCAGGGTAGAAGACTGGGGGGAGCCACTGGGGGCCCAGTAAAATGAAGGACTTGCCTGGTTGTCACCCTCACCTTGTCCCCTTTACTTCCCCAGGGGCCTGCGAAGCCTCCCTGGCATGCTCCACCTGCCACGTGTATGTGAGCGAGGCCCACCTGGATCTTCTGCCCCCGCCTGAGGAGAGGTGAGCAGGGGAGCCTCCAGCTCAGAGCTGTGCAGCTTAATGGCCAGCCCCGGGGTACCCATGTCCAGCGTCCACCCTAGCCACAAGGAGAGCTGCCCTCTGCCAACACCCCCCACACCCTCTGGGCTGCAGTGTCCCCACCTGCTAGCCAGTGTGCAAGGGCCCTGATCAGCATCCTCGCTGTCCCAGGGAGGAGGACATGCTGGACATGGCCCCCTTACTGCAGGAGAATTCGAGGCTGGGCTGCCAGATCACCCTGACCCCTGAACTGGAGGGCGCAGAATTCACCCTGCCCAAGATCACCAGGAACTTCTATGTGGATGGCCATGTCCCCAAGCCCCACTGACACGGACTTTTGGTCTGACCCCAGACCACATGGCTCCAGGGCCAGGACTTGAAGGAAGAGCCAAGTTGCCAGCCGGGCCCAAGGCACAGACAGACCTGAGAGATGTGGGAAGCACGGCTAAGGTCACGGTTAAGGTCATGGCCACTGCCTGGGGCAGAGCCCTGGTTGTGGGGGGGCAGGGCCTCTACTTGGGTTGCCTTCCCCAAACCCCTGACAATCGGGGTGTGAATAGGGTTGGGCTCAAATTGAGCTGCAATAAAACTGTCACACACATCAGCATGTCATGTGTCCTTGGGGGTCTGGTCTCAGTCCTACACCTGCATCTGCTGGACCTCCGGCTCTGCCCGCCCGCCCCCCGCCCCCCGCCCCGGGCCTGAGGCCTGGGACCCCCTCTTCCTGGGGAAGAGGCCCCGCCCCTGCAGCTGCGGAAGGATCTGGAGCGATCGTGCTTGCCCTTGGCCCTGAGGGGTGCACAGGTGGCCCGAGGAAGACCCGCCTGGAAGCAAGGCGGCACCGAGGGGACCCCGCTGGCCCCGCCCCACCCAGGTGGGGCTCATCGAATCGCACCGGCAGCCAGAAGCGCCCCCCGCGGCCGCGCCCAGGTGGCGCCCATCCTCACCTCACCAGGGTTTGTCCGTGGGGGCGGGGCGGGGCGGGTCGGCGAGGTTAGCTGGGGGCTGGGCACTGGCCATGGAGGCCGATCGCACCCCGGACTTGCTGCTCCTCAGGGAGCTGCTGGCGCCTCCTTGTCTGGACCCCGAGTCGTCGCCCCCGGGACCCTCAGCGCAGCGCGAGCCGCGGCCCCTGAGATGCGTCAGACCCGGTGGCAGGTGAGCAAGGCCTGGCCCCCTCCCCCACCCCGCTGACACTTCACCAGGCCCAGTGGGCACGGGGTTGCGACCTCGGGCTCCCGGGGATGATCTGGGGGTCGCAGTGTTAGTTTCTAGTACTTTACAAGAAGAGGCTCCGGTGCCTGGGGACACTTGGGGGTCATCTAGGATAAGATGCCACGATCGCTGGGCCTGGGAGGCCTCAGAAGCTGGTGTAGACACTAATCGGGTCATCGGGGGGTTATAGGGGTAAACTAATAATATACATGAAAATCATCCCGGGCAGGCCGGGGGCGTGGCTCACGTGGTAGTGCTTGCCTAGCAAGCTCCAGGTCCTGGGTTCAAATGTCAGTACCACAAAAAAATCATAATGAGAATAGCAAAGGGCTGCTTGATGGAGCAGGCAGGTCACCTTAGGTTAAGTCCTTGTCCCACTGTGGTGATGAGGGCAGAGATCGCATCACACAGTAGGTACTGTTTGTAACTACTCTGCAACTTTCAAAGCTTCAAATGATTCTGTGCCTCAGGCAGGCACACAGTTAGCAAGGGGCAGGCGCCTCCTGGACAACCCCCTGCCCTTGGGGAGCCTCAGGCCTGCTGGATCCAAGATTACCCAGGGAGAGAAAGGGGTGGTCATTCAGCCTCTTGTCCCCAGGTCCCTCTGGCCTGCATGCCAGGACTCTGTCAGTCTGTGCTTCCTCCAAGAGACAGAAGAGGGGCTTCAGTCCCCGATCCCGGACACCCAGGCCTTGGCACCCTGCTGGGAGTCGGTGGCCCTGGGTACTTTGGACACCCTGACTATGGTCAGGAGCTCTAAGAACAGGCAGGCCTCAGTCAGCCACAAGTGCCACCGCCTGGAGTGCCACCAGCGTCCACCCCAGAGAAGACGTCGGAAGCAGCCGAAACCCAGCAAGAGCAGTGAGAAGGTGGACCCTGGGTTCAAGGGGGTGACTCTGAGGTTTCAGATAAAGCCAGATGCCAGCCTACAGATCGTACCCACCTACAGGTAGGGCCCAGCTGGGCAAGGGTGCCCTTCACACAGTCACCCCTCCAAATCTGATACTAAATTATGATCAAGTCTCTTAGATCAAATGGCATAGTATATGCATAGAACTTATGCACATCTGCACATCTCCTTTAAACTTTATTTTTTGACACAGGGTCTCACTGTGTAGCCCAGGCTGGCCAGGAACCCACGATCCTCCTGCCTCAGCCTCTCCGGTGCGGGGATTACAGATGTGCATCACCATGCCCGGCTCTCTCATAGACTTTCAATCATCTTTAGATGACTTATTATACTTAATATACCATACATGCTGTGCAAATAGTTGTTATATTGTCTTGTTTAGAGAATTATGACAGAAGGTCTGTACATCTTCAGTCCTTGTGCAGTTTTTTTTTTAATCCATTGTTGGTGAGTTTTTTTTTTTTTTTTTTTTTGCAGTTCTAGAAATGGAACCCAAGACCTCACATACACTAGGCAGGTCTCTGCCACTGAGCCCCACCTTAACCCTCCACAGTTGGTCATATACCCTATAGGTTGACAGAGAGAACTCAACAGTGTGGGGCGGAGGTCTGGGGGCCAGTGCTCTCAAGCATCCGCTCCCAGTGTCCCCCACCAGCCCCACATTACCAATGGCTCAGTCTTGGATGGAGACCTTGGACTGACACCAGGCCCAGCCCTCCACGCTAAGGCAGCCGCCTCCGCTCCCCGTCAGAGACCTGGTCTCTAGGAATTGTTACCCGCACAGGGGGTAGCTGCTCTATTCTCCAAAGGGCTCATAGCAACTTTTTTGTCAGCCATGACACCAACAAGAGGTAATAGGCAGCACCTGGTGGCTGTGGGCTCACTGAAGCCTTGTGAAGCCAATTTTACAGAGGAGGACACGGAAGCACAGAGAGGGAGATGACTTGTCCAGGGTCACACAGCAAGGACGGAAGAGAACTGGGATTCAAACCCCACAGCCTGGCCTCAGCTTAGTTAACACTTCAGATCATATTAATTATTATTTTAATTTTTTGTTTCTTTGTAGACCAGGTCTTCCCATGTAGCCTAGGCTAGCCTGGAACTCTCAATCCTCCTGCCTAAGCCTCCTGAGTGCTGGGATTACAGGAGGCCAACCAACACACCCAGCTCAAAATAATATCAATCATCATTATTGTTACTAGTGGGGGACAAAGCCAGACCTTTCAGACACTAGAGGTCTCTTCAGGAGATGCCTGATACCTTGATAATAAATTTTCATTTAGGGGGGCTGTCGGGGACAGGTTGCAGGCCCCCCGATGTTAATGCCTTGTCTCCCCTCCAGCCTGCCTGGCAGCAGCCATTCTCGGGGACCCCCCGCCAGTCCTGCCAGGGCCCCTGAGCCCAGTCCCCGAATGAGCGAGGCCTTGGGTGAGTCCTAAAGACCCTAGAGCTATAAATATTGGGGGGAGAGGGGAAAACTTCCAGCCTCCCTGTCTTCCTCCCTGCCCCCCTCTCCATCATGCGTCCCTATTTAGCTCAGCTCAGGAGGAGTGGTGTGCAGCGCCCCTCAGGCTGAGTCACCCCACCCCCGGTTTCCTCCTTTGCAGAGCATTGCCTCTGCCATCTGTCTCCCTTCCTGGGTCTCTGTCGTCTTCGCTTTGGCAACACCCAAGGCTGGTCCAGAGCCACTGGGGCCTTTGCAGAGCCCCCCCAAAGCCTCCCACCCCCACGTGAGCCTCTAGAGCCCCGAGTCTTAGCCCCTCACTCCTGCCCTTTGACCTCAGACCCTCCAGGGCCCCGACGCTGTGCTTCCTGTAGGACACAGAGGACCCCACTCTGGAGAGATGCAGAAGATGGGACACCCCTGTGCAATGCCTGTGGCATCAGGTCCTCAGTTGGGGGAGGGAGTAGGATGGGGGGTGGGAATCAGTCCATGCTTAGCCAGGATGGGGGATGGCGGGAGAAAACCAGCCAGCTCTTGGGGGAAAATGGTTTCCCTGTGGTAGCATCTAGACCCTCCGATGCATCCTAAATGGTGGTTTCTTATTACCCCACCCTCCAGGTACAAGAAATATGGCACCCGCTGCTCCAGTTGCTGGCTGGTGCCAAGAAAAAGTGTGCAGCCCAAGAGACTGTGTGGCAGGTGTGGGTTGTCTCTGAGCCCCCATCACGGCCCAACTCAAGAAGCATAAGCCTTTCTTCACCCAGCTTAGCAGTTTCTGCCTCAGGTTCTCCAGGGGAAGAATACGCAGAACCCTGAGAAAGCCAGCCCGTTTTCAGCTACATCACATGTGTGATTTGCACATGGGAGATTCAGGGTTTGGGCCCCACAACTCCTCTTGGGGTCACTGGGCCCCTGGCTCTGCCCTTTCTTCATTCAGGCTTGGCTGAGCCCCAAATAAAGGAAATTATCTCGGCAGTGATACTTGTTATTACTATTAACCTTGTGATAAAGGCCCAGCAGTGTGAACAAGAAAGCTGGGTGAGGGCTGGCGGTGAGGCTCAAGCAGGAGAATGCCTGCTTAGCAAGTGTTTAAAAAGGAGCAGTGTACAGCCAGGTGCTGTGGCTCATGCCTGTAGTCCTAGCTACTCAGGAGGCAGAGATAAGGAGGATCAAGCTTTGAAGCCAGCCTGGGCAAACAGTTCTTGAAACCCTATCTCGAAGAAACCCATCATAAAAACAGGGCTGGTGGAGAGGCTTAAGGTGTAGGCCCTGAGTTCAAGTCCCAGTACCACAAAAAAAAAAAATAGTGTGATTTGGGGATCCTACCTATGTGTCCCTCCTCTGTCCCTCCCAGCATGGGAAAGTGGGGACAAATGTTTTCTTAATGGAGTTTAAGGGGTAAAACACACCAAGTCATATACATAGGCCATGGACCAACACACAAGAAGTAGCCACATTTGGCCTGGAGGAATGGCTCAAGTGCTAGTACTCCTAGCAGGTGTGAGGCCCTAAGTTCAAATCCCAGTGCGGCCCAAAAAATTAAGAACCACAGTTGTTCAGCACAATGACCCACTCAGGGAAACAGCTACCACACAGACACAAACACATGCGCTGAGACCCACGTGTAGCAGGCACAAAAATATACACTAATCAATAGACAAAACCACTGAGACACACAAGATGTGCCTGGCACCTGCCTGTGATCTCAGCCTGAGGCAGGGAGATCGAAAGTTCCAGGCCAACCTGAGCCACATAGTGTGGCTTTATCTCAAAATAATTAGGCTTAGGAGTGGGGGTGGGGATCCAACCATACACCCCTGTTTTGCAAGTACAAAGTCCTGAGTTCAAACCCGAGTACCACCGAAAAAAAAAAAACTTAAAAAAACCATATGAATGGACACATGAAACACACATGCATGACACACCGTGCCAACAGACACACACACACAGGACCTTCATCTCTCGGCCACACTCCTGCCTGCAGACTGTCACCTTCCCTTTGTGTTTAATGCACACCACGCTCCTCCTGGGTCCTCTTCTCCCTCTTTCAAGGGTGATCCTTGAAAGCCGGGTGCCCTTGGCTCACGCCTGTAATCCTAGTTACTCAGGAGGCAGAGATCAGGAGGATTGGGGTTTGAAATCATCCAGACATAAGTCCTCAAGACTCTGTCTCATAAAAGCACATCACAGAAAAGGGCTGGTGGAGTGGCTCATGTGGTAGAGCGCCTGCCTAGCAAGTGTGAGGCCCTGAGTTCAAATGCTAGTGCCTCAAAAAAAAAGGGGGAGACCCCAATCTGAAGCCAGAGCCATGCATGAGCAGCTGGCCCTGGTTGGCTGGGACACATGGGCTCCCTGGGAGGGATAAGGAGGAAATCGAGGGGGATGAGGGGCTGGTGAGTGTTCACCTAGCACGGTGAGGCCCCGGGTTCCACGGATGAGCTTTGCCGAGGGTGTGGATGGCCCCTGCTGTGGGGAGGGGCAGCCATACCACATGCCTGTGAGATCCACCTGTGTCTCCTGGGTGCACCTGTAAGGAAGGCTCAGGGGTCTCAGCCTGGAACACCTTCCTCCATCTCCCTATAGTTGCCCCCTTCTTGTGACTTTGGACGACGCTCAGCCCCAACCTCAGCTCCTCAGACAAGACATCCTTAACTTCCTAGTCTAAACTAGGCGCCCATTCCTACCTGTCAGCCTCCAGGTCAGCGCCTTGCTGTCCCCCTCTTAGAGTTACCAGAGGCCCCATGATTATTCCATGCATACTCACCTCTCCCATTGGACCGTAACTTCTCAGGTCCAAGGTCACCACATCCATGTTTTTGACCGACATTGGCCTCTCCATGCCCAGCATGGAGAAGCTGACTGAGGGTACACTGACCACCTGAAGGTCTCTGTCTGTGTGTCTGTAAACACACGGCTGCTGTTATCTAGTTATTCAGCATTTATTGAGCAACTAGTGTGTGCCAGGCCCCATTGGGGACACTCAGTGGTGAATGGAAAGAATAAAAATCCCTGCTCTGTTGAGGACAATGCTCTCCAGTGACAGTAAAGAAACATTCAAGCCAGGCGCCAGTGGCTCACACCTATAATCCTAGCTACTCAGGAGGCAGAGATAGGAAGGATCATGGTTCAAAGCCAGCCCTGGGCAAACAGTTTGCAAGACCCTATCTCAAAAATATCCATCACAAAAAAAAGACCGGTGCAGTGGCTCAAGGTGGAAGCCTGAGTTCAAATCCCAGTACCGCCAAATAAATAAATAAATAAATAAATAAATAAGAAAATTTCATTTAGCTGTGGTCCCAGCTACTCAGGAGGCCAAGGCAGGAGGATTGCTAGAGCCCAAGAGTTTGAGGTCAACCTGGGCAACAGAGCAAGACCTTGACTAGGAAGGGAAGAGGAGGGAGGAGAAGGAAGTCAAGGTGATGAAGGAGTCAGAAGCAGAGGAGGGATTGAGGGAGGGAGGAAGAAAGGGGAAATTTCAATCAAATGCCAGATAGAGTATCAGGTAGGGATCTAGCTAGAGAGAAAAATGAAATACATAAGGCGTGAAAGAGTTGGGTGCCTACCTTAGCCACGGGGCTCAGGAAAGGTCTCCCTGTGGGGGCGACATTGACATAGACACTTAAATAAAAGGAACTGTTATGATTTGAAAAGGCAATGTCACCCAACATGCTTGCATGCTGAAATTTTGGTCACCAGCTGGTGGTGCTATTTTGGAAGGTTCTGGAAACTTGAGGAGGAGGGGCCCTGCTGTGAGAAGTAGGCCACTGGGCTGTGATGTGAAGGTTATACTTGGTTTCTGGCCCCCTCCTTTCTCTCCGTATCTTCTGTAGCCTACACTCTCACCACTGTGATGACTTCCTCACCACAAACCCAGAAACAAAAGTGACCATGGGACGAGCCCTCTGAACCCATGAGTCAAAATGAATCTTTCCCTTTTTTGGGGGGAGGATGGGACTAGGGTTTGAACTCAGAGCTTTGCACTTGCAAATCGAGGGCGAAAAGTTCATGAGACCCAGTCTCAAAAAAACCCATCACAAAAAAGGGCTGGTGGAGTGGCTCAAGGTGTAGACCCTGAGTTCAAGCCCCAGTACCACCAAAAAAAAAAAAAAGAAAAAGAAAATCAAGGGAACTTTAAAGATAAGCATGGTAAGTGGAATATGCCTTGGGTTCCAAAAAACTTAGCTCACCTACCCAGAGAACAAGCTTTAGGTAGGGCCTGGAGGGTCTGTCTCTCTTTTTTTTTTTTTTGGTGGCACTGGGGTTTGAACTCAGGGCTTCCCACTCACAAAGTAGGCGCTGTACTGCTTGAGCCACCCCTCCAGTCCATTTTGCTCTGGTTATTTTGGAGATTGGGGGGGGTGTCTCATAAATTATTTGCCTGGGCTGGCCTCAAACCAAGATCCTCCTGATCTCAGCCTCCCAAGTAGGATTACAGCTGTGAGCCACTGCCAGATGGCTAAATCTTTTCTCCTTTAAGTTGTTCTCTCCTGTATTTTGGTCCCAGCTATGTAAAACTGACACAGAAAATTGGTGCCAGGGGTTGGGTCCCTGCTCTGACCTGACCATAGGTCTTCAGTTTGTGGGAGGAGTTCGGAGGAATCTCTGGAAAAAAAAAAAAATTACACAAAGTGCTGGTGGAGGGGTTCAAGGTGCAGGCCCTGAATTCAAACCCCAGTAACACCAAAAAAAAAAAAACCCAAAAGTCTGTGGGCTTGTCTGTGAGATGACTCCAGAGACAACTGGGTCATGAGGGCTCCAACCTCCTGCATGGATTAATCCCTTGGATTGATAATATAGTAGCATTAGTGGGGAAGTGGTGAAAGGCAGGAGATGGGGCCCAGTGGGAGGAGTATGTCTCTGGGGGCGTGTCCTGGGGGGCCCCTTCCTGTATGCCTTTGTTTATCCACTTCCTGGCCGCCATGGTGTTAACAGTTCTGCTGCACCCCACCCTCCCGCCGTGATGGACTGACTCCTGAAGCTGTGAGCCAAAATAAATCTCTCCTCCCGTAAGTTATTTAAGGCAGACCTTCTGTCACAGCCAGGATAAAACTAATATACCTGCTTTAAGTTGTTCTCGGGTATTTTGGTCACAGCTACATAAAATAAATACAGGCGTTTTGAGGTGAGGAACCCCCCTCCCCCAGCTAGAAGGAACAGCAAGGGCAAAGGCCCTGTGGCACTGGATTTTGTGAACTTCCAGGAACTTGGAGGTGGTGGTAGCAAATGGAAAGAGATGATTAAGGGGAGGTGAGGCTCACACTTCTGCCTTTGTGTCACACCTCGTCCTTTGTGCCTTGGTGCTTTTTGTCCTTGGCACCCAATATCACTTTGCCTTTTGATGCCCACTTTTCTGCTCTCATCTTTGCTCATAAATGTTTGCATAGCAGCAGCCAATGGAGCCCAGAGCTGCCCAGGCCCGCTTCCTGCTTCGGGGCTCTGTGTTCCTGCTTTTCAGGGAGCAGCAGAGGAGGAGGCTGGGGGGAGGAGGCCCAGATGTTCTCTCCTTATGCTGTTGGAGGGGGGCAAAGGGAGATGGTAACAGGCGGCCAGGGTTGTATTGATCCTCTGTGTTCATCTGCTCTGAATCATGATGGAGTGAGTGGAAAGGCAAGTTGGAGATAAACTGAGGCACAGGGGTGGAGAAGGCATTGAGGGTGGTGCAGGGGTGTTCCCTTTGAAGGAAGGACATCTTGAAGGGTGACACTTACAGCATTTACTCATCCCTGTGACCCCAGGAAGGGGGCTCTGTCCATCCTGGCAAGGCGACCTTACTCTGCCGGTAACCAGGCCTGGGGGAAAGTACCTTAGCCATCACCTCCAAGAACTGCCGGATCAGGATCAGAGAGCAACACTGGGCGGAAGAGATAAGAGGGAGGAGAAGGAAGGATCGAGTCCCCACCCCTGCTCTAGGGTCCGGTGATTGCAGGAAATGTGGTACCAAGAGGACAAACTCCAGGTCACAAGGCGCACAGATAACCTGGATCCAAGCTCCATGCCTAGTAACATTTATTAGCCGGGCGCTGGTGGCCCCTGTCTGTAATCCTAGCTACTTAGGAGGATGAGCGCAGGAGGACCGAGGTTCGAGGCCAGCCCAGGAAAATAGTTCAGGCGACCCCATCTTCAAAATACCCAGAGCAAAACGGAATGGAGGTGTGGCTCAAACTGTAGAGTGCCTGCTTTGCAAGCGCGAAACCTTGAGTTCAAACCCCAGTCCCACCAAAAAAAAAAAAAAAGAATAAATGAACAAGCAATAATAAACGTTGAGGTTGGGATTTCACATTGTAGTCAGATGCAGAAACCCCCGAATCCTTTATAAAAACTTTATTGAGGGGATGGGTAGAAAATGGGGGTGACGCCCCAGAATTGAATAAATAAGTACAATAAATAAGCCCCCGTGCGCATCTGGGGGCGGCCCCCGACCGGCGGGGAGAGGGGAGCAGACTCACGCTGACGTCAGCTGGATGGCGAAGACCTCACTCCCCGCCGGAGACTCGGCCGCGCCCCCCGCCTCGGGTCCCCCTTCTGCGCCTGCGCCCCCGGCGCCTCCGCCCGCGCCATTGAGACACACGGCCTCGCCCGAGCTCTCGGCCTCCTGCACGTTGTACTCGCCTTTCTTGCAGGCGGTGGACTGCACGTAGAAGGCCAGGCCGGCCCCCGCGGCCAAGAGCGCCGCGCCCCCCGCCGCGCCGCCCACGGCGATCCACAGCCACGGACCTGCGAGGGGGGTGGAGACCCTCACCCCTGAGGGTGGACAAACTGGGGATCCTCCCACCCAGAGCCACCTCTGTCCCCTCCCACGGAAAAGAGGCTAATACTCCTGCATCTGCCATCATGGCCCCAGGGAACAGTCTGGCCTTGGGAGAAGGGAGAAACCCTCTGTAAGGTCCCTCCAGCCTCAGTGTGACCCCAGACCCAGTTCACTCCCGGCTCAGACCATAGGAAACCCTTCGCCCCATTCCCAAAGGGTGACGATTGGTGGGTCCAGCTCAGCCGTCCTCCACCCCAGACAGACCCCAGACCTAGGAACTGCACGAAATGTGGGGAGGGGATCTAGTTGGGCCCCCATCAGCTACCCTGGGTCCTTCTCCACCCCTCCGTTCCCCACAGCGACACAGTGGAAGGTGAACTGGGTCAAGTCTTCCCCCTCCCAGAACCCCTCCAAGTTAATAAGCTCCTTCCCTGGATCTCCTGCCCTTTTGTCCCCGACCTCCCATCCCAACTGGCCCACAGCCCCGCCCAGGACGCGCTTTTCACTTCCACTTTGACCCACTTTGGTCTCATCCTTGGGGACTGAGAGACAAGAGACCTGGGGTCACGCACCCCAAGGCCCAGGTCTCCGCCCCCAGCTGCCACTTACCGGCCACGCGCACGGTGATGCGCCGTGCGTGGCGCCCATGCGCGTTGGTGGCTGCGCACTCGTACTCCCCGCCGTGGCTGCCCATGGCGCCCGCCACGCTCAGCGTGCTGTTGTTGCTCGACAGGCCGAGGTTGAGGGCCCCCGGGGGCGCGCGCCAGCTGATCTGGGCCGGAGGCCAAGCCTCGGCGCGGCAGGTCAAGGTGAAGTTCCCGCCTGGTCGCACGCTCGGAGGTGAGGCGGCCAACTCGGCCACCACCGGCCGGTCTGTAGGGGGCAAAGGGGCGACTTGGCGCCGGCCTAGGGATTGACCAAGTGCCCTCGGGGCCACCACGGTCAGTCTGAGGTCACCCCCTCCACCGATGTGCAGGAGAATTAATGGTGCCTCCCATCTGAGCCCCTCCCACATCACCATCCGCTTGTTCTTCGGACAAAAACTTTGTGTCTTTACTGAATGGCAGAAGGTGGGGCCCTGTGCCACTGACCCTAAAATTTATATTATCCCCATGTTTAGTTCCTTGCCCCCAATTGCGGAACTGGGAGAGGTACCCCTGACTCCCATGGACTGGCCTCCATCCGGCGCCGGCCTCCACTCACATTCCACGCCCACAGTGACAGTCCGGGAGTCCGTGCCATGCGCATTGGTGGCCACGCAGCGATAGGTCCCCGCGTCTTCTCGGGACACGCGCTGCCTCTCAGGCCGGGCCACGCCCTCTCGCGAGCAGAGCACTCGTGGGGAGGGGCGACCCCGGGCGACACAAGCCAGTACATTAGCTTTAGCCCCTTCCAGCCACGTCTGGTGACTTGGGCAGCTGGACTCGTCCATCTGAGGCGGCGCTGCAAAGCAGCCAGGAGTGGGGGGCGTCAGGGAGGGGCCAGGACCCTGGGGTTCCCCGTACTTCCCCCCCACCTGGGCCCCGCTCACACTCCGCGCTCACGACGACTGTTTTGATCATGGAGCCGTGCCGGTTGGTGGCGTTGCAGAGGTAGATACCGGGTGCCAGGTCACTAGGGATACTGGGGTTCCTGGGACCAGGGTTTGAGGATGCCAGAGGCAATGCTACCCCCTCACTGGCGCCCTCGGAGCCCACGCACTCCACCCTGGGCTCTGGCTTGCCGTCAACCTCACAGGAAAACAGCTTTCCAGATCCTTCCACCCATGTCCAATTGCTGGGGCAGCTCAGCTCCTCAAAACTGGGGCCGTCTGGGAAACAGGGAAGCAGGGGTTCACACAGGTGACGGGAAGCCCAGCCGGGGTGGTCCCGACAGACCAGAGCTGCTCCTACTCACATTCCACCGTGACAGCCACAGTTTTGGCTGCAGAGCCTCGAGCGTTGGTGGCTTCGCAGCGGTAAGTGCCCGCGTGCTCCCGGGCCACAAGCAGCAGCCCTTCAACAACTTCGGCCTCCCCAGAGCGCACACAGCTCACGTTGGGCGGCGGGACTCCGTGCGCCACACAACTCAGCGAGGCCTCTGTTCCCTCTAGCCAAGTAATGCGGTCCGGGCAGCTCACACTGTCCAGCGCCGGCGCGTCTGGAGGGAGGAGTGTGTTATTGAATTTGAGATTTTGGGACCAATCTGATGTCTCTAGTAACCTTCTTTCTGTGTCCCAGGGATGCCAGTAAGGGCTGAGCATGCTATCCTTGGAGTGGAGACTCCGAGCCAAGAGAGTGTCGCGTTGGTCAAACCTGGTGTCAAACCCCAAGCTCTGTCTGGGGGCCTCCTGAGCCCTAAAGGTGCCTTTTACTGATTCCCATGATACGACCACAAGCCTCTCCCAGTCTTTAGCCTAAAAAATTGTTACACTGCCAGGAGCTGGTGGCTCACGCCTCTAATCCTAGCTACTTGGGAGACTGAGATCAGGAGGCTCGAGGTGCCAGGGTGGCCCAGGCAAATAGTTCTGGAGACCGCCATCTCCAAAACTAGCAAGAGCAAAATGGACTGGAAGTGTGGTTCAAGCGGTAGAATGCCTGTTTGCAGGTTCGAAGCCCTGAAGTCAAACCCCAGTCCCAGCAAAAGGAAAAAAAAAAATTGTTAGACTGTCTAAACCCCCAGAGTTCTATCAGACTCCGCCCAAAGCCACACCCTCGCGTAAGGCCACGCCTACCCCCTTCACCTCCATCCTTCTCCAAGATTTTTCCCTAATTCCTCTTGTTCACCAGCCCCTTACCTTTCCCAAAATCCTGCCCAGAGGCTCACATAAGACCCCCTTCCTGCACTTCCATGTATGCCCGCTACTCCCAGCCCCTGAGAGCCAGAAAGAGTGGCCCTGCGAACCCCTACTCACACTCTACGGTCAATGTCACATCCTTGACCGCCTCGCCCTGGGCATTGGTCGCCGTGCAAAGGTAGGTGCCCGAGAGCGCACGAGTGACCGGACCCAACAGACCCAGAGCCAGCACGGCCCCGCCGTCGCGCCGCGCGCAATGCACCGAGGGCTCTGGGTTTCCGCGGGCCTCGCAGCGCAGTGTCTGCTCCGGGCCCTCTGGCCATGTCCAGCTTCTGGGACAATAAGAGTCGTCCAGGCGGGGGGCGTCTGCAGGCAGGGACGTGGGATTCCAGAGGTTAGAAGTGGCTCGTGAGGAATCACGACATGTCAGGGTCCAGACAGGTCCTTGGAGTCACAAGTAGGAGGGCGAAGGATGAACGCCAACTCACAAAGGACGCGAAGCTCAGCGCTCTCGTTTTTGCTAAAGATCTCCCCGTCCACCTCGAGGGTGGCGTCGCAAAAAAAGCCGCGCTTGTCGTCATCCTCAGTGACGTTTATCTGGAGTTGGGCGGGTTGCCCTGGGACTGCAGCTGGAATTCCTTCCAGTGTGACCAGGGCATGAGCCCCGGCTGTGCAGGTTACTGTCACCATATTCCCCTCAGTGGCGTTAGGCTCGCTGAAGGTCAGCAGGGGCTCAGGGAAGCCTGGGGGCGGAGCATTGGTTGGAGGCCACGGAAATTACCCCGCCCACCAGCGAAGCCCCGCCCTTTACCTGCCTGAACCCTCGCAGAGCTGCAGCCAAGCCGATGCCCCGCCTCTCAGGCTGCCGGGGCCCCGCCCATTCTTCGCCCCGCCTCCGCGTTCCTCTGGCCCCGCCCCCAGATTTTCCCTCTTTCCCTCTTACTGTAGACTGTCACGTTTTCCCGGGTCTCCCGGCTTTCGCTGCCCAGAGTCACGTTGCAGACCAGCTCCCTAGTGCCCTCCTGGTCTGTGCTGCCGGTGGCTGTAGCAGTGGCCATGAGGGTGTCCCCCTCGAGGGTGACGTCGGGATTCAGCCTCTGATCTCCCAGCTCGAGGTAAACCATGGCCTCCGGGGCTGGAAACAGTCCGTCCAGGGTGCAGCTAACCGGCCTTTCTGAGCCCACTTCCAAGACCCGGGGAGCAGCGAGACGCGGGGCGTCTGGAGTAAGGGCTAGGAGTAGGAGAACAAAACTTGAACTTATGCAGTGTGCACTCCGTATGCACTAAGAACTTTACACACCAGGAGCCCTAAACAACTCAATAGGATTTAGCATTCAGATGCATATGCTTCTAAACTTTTTTTTTGGTGGGACTGGGATTTGAACTCAGGCCTTCGCGCTTGCAAAACAGGTGTTCTACCGTTTGAGCCACATCCCCATTTTACTTTGCTCTGTTTATTTTGGAGATAGGGTCTCACAAACTATTTGCTCGAGCTGGCCTCCAACTATGAAACTCCTGATCTCAGCCTCCCACGTAGTTTAGGATTACAGGCGTGAGCAACCGGTGCCTGGCTGCTTCTAAATTTTTTTTTAATGCAGTACTGGGGCTTGAACTCAGGGCCTACACCTTGAGCCACTTGAGCCACTCCACCAGCCCTTTCCTTTTTTTCTTTTTTCTTTTAAGATAGGGTCTCACGAACTATTTGCCTGGGGTGGCTTCGAACCGCGATCCTCCTGATCTCTGCCTCCTAAGTAGCGCGGCTTTGCTTCTAAACTTCTTAAAGGCTTGCCCGACCCCACAAGGGGTCCCTACACCGACTCACAGAAGGTCCGGAGTTCTCTGGGTGCCGAGCTGTTTTCAAACAGTCCCAGGCCGTGCGGCCGCAGATCCAGCTCCGCGCGGCATGAGAAATTAGCCCCATGGTCCTCCCTCCGGGCCAGTACCGTGGCCGTGAGTACCGCGCCCCGCGCTCGGGGTGGCTCGCCGGCGAAGCTGTGGCGGATCAGCTCCTGGGCGCCCCGCAGCAGGGTCAATGTGAGGCTCCCACGCGGCCCCGCACCCGGAACCCTGCAGCTCAGGGTGAAGTTTTCGCCTACAGGCTGCCAGGGAGGTAGCGGTACCAGCTCTACGCGATCGGGCCGCTCTGCAAAGGAGGAATCACAGCTCCAGAAAACCGGCTAAGACCACAGAGCGCAGAAGGGAGGACGTGGGGATCCAGAGGGTGGAGCCCACGGGGAAGACCCCGGGACCCAGAAGGCAGGGCCTGGAAGGGAGGACTAGTGGAGTACGAGCGCGGCCACCCAGAACTCACGGAAAGTGCGAATGAGCCCACGCGCCTGGAGTGTGCGCCGCGCGCAGCGGAAGAAGCAGACGGGCTGGGTCTCTGGCTCGTGGATGTCCACCAGCTGCCGTGCCAACCAGCGCAAACCCCTCTGGGTCCCGTTCCTGCGCAACGAGGTCTCCAGGCCCCCGCGCTCCGGCCGAGGGCAGTTAGTGCTGCAATTCAGCCACAGCGAGCCCCCGCGCTCCACAAGCGCCACGCGGGGCTGCAGGTCCGCCCAGAAGGGCTCCTGCGCGATCGCTGCCCCGGGGAAACGCGGGCTCAGCCTGGGGGAGCCACGCTCGCAGAGATCTTAGCGCCCCTATGCCGAGTCAGGTGTTCCCGAGGGACAAGCAGAGGGCCGCATCCAAGACAGAACCCAGGTGTCCCGCGTCCTGCCCAAGCCTCAGGTTTGGAGGCGCTCTCCAAATCTCGAGGTTGTATCAGGGATATGGCCACAGTCAGCCCCGGTCTCCAAGGCTCCGATAAAGTGGTGGGAGAACATGGGGGGAGGGGAGAGACAAGAGGAAGCATGGGGTCTTCGATGCACACAGCAACAGTGGGAGGAAGGGACTCCAAGTGGGGGGATGGGGAACAAACCGCTTCTCAAGCTCCTGGCAGATAGCCAGGAGAGGGGGAGACTGAGGTTGGGGCGAAGGCAAAGAAGAGATGAGGCTAGGTCAAGGATATGGGAGGACCCCACACCTGGGTAAAGAACATGGGGAGAAGACGCGGGGCTGGACTCCTGGAAGGAACCGCGGGAACAGCCTGGGACGTGGTTGCCAGGGCTCCAGGTGGAGCGGAAACAGAACCTTTGAGTCATGATAGTTGAGGGGCTGGGGTCTTTGCGGATCGCGAGTGGGGAAGATGCCAGTCTATGCACCACCACGGTGCACAACAGAGTGAGAGGAGGTAGTCGGGGAGGGGAGAGGAGAGCCGCAGGGTCTCTAGGGTGAGGGGATGGGTGCAGAAGAGCACCTTGGATCTCGTATGGGGTGGGGTGGAGACCTAGGAGAGCGAGGAGTCAGGAAGCTGGGACTCTGTGTGTGCGGCGGGGAGGGAGATAGCGGAGAGAAGACCGGGCTCAAGGTCCTGGCAGCAGCGTGGGAGCGAGGAGAGGGCGGAGCCGGGAGGAGCATGGGGCCGCCTCTTAGGTCCCGCAACTCCGCCCCCGCCTTGTCCACCCGAGCCGCGGCGGGCTCTTACCTGACAAGCCGAGGATCCCCAGGCCCAGGGCAGCCCAGAGGCCGAGTAGCGCTCGGCACAGCCCTGGCGAAGGCCCTGGCATCGCCGCCGCGGGGGAAGCGCAGGAGGCGAGGGGAGCGCGAGTGACGAGCTGGGCTAGAGGACGGCGCGACTCGGCGGGCGGACTGTGGGGGAGGCAGAGTTGCGCTCGGGGATTGGTTTAAACGTTGGTAACTTGGTTTCCAAGGAGGGGGCGGCGGCAGAGGCGGCGGGGGGCGGGAGGCGAGCGTGCGCTGGGCTCCCGGCCTTGTGGAAGGCGAGCTGGCAGGAGCAAGCGACTACCGGGGGTCTAAGTGGAGGTCGACCGGATCATCTGGAACCATCCGGGGACTACCACGCTCTCCCGCGTCATCCCTGGCCGAGACGCGGAGGTGGAGGGATGCTGGGTTGCCCTGCCCAAACCCCCACCCACCCCGGATTTAGATGCTAGGATAACGCGCTGGACTCCCAGCTCCGCCCCCCGGCTTAGCTCCTCCCACCAGCGCCCCTTACGGTCAGGACTGATTTGGGGGGCAGGAGAGGTTCGGGGTACGCAGTGTGGGGAAAGGACAGTCCTAGGGGAGGGTGGTGGGGATCCCACCCTTCACTGGTCCTTTTCCTTTGACCCGGAGAGCTGCGGATTGCAGCCACACCCCTAAGTCCTCCTCCCGCTCGGCTCCCGCACGCGACGGAGGGGGCGGGGACGAAAGTGCCAGCGAGTCGGGGACACGTGTGTGCGTGCGTGCAGCGTTTGAGGGCGTCTAAATTAGAGTCGGCTCGGCTCGGGGTCTGTATTTACCCAGCGTGCAGCGGGCATGTGTCTACTCGGCGTTTGTGAGCGCGACTTTCCCAGGAGAGCTTCTGAGTGCTCCTTCCGCCGGGCGGGCAGGGACCTGGCCCTGCTTGGTGCCGGATATGGTGTGGGCCTGGAGTCTGCGTCCATTCGAGACTTGAGAGGGCAATTGTGACACTTTTGATCCTGTATCTCTCCCCACGCTTTGACCCCTTTGTGCCCACCTGGCTTGGTGACTACCAAAACATTGTCAGGACGCAAGCCTGTGACATCGCACGTGGATCGTCTGATTATCTCTTCCTTAACTGTCACTGCACAGATACCTCCTCTGGATAGCCAATTTCCCCCACTACGTCCATGTGGTCCCGCCGATTGTGGTCTCGCTCCCAGTGTTAATGATGACCCAAGGGGATGAGTTCTCGCTCCACAGTTGGCCTCCCATAAAGTGGAGATGGGGGTGGAGGTGGGAAAGGAAACTTAACATCCAATCAGAGTTGCTGCGTGTAGCGGCCGAGCCAATCAGCAAAAGCCATGCCATAAACCAGCCCTCCCCTCCCCAGGCTCTCTACCGCCCCACCTTAGCCCATCTGCACCGCACAGATAAGGCCAGCAGGAGAGGTTTTTACTACACCGGCTGGGAATTCACAGGGAATGGGGCTCGGGACCCCAAATGGATCTTGAGTGAGAAATCGCAGGTGCCCTGAGGGAGAGGACGCATTTAGAGAAAGCAAGGCGGAGATACTAATTCTTCCAAGGACCGTTAGAGCCATGGGATAGAGGCTGACTGAAGACGTCTTTATTGATCCGAGTAGGGTTTTCCAAATTGTTCCTCAATTCATTTTCCTCCCGCTTAGCTGGCATAGAACACCCATCTATGCCGGCAACTGCGTGACCAGGTACTTGCGCAGGTAAGCAGCCCCCACGGCAAGAAGGATACCCATCAGGATGACGATGGAGGTGGAGGCCAAGGCTATGGAGACGGGACTCCAGTCTGGGAGCAGGATGTGAGAGGAAGAAACCACCTGGAGGTTGATCCCCCTCCCCCGCCGAGAAACTCACACTTGGTCTGTGTGCCCTCCTGGAGTCATAGTCCCCTCCCCCCAAGTCCCCAAGAGTGCCTCACCTAGGAAGGTCAGCATAACGGGTGCTGAGCTGCTTCGAACTATCAGACCGTCGAGATTGAGGCGCGCATGGCAGGTCAAAGGCTGCCAGAGATCCTGGGGCCCAGCCCGCAACACATGGGTCAGGGTCACATTGGCCAGATCCAGACCGGTGAAGCGCTCCAGTCTTTCAAAGTAGATGACCCGGCCCTTGCGCCTCAGGGTCACCACCATGAAGCCCACGGGGAACACGTGCGTAACGTGGCAGCGCAGAGTGTACATGCGGCCCTCTAGGACCGGAGGCTCCAGGATCACACTGCGCGGCGGTTCTAAGGCGAGAGGGGAGCCCTTTGAGTTAAGGTCCGCGGGCGCCCCCTAGCGCCACTGCTTCCTCCACCCTCCTCCCTTCACCCCAGCTGGGCCTGAGCCCTTGACCCTCACTGTAGGCGTTGATCCTGGCGGTGGCCTCACGCGTTTCTCCTGCGCAGGTGACCAAGCAGCGTACGATGGAGCTCCAGGCTCTCACATCCAGCAGCTGGTAGGATACCCAACCCGGTCTACTGACCTTCTGGCCCTGCCGCAGCTGGGTGTGGAGACTGGACCTCCCCGGTAGGGGGCAGTTATGACTACAGTTAAGCCACACTGAATCCCCTGGTGGTACAGCCACCAACTCCGGGCTTATATGTACCTGGAAATTTGCTGAGGTCCCCACGGGCGCAGGAGGGCTGCCCTTCAGGCCCGGCACCTGCTCATCCTGGGGCCCCTGCACTCTCCCACCTCCCGGGTGGGCAGCCACCAGCAAAAGCAGCAGCAACAACAGCACAGATCCCATGGCAAAGAGCCCTCACTAAGAGGCCTGCACCAGGGAGCCACGGCTGGCTCTGGAGATAAGGAGGCCGATAGCCCCGCCTCCTCGGACCCTCCCAAAGAGGAACCTAGGGCGTGCAGGAACCTCCCCACTGGACTCAAGAAAGATCCCAGACCCCATATTCAACCAAATATCAGTGTATTTTTCTGGACAAGGGTCTTCTGTTTTCACTAGAGAAGCTAAAGATCATGAAAAAGCTCCAAATTTGGACCACAGCCTCAGGGTTGCGCCAACCAACAGTCTTTTCTTAGAGGAGGAAGTGGGCAGCCAAAGCCTCCAGCGGATGGACTGACATGAGACCTGCCTACTACTCACACAGGCTGAAATGAAAGCTTTATTGGCACAAAGAAAAAGCTTTCAGAGCTGGGAAGGGAACCTCCAAGCTGGGAGTTCTTGCCCCACCCCCACTACTTGCAGGGTCGTTGCAGAAAGCTGGAGTTGCAGATTTGTCTTCCTGCCTAGTCCCATGGACATGGAAATGGGTGGGACAAGGTGGAGCCTTTGGGTCCAATAGAAAAAGTGCCCCTTCTACCAGAAAGCAGAAGCTTGGTCAACAGAGTGAGAAATTCCAGCTTCTCTGATCCTTTTGCCAGGCTTGTGCAGTGCGTACAACTGTACCTGGCTCCTCTGAATGTGATTAGACTAGGTGTTCCATGAAGGCAGGGACCTATATTCACCTTGTTCACCATTCTAGCCTCAATAAATAGCAAGGGAAAAATCACAAATAAATATGTCATTCATCAAGTGTTGGGGACAGACGTTAGACAGCAGGGCCTGAGTTGGCATGTATCACAGGAGTTTGTGTTTTGATGCTACATGTGTCTGGCGGGCTACAGTGGGGCCTCATCACATGTAATAGGGGTGATTTTGGTATTTCCTGGCTGTGGTTCCACAAAGCCATGGATGTGTCTCTATCACTCCTCCTCCATCCAGGTCAGACTTCAGCCTTCCTCCTGGTCACATCTGAGTCTTACTCCTTCCTTTTGGCTCAGTTTTGAAGCTACAGGTCAGGTGGGAGGCCTAGGGGTCCAAAGTGTGCAGATGCTTTGACTCCAAATGTGGTCTGCATCCTGAGGCCACTGTCCTATCCTCTGTCACCATGAGGTGGTGGGTGTAGCTTAGTGGCCCGCGTCCACTATTCTGTTCAATGCAGCACCATTTCGGCCATGCAGGGGTGGCCCTGTCGGGGCGGGGCTCAGGGGGGCGTGGCTTGTGTGTTCAGCTTCATGGTGGCCCCTTCCAGAGCCTTCTGTATCTTGTATTTCTTGATCTTCCGCTGGCGATTATAGAGGTAGGCAGCCAAGACCAGGGTGCTCACTAGGGCTGCGATTATCACCACAATAATGATGACCAAGTTATTTTGGTTGTCTGTGGAGAGGACACAGTGGGTGGTGAGGATCCAGCCAGGCCCACAGACTGGCCCATGCCTGCCCTGCACCCTGGGAAACTTACCCCATAGCACTTTAAGGAACACTTCCCGGGTGACCTCCCCACGGGAGCTCACTGCGCGACACAGGTAGGTGCCATCAAGTTCCCGTTTGACAAAGCTCACAACCCCGATGGGTAGCAGAGCCCCATCTGTTTTCCGGGTACAGCTCAGCAGGGGGGCTGGATTTCCCCAAGCTTGGCATCTCAGAGTCTTCTGGGATCCCTCTTGCCACGTCCAGTTCCCCAAACAATCCCTCTCGTCCAGCCGGGGGCCATCTGGAGAAAAAGCAGGATGAGGGGGAACACAGGTCAGGGACAAGGACATCCCTCACCATCTAGGACTGCAGAAGACAGCATTCCTAGGCGTGACGCGAACCAGTTCTGGAGAACACACAGGACCGTGGCTATCTGCAATAAGAAGGGGCAGGGCTGGGCTTTCATGGGGGCGGGGCCTGAAAAGGGGCGGGGCTTGGAGGGCATTGTCCAGCAGTCCCACTCACAAAGGACACGGAGCTCCAGGGTCCGGTTCTTGTACAACACCTTCCTTGCCACCTCCAAGGCAGCAGAGCAAGAGAAGAGTCGCCCATCATCCTCCGCGCTGGCGTTTATCAGGAATTTGACTTGCGAAGATGGTGGCCCAGGTTGGGCATCGCTAAGTGTCACCACAGCTCCAGCATGGGCTTCACAAGACACTGTCACCAGGTTCCCTTCCGAGACCTCCGGCTCACTCAGAGTCAAATTGGGACCTGGGAAGTCTAAGAGGGCAGAGCACACAGTGAGCCCTGCCCCGAGTACCGGCCCCAACCATCGAAATGACCATCCCCAGGTGCAGACCCCGCCCCTTAAGGCCACGCCCCGTGTGGCCCCGCCCGTTGGGGAAGCCTCCATCCACCAGGCCCCGCCCCTAGCACACGCCCCGCCCCGTTGGAACCTTCCACCTCTCTGGCCCCGCCCCTCAAAAGTCCCGCCCCTTCTTACCGTAGACGGTCACAGTGCTGTGCGTCGCCCGGGTCTGGTTCGCCAGTCTGACCACACAGCGCAGCAGCTGGATGCCCTCCTGCTCCGCGGTCACCTGGATGGTGGCCTTGGCTGACACGGAGTCCTCGTGGTATGTAGTGATGGAGTTCAGCCTCTGCTCCCCCAGCTCCAGGTGCACCTGGGCCTCCAAAGAGGGAAACAGCCCATCCAGGGAGCAGTCCACAGGCTCCAGGGTGCCCACCTCCAGGCGCTCGGGCGCGACAAGTTGTGGGCGAGTCACGGGCAGGACTGCGGAGAGATGGGGGACTGAGCACAGAGGGAAGTCATGGCCATCCCGAAGCCCTTTTCTAGGGACATTCTCTTCCCTGGGGACTCTGAAGCCGCCCTTGTCCTAAGTTACACGGATTCCTTAGCCGAGGTCTCAGTCTTCCCCATAAGGTCCTGTAGCCAAGGGCACCCCATCCCACCCCATCCCATGGCCACAGACATGTTCCTTCCAGAAGTGTCTACAATGTAGGCACCACCTTCTCAGCACCCCCCATGGCCAGGGGTGCCTCCCTGCCAGGAGCCCAAATGCCTCACCGAAGGTTCGAAGCTGCCTGGGGGCCGACGTGTTCTGGAACAATCCCAGCCCTTGCGGCCGCAGGTCCAGTTCCGTGCGGCAGGAGAAATTGGCGCCATGGTCACCTCTGCCCGCCAGCAGCGTGGCTGTGACCTCGGCCGGCTCCCCCACCACGGGCCGCCGCGGGCTCAGCTCCTCCTCCCCGCGGAGCAGCACCGCGGAGAGCCGGGCCCGAGGTGCCCCGCCTGTCACCAGACAGCGCAGGGTGAGGTTGTCACCCACGGGATGCCAAGGGGGCAGGGGGGCCAGCTGGACCTCAGGGAACCCTGTGGGGAGACAGGGAGGAAGGGAAAGTCCTGTAAGCTAGACGGCTGCAAGGGAGCCACACCTGTCTGGTATATTTTGCAACAACACCTTCTCTCCCAAACACGCCCCACCACCTAAGCACATGGGAATGCCAAGAGCTGGGGGAAAACTGTGAGTAGGCTCCAAGTGTTTGCCAAGGGAACACTTAGCAGTGTCTCACAAGTAGAAAAGAATGTCAATGAGTCTGTCAAATGGGATCCAGGTCTATATGTGCTGGATTTCCAACCTCTATTTCAAGGGACTATTGTCATGTGACTTCCACTCTTTGACCCTCAGTTTCCCAAGCTGTAATATGGGGCTATTAGAGGTAGGCGTATAAGAGGTTCAATGAGTACAGATGGCTGAAGAAAAGGCTCTAAGTTTAGACCGTAGTGATGGTTGTTCAATCTATAAATGCACTAAAACATTCATCAAATTGTATATTTAAAAGGGGTTAAGTTTTTTTCCTGTGGTGCTGGAATTGGAACCCGGGGCCTTTGCGCACGCTGTTGCAAGCACTTTACCACTGTGATACAACTCATCCCCAAGAGGGGTGCATTTTGTGGCTTATAAATTTTATCTCAATAAAGCTGTTTAAAAAAAAGAAAGAAAAAGAAACCAACCCAAAAGGTCAAGAAAAACCTCAAGTCTACAAGTCTAACTTGTAGAACATGAGGCGCCCTTCAAACCTCAGCCCCAAAATGGAACCCAACACCCTAAACTCAGTTCCCTTGCTTAAGCCACAGGAACTTGGGGGAGGCTGTGTGTTTGCCCTTACCTCTCCTTGACCCTGACCTTCAGTCCCTCACCAAATTCTGCTCACTCCATTCCTCAAATATTTGTCCGCCCCTCCCTTTTTGGATCGCGCTAGGGCCAACAATATCAGCAGCCCAGACAAGGCCCATGGCCAGCTGCTTTCTGGCTTCCATAAATCCAAACCTTTATGGCTCCCTATTACCCTGAGGAAGAGAAAGTGGATCCCAGTTCCTCATCCCAGGCACACCAACCTCCAAATCAGGGAATTTTCCCAGTCCTGACCTGTGCCCAGATGTTCCCTCCCCCCACAATATCATCTTTACAATCTCTTACACATGCGTCAAAGCCCGGCTAGTGGTCACCTCCTCTAGGAATTAAACCTGTAACATTTCTGGGAAAGGTTCAGCCATCCAAAGATGCTTCCTTGCCTTAACACCAAAAGCGGGGCAGGACCAAGTTAGCATCTCTCCCCAGTGTCCCCCACTCAACTTTCCCCCCTTGTTATGATGGGTCAGCCATCAGCTGTCTTTCAGAAGTAGAACCAAGTCAGAGTAGAGCCTCTGAAGTCACAGAGGGAGAAATGTGATAGAGCCAGGACTCTGACCTGGAGTACTAGGTTCTCAATATCAAGCTGAGATTCAGAAAGTCCTCTAAATGAGATTTCCCCGGGATTTTCAGAGGCCACCAGGAATGTTTGGGGACTTCCCTCACCTGGAGAGCAATGACAATATCTAATTGTACATCCTCCAAATCAGAAGCTGAGCTGAGAAGCCTGGCATGGTGGTGCATGCCTGTAATCCCAGCACTCAGGAGGTGGAGGCAGGAGGGTCTTCAGTTTCAGGCCCGAATAGGCTTCACAGCAAGACCCTACCTCAACAACAAGGATGAAAAAACAAGTCCCCAAGGGTCACACAGGGACTGGATCAAGGCCATCTAAGTCCAATGCCAGTTTGTCAGTTCTTCTGGTTTTTCTTCCCTAATTTTTTGCTTGCTCTCTCTTTTTTTAATTATATTTATTTTTTTGCCTTGGTAACTCATCTTCCAGTCCAAAATCCTCATATCTCTGTCTCTCTTTCTCTCTCTCTCTCTCTCTCTCTCTCACTCTCTCTCCCCCCTCCCTCCTTCTCTCCCTGTCTCTCTCTCTTTCTCTCATCTCCCTGTCTCTCTCTTCTCTCCTCTCTCCTCTCTCTGTCAACATGGAGTTTTACTATGTTGCTCAGATTGGTCTTGAACCACTGCCGCTGCCTCTGGAGCAGCTGGGACCACCAAGGCAGTCATGTCATCCATTTCCATTCAGGCTCTTAGATGTATAAATATAGCCTCCCCGCCACATCCTTCCCCTGCACTCCCTAGCACAGGTGGCATGCCCCTCCTCCACAACGTACTTTATTTCTTCATTCCCTGTTGCTGACAGTTGCTCCCTCATTCTTTTACATGGCTGCATACTATTCCACAATTGCTCAAACCTCAGCTTATCTCCCTAGCCCTGTACATTTGAGTAGTCTATAAACTTTTGCCCTTTAAACAAAACTTCAAAGTAGGCTGGGGGTGTCGTTCAGTGGTAGAGAGCTTCTTTGGCATCATCCGGGAGGCCCTGGGTTCCATCCCTACACCCCTAGCACTGCAAAAAAACACCCTCAAAAATGCAGGGTATAGAGAACAGGTAGTCCCAGATGTCCTGAATTCCTGTGCTATACCCTAATCATGCCCAAAGAGGTGCTTCCAAATGACAAGGGGACTTTCTGACCTGCCCTTGGTCCCTCCCCTCCTCCCCCCAGCCCTGCCACTCACAGTACACGGTGATGGTGGCCAAAGCTGTCTCCTGGTCATGGCCACAGTCTGAGAAACATATCGGACTGCTGTCTTCTTGTATGTCACTCAGTTCAAACAGCTTCCAGTTGTCTCCACTGTCCACCTCCACTTTGGGCAACTGAGTCTCCAGACCCAGCATGAGGGGCGTGGCACAGGATGCACTGCAGTTTACCTGGATGGAGCCCCCTCGGGGCAGGATGGCTTCTGGAGGATGTACAGATGTTCTGGCACCTCCAGGCCCTGCAAGAGAAGAAAGGAGGAGCCAGGCATGAGAGGATACACTCATCCACATGACTGGGCTGGGTGCCAGGCACATAGCCGTGATCTGGACCAAACTCTGTGCCCTCAGTGTGGGAGACACAAATATTCATGAGCAAACAAGATAATTAATAACAGATGTTAATAAAAGTGCCACAAAACCAAACCAGGGAGGACAGTGCCTTGATGACACATCCGAAGAGAAATCTAAATGATGAGAAAGGGCTGGTCTTCCAGAGAAAAGGAAAATGAAGTCCAGGCAACAGGAACAGCACATGCAAAGGTCCTGAGGCAGGGCAGCTGGAGCCCAGAGAACACGTGGGAAGAATGGAGGAGGATGATGAAGTCCAGGGGATCACGTGGGCAGTGCTGACCACACTACAGAAGTGTGCTTTAGGACGGGGGGCTGTAGCTCAGTGCTAGAGTGCTTGCCTGGAATGTGCAAAGCCCTGGGTTCCATCCCCAGTACTCCAGCAAACATAAATTAAAATAAAATCAAAGTCTGTCTGAGCACACCACTTCCTCCCCCGAAGGATTCCAGGTTTCAGAGGAGCTCTATCTGGGGGGTGGAAGCATGTGACAACCCAGACTGAAAATTCTCCAAGGCAGAGTCTGGAATTACTCCCATTTCATAGAGGGAAAGGGGGTGAGGCCAAGAAGGTGGAGGTTACTGAAACTGCAAACCATGGACTCGATCTCAACGTCCAAGTTAGCCCTGGATTGAGCTGACGTGGAAGATTTCAGTCTTCCACTCTTGCTCCCCAAAGCCTGGCCACCACTGGAAACTGTCTGTCCCCCTTACCCGCTGTGGCCGCTCCTTTGGCCCCTGAGTAAGTCTCTGGAATTCCCCTGCACACAAGCAGCCTGGACTTCCCCAGGCCGCTGATGAGGAACAGAATGTCTGTGGGAGGGGACGGGTCCTCAAGCCTGCTTAGTTTGGTGTCAGGCCAAGTCAGTCCCCACACCATCTGACCGCGTCAGGGGACCAGGCGCTGTGCCGAGCGGCCACCCAACGTTCCCCACTTTACAGCTGAGAACTGAGGCTCTGAAAGCGTAATCCTGCCAGGGGTGGTGACCCACGCCTGTCATCCCAGCACACGAGCAGGTGGATCGCAAGTTCAAGGCCAGACTGGGCTATTTACCCAGACCCTGACTCCAAAAACAAAACCTAAGGGAGCACCGGTGGCTCTCGCCTGTAATCCTAGCTTCTTGAGAAGCTGAGATCAGGAGGATCGCAGTCAGAGGCCAGCTCAGGCAAACTCCAAAATAACCAGAGCAAAATGGACTGGTGGAGTGACTCAAGTGGCTAAGAGCGCGCTTTGCAAACGTGAAGCCCTGAGTTCAAATCCCAGTCTCCTCCACACACCCTAAAAAACAAAACAAAACAAAAAAAAACGACAAGTGCCATCTAGACCTGGAGGTCACCCATGCAGGTAGTGAAAGCGTCAGGACTCGAACCCGGTGGCTTTCATCTCACATTCCCATAAGGGCTGCCTAAGCACCAGTGCTGGATGGCAATCCCACCTGGGACTCACCTGGCAGCAGAACGGCGGTCAGGGCCAGGAGAAGCAGAGGCAGCGCGGGCTGGGCACGGGTGGGAGCCATAGCGGGCCGGAGCGGGACGCGGGGCGCAGCACCAGGGCGCAGCACAGCCGAGCGAGCGCAGTTCTGGGCGCCGAGCCGCGCGCGCTGCTTTATAGCCCCAGCCGCGGGGGACCGAGGGGCGGTGCTGCCGCCTTCCCGGAAACCTCGCGCCTTCCCCTCCGGAACGAGGGCTCTGGCATTTCCGGAGCGAGCCGGTGCCCGGGCCACGCGGGGTGGTCCTGCCCTCTGGCCGCCCAGCAGCCCCGGAATTTCCGAACTGAAGCAATGAGGGTGGGGGTGAAGGGGGTCAGGGTGGCGCTACTCCTGGTCACCAGAGGTGGCATCCATTCTTCCCCCTCTCCTCCTCCACCCGGGGCTCACCCGGATTCACCCTTAACCACTGTGCTGATTGACTGACTACCCGCCCCCTCTGCTGGACCCGTAGGGACTTGTCACTCCGTCCATTTCGTAGGGAGGTGACCTGAGGCTCTGCACTTGGAGAGGATCCGAACTCAAGTCTGCAACTCCCACACCTCATCCAGGCCTCGTCAACCTAGGAAACCAGCCCTTGCTGCGGTGGGGACCCCGGGATCTTGTTTTGGGGGCGCCCCTCCCCCAAGAGGCATGGCCCCACCCAGGTGACACCTGGACTTCCCCAGAAATGATCTGAGCAGGCTTGGACGCCTGGGGGGGGAGGAGCGTGCTCAGTCGGGTGACTCGGCGTCCCCGCCCCCCCCTCCCCGCCGCGTGGGCGCCCCCACTCTCGCGGCCTCACTTCCCCTTTTGACTTTGACCGCGGGGTCGTCTTTACGGCTCCCAGAAAAAGAAAGGAAGCCGCGTGTTCCTGTCGCCTGGAACCCCTCTGCTGCTGGCCCAGGCTCCGCGAGGGAAACTGAGGCAGAGCTCAGACCTGGGCAGCAGAGAAGAGAGGGCGCTGGAAGCTTTGCCTTCCGCAGGGAAACTGAGGCACCCCCTAGGTTCCCAGGTCGGGCGCGAGGCTGTCCCCGGGCTCCCGAAACTCAAGCACCTGCGCTGACCGGGCACAGGGCTGCGCATGTGACCTCGCACGTCGGGGCTGGGGACCTTGGGCCGAGCGGAGCAGCGCCGCCTAAGGCTTCCTGTTGTGGGACGCTTGTGTGGTCGCCATGGAGACCTCCAAGGGGCCAGGGAGGTCGCGCAGCAGAAGGGGAAGGGAGAGGCCCGGGGATGCGCGGAGCCTTCCTCCCGGGGACCGGGGCTTGCAAGTCACTCGCCATTCAAAAATGCACTGCCCTCCTCCGCTCCGGCCATTCCTAAGGAATTTCCACGGGGATCTTTTTTCTTGGGGGGCCTAGGGGTGCTGAAATCTCCGTCCCGGAAGGGCCTGGGCAGGATGAAATCGGGGACATCCCAGCCTCACCGAGGGTCTGGGAAAATCCGGCGCGGTGGGTTATTTTCAGATGGATTTTTCTCGCGCTCGTCCGTCCCCTTGAGGTCTTTGGTCCCCGCCGGAGGTGCGCTGGCTACGAGCTCCCCCGCGTGGCCCAAGTGTCCATCTGCAGCCACAAGAGTGACCATCTTCCTCTAGCCACCCGTGTTTAGGGTGCCTTCGTTGTTCTAGCAACGCAGAAGGAACAGAACAGAACCCCACCCCAAAAAAACAATTCCCTGCCATCGTGCAGCGGCCGTTTTAGTAGAGGCGACATAAAGGCTAGAGAAGAGGAAGAATGGGGCAGCAGCGTTCCAAACGGAGGGAACCAAAGTGCAAAGGTCCTGAGGTAGGACCTGCTTAAGACCGACCCGGAGGTCAGTGTGGCAGGAGCAGGGTAAGAGGAGGAGGGAATTGGAGGGAAGGAGGGCAAGGGAAGATAATGCAGGTGCTTGTCATTTTGGGAGGACTTTGGTTTTTTTATTCCCTGGGAAGTGGGAGCCAGGAGGGTTCTGAGCAGAGGAATGTGCCCTGCCCAGGGTGTTCACGGGCGCCCTTTTGAGGCTTCGTTCGGGAGGTGCAACCAGGAGACCAGAGGAGTGCTTGAGTCCAGATGCGCAATAAGGGTCCTGGAGCGGACAGGGACAGTGGACTAGCTAGTTGGGTGTGGAATTCATTTGGGAGGCGGGGCCAACTGGACTTGCTGGGCCGGCGGCGGGGGCGGGGGGGTGGTGTTGGGCAGAGTCAAGGGTGACTGTGATGCGGGTCTGAGTTCCTGGGAGGAAAGAGGTCCATTTCCTGAGATGGGGCTAGGGAGGGAGTGGGCACCTACCAGCCTCCGCTCCCTTTTAGGTTTTGTGAAAAGGGAAGCAACCTGGCGGCCCTTTCCTGCAGTCTGCAGGAAGGGCAAGACTTCCTTCCAGGTGCCAGGCAGTCTCACGCAGGCCGAGGGATGGGCCCACTGCAGGGCAGAGGCGAGTCCAGGGCAAATTTCCAAACCCGACTCCATGGCATTAGACTTCCTCTGTCACACTCTGAGCTCTGCTGTGGGCGCCGCCTGGCTGTTCCCTCAGCCTGGGATGCTTTTCCACTCAGTCCTGACATGGTCAGCTCCTCCTTTATAGTTTTATGGTGGCCTGATCGTCCTCCCCCTTTCTTTTTCTTTTTTTTTTTTCATAGGACTGGAGTTTGGACCCAGGGCTTTGTGGTGGCAAAACCAGTACTCTACCTCTTGAGCCACACCTCCAGTCCATTTTGCTTTGGTTATATTGGAGATAGGGTTTCTCCAACTAGAACTATTTGCCCAGGCAGGCTGGCCTTGACCCTCAATCCTCCTGATCTAGCCTCCCAAGTAGCTAGGATTACAGGAGTGAGCCACCACACCTGTATTTTTTTTTTTTTTTTTTAGTACTGGGGCTTGAACTCAGGGTCTACACTGTTACCCACTCCATCACCCCTTTTGTGTGACGAGTTTTTCAAGATAGTCTACCTTTTTGCCCAGGGCTGTGATCTTCCTAAACTCTGCCTGAGTAGCTGATTACAGGTGAGCCACCGCGCCCAGCTTTTTTTTGAGGCAGTCTCACCCTGTAGGCCAGGCTGGTCTAGTGTTCTCCATCCTCCTGCCTCTACCTCCTGACTGCAGGCATGACCACTGTGCCAGGCTAATGTCCCCACTCCATCCTGAGCCACACCGTCACCAACACATAGCATCAGAATTGGCCCTCTACACAGGTGGTTCAACACCCTCAGACTCAACCAACTGGGATCGAAAGTACTCGAAAAAATGGTGAACACATGAAGACTCTTTTTCTTACAGTTATTTCCTGAACAGGACAACAACTATTTCCACAACATGGGCATCATGTTAGGAATTACAAGTCATCTAGAGACTATCTAATGTGTATGGGAGCTGGGTGCTGGTGCTCAAGACTGTAATCCTAGCTACTTGGGAGGCTGAGACCAGGAAGGTCCCAGTTCAAGGCCAGCCCGGGCAAACAGTTCAGGAGACCCCATCTCTAAAATAACCAGAGCAAAGTGGACTGGAAGTGTGGCTCAAGCGGTAGAGCTCCTGCTTTGCAAGTGTGAAGAACAGTCCCACCAAAAAACCAAAAAAGCACATTCTAGAAATCACATCAGTTTCTTCTTTTCGTTTTTCCTTGTGGCTGAGGATCCCAGCATAGACAGGTTCTGCTGCATTCTTTGGAAAAGCCCTGCATCTCACCCTTTCTTGAACGTTCTAAGAACCACACTGGTGCATGCAGCTGTGACAAGGTTAGACTGTGCTCACTCAGGGCAGCCAGGTCTTCTAGGTCTTGGTGCTCCATGGGGCCAGTGAGGCAAAGCTCTGACACAGCTAAAGGTTCAGCCAAGAAACATTGGTCCAACTGTTGACACCTCTTTAAACTGGTTCCAATGACTTTTTTTCCCTTAAAGCTGAGTTCTGAGAGTAAACCCCACACATTCCAGGGGTGTCTGGAGAAGGGGGAGGCCCAGCAACATGGGTGGTCACCATGGCCACATGGCCTGGTCTGGGGCACACACAAAAGGTAGTTCTGGTTAACTTCCTTTCTTATTTATTTAAAAAGACAGGGTCTTGCTGTGTTGCTTAGGCTGGCCCAAACCTGTGGCTTCCAGGCATTACTGATTTTAAATTGTGTAATTTTAATCTGGTTTAGCTATTAAAAGAAATTAATTCAGCAGGCAGACGTTATCAGCAGATGCAAGAGTTGGGAGTGGGGAGCACTGGGGCTGTGGCTCAGTGATGGACAGCTTGTCCAGCAGGTGCGAAGGCCCTAGGTTCCATCCCTAGCACTGCAAAAGAAAAAGAACTGGGATTCTGGTTTGGTGTCTAAAAATGTTTATTTGCCCTCTCATCAGGAGACGACAAGAACCGGGATTCCTGAGTTTGAGTTGAGAACTCAGGGGACAATGAGCCAGGAGGCCCACAAGCTTGTGGGTCTGATTCAGCTGGGCTGTTAGTTCTGGCAATTTCCATGAACAGTCCTGAGGTTGTCATGAAAGCAGGCTGCAAGGCCTTGAGCAGAGGGGCTATCCAGTGAAGCCAGCATGACAAATGGATCTGTTCACAACTCCTGCTGAAAAAGTCACTGCAAGCTGGGGCAGGAAGTGGTCTGGGCTCTCCGCAGCTGTACCTCAGGGGTGAGGGCTGTGGCTGCAGGGACCTCAGTTCCCTCGGTGGGATGCAGGGTCCCCCAGCGCCTCTGTACAGGGTGGACAAGGCTCAGCCTGGCTCACTGGGCTGTCAGGGGAAGTCGCTGTAGGGCAGGCGGAAGGGGTAGAGTGGCGTGTAGCGTGAATCCTGCCAGAGCAGCTTCTCCTCCAGGAAGGCGACAGTGGGCAGCGTGAGGACCAGGGTTTGGTGCTTGAGCATGCTGTACACGTTCAGGCCTGGGGGGGATGGGGCGGAAGTGGGGCAGGGTCACCTGGAGGGCACCCTACAGGCCCTGCTCCAGCTGTTCTGGTCACAGACCTGCCCTAGGCTCTCCAGGCTCTGCTCTGTACTTGGCCCTGACTCCTACCTCACTTTCCAGTGGGGGAACACAGCAAAGAGATAAACACTGGCTAGAGGGAGACAAGAGGGCTGGGAGTGGAGGTAGGAAAGGGGCAGGTCTGCAGGGCTTCAAGGACCCCCAGGGAGGTGAGAGCCACTGAGCACTGAGGGCCTGGAGCCCACTCAGCTGCTCATCAGCGCCCTCTGGTGGCTGTGAAGGGGAAAGATTTTGACAGGAAATCTTTTTTTTCCCCCAGCAGTTCTGAGGATTGAACCCAGGGCCCTCAAATGCTAGACAAGGGCTCTACCACTTGAGCCAGGCCTCACTTGGGCTACGCCCCCAAACTTTGCCTGCATTTTAGTTTGAGACAAGGTCTTCCTAACTCTGCCCAGCCTTGTCTTGAATTCACTATGTAGTCTAGGCTAGCCTGGAACTCATGAGTCTCCTGGGATTAAGACAGGTTTGCACCAGCATGCCTGGACATGAGTATTTCTTTAAGAAAGGCCACATTCAGAGGAGTGGGAGGAAGCTGGCAGCCAAAAAAAGCACCACTAGGGCCGGTGAAGGGTCTGGTCTGGTCAGAAATGTGGTCTCTGCTTAAATCTGCCACTCAGCAATCCAGTGCTAAATGGGAGATTTGAACCAGCTGTGATTCTAATAGCGGGACCTGCCTCAGGGAATCTTGGGATCTGGGATGTAGGTCTGGGAGGTGGACCCCACGCATCGCTCACCGACAGCAGGGACCAGGTTGAAAGTCTTGAGCTTGGAGGTGGCCTCCACGATGTTCTGGGGCATCTCCTCGTGGATCCTGTAACAGGAAAGGTTGGGAGGCGAACCCTGCGGAGACCGAAGCTCAGGCCCCATCCCGCCCTGTGCCCTGTCCTCCCCTCACAAGTCCACCAGGAGCACTGAATCTCCCCAGCGGCGGTAGCGGGCCAGCTCCATCAGGTACTCGGGGTCTGCTGTGGGCAGCTGCAGGGAGTCCACAATGTGCAAGTCATCCTGGAGGGAGAAGTGGATGCCTGAGCCTGGGCTCCCCAGCCCCCGGGCCCACTCTCCAGGATGCCCTGGGGCCATACCTGGGTCAGTTTCACAGTCAAGGCCACCTTGAGGCCCAGCACCCGCACTTTCATGGGCAGCATGTAGTAGTAACTTTTGGGGCCACGAGGGCCATGAGCAACGCCACCTGCAGGGACAGAGGTGGGTGGTGGGCAATGGCTGCAAGGTCAGAAACCTGCCTCAGTGGCTGGCAAGGAAATGGGTGCAGGAGCACACGCCTGTACTCCCTGCACTCAGGAGGATGAGCAGAAGCTCCAGTCTGGGCAACATAGCAAGATCCTGTGTCAAAAAAAAAACAACAAAAAAACCAGCCAGGGATGGTGTTGCCCACCTATAATTCCAGCGATGAGAAGGTGAAGGCAGGAGGATAGAAAGTTCCAGCCCAGGCTATACAGTGACACTGTGTCTCAAAAAAACAAATAAAAAGAGGATCTGAAGAGAGCGGGCAGCAGGAGGGGAAAGAACACACGCTCAGATCTCTGCCTTCACATGGGCAGAGAGTATGTGAGTCTGAGCTCCAATGCCACTGGTCCCACTGAGCTGAGGGGGTAGCACAGGGCTGACCAGATGTCACCCAAATGGGGACAGCTGTTTATAAAGAAGCATCCAGGCGCTGGACTTGCCCCAGAGCTGAGTCCCTGCCCTACTCACCTCCTCGCCAGATGGGGGAACGGATGCTGCCATGCCGGGCTCGCCCACTGCCTTTCTGTGGCCAGGGCTTCCGACCACCACCCCGCACCTCCGCCCTCGTCTTGGTCTTGGCATAGCTCTGTGGAGGCAAAGTGAGGACAAGTCAGGTTCACAAGGCCCATGGCACTGCAGACACCAGGACTGGAATTTGGCAGGCAGCCAGACAAGTGTGGGGACGAGGGCTCTGGGGGGACAAGCATAGAACCCAGGAGAACTCTGGAACATCAGTATTACAGAGACAGGGCCAGCTGCCTGGCCTAGTCGGTGCTCAGGAATTTTTGAATTTGAACTTGACTTCATGTTACAAGGTAGCCCACGGGCAATGACGTGTTAGAGAGCCATCAGAGAAGAGGTACGGAGCCTTTATTACTAGGGCAATGGGGAGCCAATGCAAGCAGGGAATGGACTTTTCAGGTCTCTGAGGTGGACAGCTGAAAGGCAGAGAAATGCTGGGTATGGTGACGCACACCTATAATCCCAGCACTCAGGAGGCTGAAGGAGGATCAAGAGTTCCAGGCTAACCTGGGCTACACAGTGTGATCCTGTCTCAAAAAAGTTCCTGATGCCTGGCACTGGTGGCCCACACCTGTAATCGTAGCGACTCAGGAGGCAGAGATCAGGAGGATCATGGTTTGAAGCTAGCCCTGGGCAAATAGTTCTCAAGACCCTATCTTGAAAATACCCATCACAAAAATAGGGCTGGTGGAATGGCTCAAGGTATACGCCCTGAGTTCAAACCCCAGTACTGGAAAAAAAAAAAATTTCCTGACATACAGTCCAAACTCTTCACTATTGTTCCTATTGCTCTATCTTGTGCCACAGGGCCTTTGCACATGTTACTCCCACATACTACCTCCACACTAGCCCCACTGCTTCCTTGAGCTGGTAGTTTCTACAGGTAGGCATGAGGTCAAATGTCCCTTTCTCTGGGACAGCTGCCCATGACTGCACAATTGCAGCTATGACTACATGACTCACATTCATCTCCTACTAAACTGGGAGCTCCCTGAGGGCAGGAATCTTGCCTGGCTTGTTCACCACTATATCCTCTCACCTCCCACAATGCCCATCATGGTGGGTGCTGAGAAAATGACTAAAAGTTGATCAAACCAGTTGGTTCAAGACAGAAGATGAGGCCTGAGCCAGGAAGTCCAGAGAAAAGCCACTGATGGGCTTCCACAGAGCCCCCACATTCAGAAGCTCAGTCATCCCACCTTGCTCTACTCACAATTCTTTTGAAGTTCTTTTGCCACGTGGCAACCTGGTGCAGGACATCCAGCCTGGGGAGGAGGAGGTGGACATGAGAAGCCAACCCTTTCTTAAACCCTCCCATGGCAGCTACTTGGGAGACAGAGATCAGGAGGATAGAGGTTTGAGGCCAGCCTGGGCAAACAGTTCTCAAGACTCCATCTCCAAAATAACCAGAGCAAAATGGACTAGAGGTGTGGCTCAAGCAACAAAGCACCTGATTTGCAAGTGTGAAACCCTGAGTTCAAACCCCACCTCCACCAAGAAACCCCCAAAAACAACAACAAAAACCCTTGCATGGCTCTCCCACCGCAGGAAAGGAAAACCTCTACTCCTCTCTTCAGCCTCCAGTACCCTATATGATCTGCCCTTCTCTGACCATCTTGCACTACCTCCAGCCAAGCTGGCCCCTCTAAGATGGAAGCTAGCTGGGTGTGGTGTTGCACGTCTGTAATCCCAGCACTAGGGAGGCTCAGGCAAGAGGACCACTGGAGCTAAGAGTTTGAGACCAGCAAGACCCTTTGCACTTGCTGTGTCCTCTGCCTGAAATACTCTTATCTTCGCTGGTTCCTTCTCAGCCTATTAATTTTTTGAGATAAAGTCTGTCCTAGAACTCCCGATCCTCCTGCTTCCACTTCCCAAATGCTGGGATTACAGTCGTACACCACCACACGGGGCAAGATGCTACCTTTCACCCATGAACTTCACACAATCCTGCAGCACGGACAGCCTTTACCCATCTTTGGCAAGTGGGGAAACTGAGGCTCAACAGTACGAGCCCAGGTCACGCTAATTCCTGAACTCGCCCTCACCATCCCTGGGCCACTCAAATCATCGTTACAGTCCCCGCTCACCTGGGCGCTGTGGCGAAAACATCGGGGTGCAGCTCGGCCAGGCCCACGCGCTCTTGCTCGTAGCCCCGCAGGGACTCGATCCAGGCCTGCACCGGCCGCCGGTGCGCGGTGACCGGGAGTTCGCACTTGCGCAGTACAGGCTCCGGGAGACCTGGAGCGATTGGAAGGTCAGGGGTCAGGGTCAAGGGTCAGAGCTCTCCGTCACCGCCCTTCCTAAGGTAACCCCGGCTACCTCACCCGTACTCGCCGCCGGCTCTGAGCTCTCCGCCGGCCGCGCTGCCTCTTCCGCCAGTGAGGTCAGACCCTGTAAGCGACGCGCGACAGTAAGAGACGACCTCGGGACTCCGTAGCCTTTTATGTTCTCACCCCGGCCCCGGTCTAACACCTCACCCGGCAGCCCCAGGGACGAAACCAGGCTCGCGCCCCGGCACGGACTAACTGCAGCATCGCGGCGCGGTTCCCCACACCGCGAGAGACCGAGGCTCCCTCTAGACGCGCGCGGCGCCTCGAGATGACGTCACGTACGCGACAGCACCACCCCTTGCTCAGATGCGGCGCTGGAAAGCGGGGTGTGTAAGTGCAAAGACGTCATGGTGCAGCCCAGCGTACCCCCACGCCCGTCCTAGAACTAGTCCCAGCCCCATTTTTCACTCCTGGCTTAGGAACTATCTGCGAGACTTAAGAACGCGACTCCATAGCCAGAAGCCCCCACCTCCGTAGGCCTCCTTGGATCCTGCCCCGCCAAGGGGTGGTACAATAATCTAGCCAATAAGAGCTCTCTGGCCAAAGGCACGCTTCTGATTCAGCCAATGAACGTGAAGTCTGAATGAATGACCCACCCATGGCTGGGCGGGCACCTAAGGGAATACGGCCAATAAACGTTAAACTTTTTATAGACCACGCCCTCTAGCCTTAAGTTTTCCTGTATCCAATTTCTTTCCTCCCTTCCTCCCTCCCTTCCTTTTCTCCTCTCTTCCCCTGCCCTCCTTCCTCCCTTCCTTTTTTCCTTCCTTCCTTCCTTCCTCCCTCCCTCCCTTCCTTCCTTCCTTTTTTAATCTCTTCTCCTTTTCTTCCTTTCTTTTCCAGACAAGCTCCCTAGCCTGGGCTGGCCTTCAATGCCTCAGTCTTCTGAGTGCTGGGATTACTGACGTGCAACACCACGCCTGGCTGTATCAGTATCATTGGTTCGTTTGTTCTTTGGTTTAAATGCAGCCCAAAGCCTTCAGTACTGGATCTGCCTGCATAGGTCCCCCAGGGCAGGGCTATGCCCCTCTGGAACCCCTGAGCTCAGTTCTGTGTTGCCCCCACCTCTAGGCCAGGGTGCTGGCCCCTCTCACACCCTCCAGGGCTCTCCGAGGAGAGACCACGGATTTCAGATCGCTTCCCCGTGAGGCCTCGCAGCAATAATCCAAATGGTCATTTTTACGTCATGTTCTCTTCTCGACCTCTAGAGGGCGCCACGACCCCAAACCGGACCAGGGCTGTCCACTGGAGGCCAGTGCGGTGGACTAAGTGGCCTCAGCTTCTTCATCTGGAAAGTGGGGACGTTATGGATTTCCATACAATGATGAAGATAAAACATCGCATGCCCCCGCACCAGGTGAAGACTCAGTAAGCAACATTAGTATGAGTACGAAAGGGGATTTGTGTCATCAAAGAGAAACAGCCCAAACACTTCAGGGGGGTGGACCCTGCAGGGTTTAAATACCGTGCTAAAGAGGTGGGCTTTTAGCCAGACGCTGGCGGGTCACACCTGTAATCCTAGCTACTTGGGAGACTGAGATCAGGAGGCTAGAGTTTCAAGTCCAGCCTGGGCAAATAGTTCGTGATACCCCATTTCCAAAATAACCAGAGCAAAATGGACTGGAGGTGTGGCTCAAGTAGTAGAACACCTGCTTTGCAAGTGCAAAGCCCTGAGTTCAAACCCCAGTCCCACAGAGAAAAAAAGGGCTTTTTGTTTGCAAAGGTTATATATTTTGTGAGGTTTTATTTTACAAAATATTAATACAAATTTACAATAGGGGTTCCATCCTCAGCTCCACCAGGAAAAAAAGTTGTTCCTTCTATCTGAAAAGCAGAAGACAAAATGTACAATGAGATAGCAGGAATTTTTTTTTTAAGTTTGCAGTGCTGGAGATCAACCCAGGACTAGGCAAGTGGTGTACCCCTGAGCTACACCCCAGCCCCGCCCCCGACCCCACAACTGTATATGGAACCTGCTATCTACCTTCTATCTCCCATCCAATCTCCTCCCCAACCTCTGGTAACCACTATTTTACTCTATTCCCATGAAACCATTTTTTTTGCAGCTTCCTCATGAGTGAGAACATGTGATACTTGTCTTTCTGTGCCTGTCTTATTTCATGTACGGTGTCCTCCAGTTCCATTCATGTTGCTGCAAAAGACAGGGTTTTATTTTTTATGGTTGAATAATATTCCACTGTATATATAGACTACAATTTTGTTTTCTTGCAGCGCTGGCACTCAAACCCAGGGCCTTGCAAATGCTTGGCAAGCACTACACCACCAAGCTGCAAGCCTGTCCTACACCAGATCACCTTGGATGGTTCCGTATGTTAGCTGTTGTGAAGAGTGCCACAATACACATGACAGGGTAGATATCTTTCTTTTGGCAGCACTGGGGTTTGAACTCAGAGCCTCACACTTGCCAGGCAGGTGCTCTCCCATTTAAGCCATGCTCCCAGCCCTTTTTTGCTCTAGTTAGCTTTTAGATAGAGTGTTACTAACTTTTGGCCTGGGCTGCTCTTGAACTCTTATTCTCCTATTTCCACCTCCTAATTAGTTGGGATTACAGCCGTCAGCCACCACACCCAGCAAAAATATCTGCTTGACATACTGATTTTACTTCCTTTGGTGATATACCCAGGAGTGGGATAGCTGGATCATATGGTTGTTCTATTTTTAGTGTTTTGAGGAACCTCCATTTTGATTTCCATAATAGCTAAATAGTTTGCAGTCTCTGTGTATGAGTTTCCCTTTCTCTGCACCCTTTTTTTTTTTTTTTTGGCTTTTTGCTTATAGCCACTTTAATTGGGCCAAAATAACTTCTTATTGTGGCTTTCATTTGCATTTCCCTGATGATGAGTGGTACTGAGCACCTTTCCACATACTTGTTTGGCCATTTACTTCTCAATTTTAAAAGGTCTTTTACTCCTTTATTCTGTAAGATTTTGTTGTTGTGGTGGGTTTTTTTGTTTTGTTTTTTGCAACAGTCTCACTATGTAGCCCATGCTAGCCTCAAATTCTGGATCTTCCTGCCACAGCCTCCTGAGGACTGGGCTCAGAGGAGTGCACCACCATGCCTGGCTTGGCTTAGTGTTTTGTTTGCTTGTTTTGAAGGGACTGGGGTTTGAACGCAGGGCTTTGCACTTGCAAAGCAGGCTCTGTACTTCTTGAGTCACACCTCCAGTTCATTTCGCTCGGGTTAATTTGGAGATGGGATCTTGAGAACTATTTTCCCTGAATGGTCTTGAATCTCAATCCTCCTGATCTCTGCCTCCCAGGTGGTTATGATTACAGGCATGCCACTGGCACCCAGCTGCCTACCCTACTTTGTAGCATTTTATTTATTCATTTGGTGTTTTTAGTGGTTGTTCACACACTTGGTAAAGAAAATTTCAAACCAAGCACTGTGGCTCATATCTGTAATCCTAGCTACTCAGGAGGCAGAGATCAGGAGGATCATGGTTGGAAGCCAGCCAGGGCAAATAGTTCATGAGATGCTATCTTGAAAAATACCCAACACAGAAAAGGGCTGGTGGAGTGGCTCAAGGTGTAAGCCCTGAATTCAAACCCCAGTACTGCAAAAAATAAATAAATAAATAAATAAAGCAAAAAGGACTGGAGGTGTGGCTCACATGGCGAGCCTGAGGCCAATTGCTTTAAGTGGGGTGGGGAGGGGGCTGAAGAGAGACGGTGGGGGCAATGTAAATAATGTATAATATAAGTGTAATTGGAATTGTCACTATGACTCCTCCTCATATAAAGAATATATCCTAATAAGAAATATATAAGAATAATAATAAAAAAGGAAAGCATGAGGCCCTGACCTCAAACCCCAGTACTGCAAAAAAAAAAAAGATAACTAGAACTCTGTCCCCTCCAATGTGTGTCCTCTGGCCCCCCCAATTCTCCCCCAGAAGCCACCACCACAAACAGCTGTGTGTCTCCTTACCAGAACCAGTTCTGAGCTTACAGGCAGATTTCTAAATTTACCAGGTGCCAGGAGTTTAGCTTTTCTGTGATAAACAATGGCTTAGCACTGAATTGCTTAATGATTTATTAGACACCTACTGTGTACTGCTAGTTTGAGATGCTCCTAATCAGTACAGATAGATGGCTGGGGGACCAGGGTGGGGGAGGGGGGTCAGCACAGTCCAAGGGGCTCATGGGAGGAACCTCTATGAAGGGGGGCGGGGGCTTCCCTGGGCTGTAATCTGAGAGGTTTTTTGTTTTGTTTTTGTGTGGCACTAAAAACTCAAGGCCTACATCTTGAGCCATTCCACCCTCCACCAGCCCTGTTTTGTGTTCAGCTAATCTGCATTCAGCTAATCTGAGAGCTTTTTTGACAATTGAGGATCTTTCAGGACTCTCCAACCCTGGCAGTACTGGGGATGGCACAAACCATGGTAGGCAAGTGCTTTACCTCTGAACCATGACCCCAGACCAGGGTCTAGCAGGACTTTGGCCTGAGGATAAAGTGTGCACCAGGTCAAGGGAATGGACAGTTTCACAGGCCTAGAATGGGGCAGGTCTGGTTGGGGGTGAGGGGTTTGGCTGGACTTCGCTGACCATTACTTGCTTTTCTCATTGGTTGTCATTTATGCCAGTCCTACCCCAGGGCCTTTGCATTGCTGTTCCTACTGCTTGCAACATACCTTTCCCAGGTTTCTGCATGGCTGGCTCCCTCACCTCCTTGGATTCTTTGCTCACGACTGTAATCCTAGCAACTTTGGAAGCTGACATTGGGGGGATCAAGGTTCAAGACCAGCTCAGGCAAATAGTTTGTAAGAGCCCATCTCCAAAATAACCAGATCAGCTGGGCGACAGTGGTTCATGCCTGTAATCCTAGCTACTGAAGAGGCAGAGATCAGGATGACTGAGGTTCGAAGCCAGCAGGGGGGAAAACAGTTTGAAAGACCCTATCTTGAAAGTATGCATCATTAAAAGGCCTGGCGGAGTGGCTCAAGGTGAAGGCCCTGAGTTCAAAAAAAAAAAAAAAAAAATATATATATATATATATATATATATATATATAGTAATAAAAAATAAAATAAAATAGCAGTCTCAACCCTGGCTCTTTTAATGCCTCTATTCTGCCCCCTTTTTTTGTTTGTTTTGGTGCTGAGGATGGAAGCCAGGGCCTTGTCCATGCTAAGTACAAACTTTATTACGAGCTATGCCCTATTTTCTTCCATCAGTATTTTATTTTCTAACATCCTATATAATTTCCTAGAGACTTTTTTGAGGTAGTGTCCACTATGTAGCCCAGGCTGGCTCCAAACTCATAATCCTCTTGCCTCTGCCTCCTGAGTTCTGAGATTACAGGCGTGCCCCACCACACTCAGCTCTCTTTTATCTTAATTTTTATTGGAACCCAGGGCCTCTCGAATGCTAGGCAAGTGCCGTACCATCAAACTTTACCCTTCCTTGTTTCCTGCTGCAGCCTCAGCATTCAGCATGGTGCCGAACACCAGTAGTGCTCAGTAAATGCTTCTTGCATGAATTCCTTCATTCTTCATCTTGTTGCAGGATCCTGGGTTCCAAAGTCCCTATCCCTCTGAAGACACTGGGCACATAAGATGTCCATATATGATTTTTTTTTTACTTGATTTGTCACATAGACAGAGGGACAAATCCAGGAGCTGCCACTCATTGAGTGGATGTCCTTGGGCAAGAGGTAAACTCTTGGGTGCTGTGGCCTCCTAATCTGTCCATTTGGTACACACAAACCTCCTCTACTGAGCTGTGTCGAGGATGGGAGGCCTCTGGCTTCCACCCTTGCTCCTCATGGTGACTCCATCCCTGCTCCAGTTTGTAAACACCTGAGTCTGTAAACAGCTGAGTTAGATCCTGTCCTGTTTCTCTTACAGCAAAAGCCAAAGTCCTCATTGTGCCCCAGAAGGCTCCAGCCACTCCAGCTTCTGCCAATCACCTTGCAACCTCAGGCCCTTTGCACTGCCTGGATCACTTCTGCTCCCAACTCCTCCCCCACTCCAACTCTGCATGCCTTCTCTAAAATCCCCCTTTCCTACCCCACAAGCCTCATCCCCCTTCCCTGTTTCATTTATCTCTAAAATTTTCACAACATGCTAACAAAAAATGAAACTGTTTTGATTTTGTTTTTATGGCTCCGGAGATCAAACCCAGGGTCTCATGCATGCTAGGCAAGCACTCTACCACTGAGCCACACCCCCAGACTCTTGTGTGTGTGTTCCTGTGCTGGGTTTAGAACCCAGGGCCTTATGAATGGTAGGCAAACACTCTACCACTGAGCTACATCCCAGCCCCTTCCCTTCCGTTTTGCTGTGTAGCCCAGACTGGTCTTCAAGCCACGATTCTCCTTCCTCTGCTTCCTGAGAACTGGGATTACAGGTTTGAAGTCCCACGTCCAGCCTTGACCCGTTTCTCGGGTCTCCATCACTAGAACATTAGCTCCTTCAGGACAGAGGTCTTTGTTTCTTTCTTTCTTTTGATATTTTTGGCAGCACTGGTGTTTGAACTCAGGGTCTCGTCTTAGCTGGTGAGGCTTGAGCCACTCCACCAGCCTTTCTTTTGTGATGGGTTTTTTCGACATAGGGTCTCATGAACTATTTGCTCAGGGCTGTCTTCTAACCATAATCCTCCTGATCTCTGCCTTCTGAGTAGCTGGAATTATAGGTGTGAGCCACTTAACCTGGCTTGATTATAAATCTTAAAAAAGGAGGCGATGACTGCAAGACCTGCACACAGACAGTTTAAAAGTTTGACCATTTTGGCTGGAGCTTGGGTGGAGGTTCAAGGTCTAGGCAACCAGCCATCTCCTGTGAATCAAAGACTTAATTGCAGGTGACCTCTGACCCTGGGGATGTGGGCCCAGAGAGGGCCTTTGGCAGCTGTGGATAGCCCAGCAATTTGGAGGGTGCACACTGGAAGCTGGAGGAGCCCCCACATCCAGCCTTGCCTAGCTCCCTGAATCCCTTCACAAAGCCCAGAGCTCCGGGCAGGATAATGGGGGATCAGCCTCCAGCTAGGAGGTGCAGAGCATGGGTGCAGGAGACAGTCCCCCACCCCCATCAACCGCCCGAGCACCTGCTGCCGGTTTGTTTTTGGCTCAGTTTGTGGGTAACTGCCAAACCCCTAGAGGGGAGAGTGTCCCTCTCCTGGAATCCCTCCAGCCTTGGGGGTGGGGCTCATTTGCATATGCATCGCCATTGGCCACCCGGGCTTATTTGCATGGGAATTTCCATTGGCTGCAGTTCCCTGGGCAACCACAATTATTGTGGGGGAGGTGGCAGGGAGGATAGAACAAGCCTGGAGCCCTGCAGGTGTTGGCAGCAGTAGAACCCCTGGGCAAGTCACATCTGGCCTCTGGGTCTCAGTTTCCTCCTCTGTAAAATGGGGGTAAAATTGCCCATTCTATGCATGCTTTTTTTTTTTTTTCCCCTTTGCTGTGCTGGGGATGGAACCCAGGGCCCTGCACATGCCAGACCAGGGCTCTGCCACTGAGCCGCACCCCTAGCCTGTTTGTAGGCTTTGTGGCAGGATTAAACTTGCCTACCCTCACATCATCTGTGCGTGGCTGGGGGTTCACCTTGTAACACGTCCCTTACCTGATGACTCTGGTCAGATTTAACCACTGGGAGGCCAGAGGATGAAAGCAACCAAGGTGTTCTCCCCACCTACTTCTGGCAGCATCTCCCATCCCACATGATCTCACATTATGCCAGTTTTCATAATGATTTAGTTATCTGCAGTACTGGGGTTTGAACTCAGGACCTCACGCTTGCTAGGCGGCCACTCCACCAGCCCTTTTTTGTGATGAATATTTTTGAGATAGGGTCTCACAAAGTATTTGCCTGGGCTGGCTTCAAAACACGATCCTCCTGATCTCTGCCTCCTGAGTAGCTAGGATTACAGGTGTGAGCCACCAGTGTCTGGCTGCTTTGGTTATTTTTAAATAGGGTTTATGCCCAGACTGGCCTGGACTGCAAATCCCCCTGCTTAGTCTTCCTGCATAGGTAGGATGGCAGGTGTATGACACCATGTTCAGCTTTTATTGGTTGAGATGGGGTCTGAGAGTTTTTTTTGCCAGGGCAGCATTGAGCCTCAATTCTACCAAACTCAGCCTCCTTAGTAACAAGGATTACAGGTGTGATCCATAGCATCCAACTCATTTATTTTTGTAACAGGGTCTTGAACCCGCTATTCTGCTTCCCTCACCCAAGTGCTGTGAGTCTAGACGTCCATCACTGTGCCCAGCCTGGTTTTCAAATACTGTCAGTATCCTCTGGTTTCTTATCTGTGTAGCCAATCCCTGTATTAAATACCCTCTGTTTGAAATTGTTCTCCGATGAGGCCCTGAAAGAAGCACGGCTGCCCTTAGGGTTTCTTGCGCAATCTGATTTTTAATTTGGATGCTTTAAAATTGTTGTTAGTTTTTAATACGACAAAGTCTTTCCTTTTAAGTACACAGTGGCCCAAGTTTCCACAGACATAAGCACTGTCACAATCAAGATGTAAAATGGTTCCACTACCAAAAAGTCCCTGTGCCCTTCTGTCGTCAACCCCCGCTCCATCCCCCAAGCCTTGGCAACCACGGATCTGTTCTCTCCCTATCATTTTGTTTTGGTTTTTTGTTTTTGTTTTTGTTTTGTTTTTTTGCATTTTCTAGAACATTCTAAAAATGGAATCACACAGTTGTAGCCTTGGTGTTTGGCTTTTTTTCCCCTCCTTGCAATGCACTTGATTTTCATCCATTCTGTTACGGATAATGTGACCCTTGCCTTTTTTTTCTTTTCTTTTTTTTTTTTTTTTTTTTTGGTGGCATTGGGGTTTGAATTCAGGGCCTCACACTTGCTAGGCAGCCACTCTACTGCTTGAGCCACTCCACCAACTTATTTGTGATGGGTTTTTTTGAGGTAAGAGCTGGCTTTGAACCTTAGTCCTGATCTCTGCCTCCTGAGTAGCTAGGATTTCAGGTGTGAGCCACTGGCACCCAGCTCTGTATTTGGTTTTTCAGACAGGGTCTCACTATGTAGCCCAGGCTGGCCTTGAACTCCCCCATCCTCCTGCCTCCACCTCCTGAGTGCTGTGAGTGCCGTGAGCCACCATGCCTTGCTGATGTGTTAATAGTTTTCACATGCTTAGGACAGTGACCATGCCTTCAACACGTGTCAGCTGTTATCTTGGGGCAGAGGTGGGAGGGGCTGCTGGGGACTGGGCTTCCCCTCCTCTCTGCATATGCTTCCTTGGGCACAAGAGCAATCCCACCCTTCCCTCAGGCTTCTAGGACCCAGAGGCCACAGCTGGTGCAGACGTGGCAGAGGCTGGCCTCCCTTAGGGGCCTCCCCTCCGATCCCTCCCCCTGTGCAGCGTGGCTGAAAGTAGGCTTCACGCCCATGGCCAGCTAGACTGATCTCAAGCTGCCAAGAGCAGCATCTGGAAGGCCTCTCTGCAGCCTGGGGCCCCTTCCCCCAGGCCTGGGGCGACCATGAAAAAGTTCTCTCCAAGCAGTTCCTCCTGCTGAAAGCCAGGGGTGATTTGCAGAAATATGCGGGGTGGGGATGGCATTGGAAGTCAGAGGGTTGCTCTCACCTGCATTGTGGACATTCCATATTTCGCCATTGTCCAGTTGTCCACCCTTCAATTCCAAGCCCCTGGGACCATGGCCAGGGATTGTGTCATGAGACCGATGGGAACACAGGATGAACAAGAGCACAGGGAGCCAGGGATACTAAATTAAGAGGAGCCAGCCATTTCAAATCCCACCATTCCCATGTGCCACTGTGTATTAGACTTGTTTGTTTGTTTGTTTTCATTACTATAACAAAGTACCTGAGTCAAGGTAACTTTTAAAGAAAAGGGGTTCTGCTTGGTTCATAGTATTGTCCAAGGCCAAGGGACAACACTTGGTGATGGCCTCGGGTTTTTTTGTTTTGTTTTGCTTTTTGTGGTACTGAGGTTTGAACTCAGCACCTCACACTTGCTAAACAGATGTTTTACCATTTGAGCCACTCTGCCAGCTCTATGTTGGGTATTTTCAATTTAGGGTCTCACAAACTATTTTTCCCAGGCTGGCCTCGAACTGTGGTCTTCCCGATCTCTGCCTCCTCAGTAGCTAGGATTATAGGTGTGAGCCACAGGCGCCTGGCTGGTAGTAGCCTTCTTGCTGGCAGATGTCCAGAACATGCAGGGCATTGCCCGGTGTGAGGCGGTGTGTCGTGTCTGTGTGTCTCTTCTGGTCCTCCTTCCTCTTCTTGTTTTTCCTGGTGCTGGAGATCACGCCTCATGCATGCTGGCTAGGTGCTCTGCCATTCAGTTACACCCTCTCCCTCAGCATGCCTGCCACTGCTGCTGGTTTTCTTCTTCTTCTTCTTCTTCTTCTTTTGTAGTACTGGTGTTTGAACTCAGGACCTTGGGCTTGCTGGGAAGGTGCTCTGCAGCCACATGTCCAGCCCTTTTTGCTTTAGATTATTTTTCAAATAAGGTGTTACTTTTTTTTTTTAATTTCCTTTAGTCATAGGTGCATACAATGATTGGGTCATTACTCCCCCTTTCCCCTGCCCCCTCCCTTACCCCCCACCCCCTAAAGTGTTAACTTTTTGTCCCCACTGGGCCTCAGAGCAGGATCCTCCTACCTCTGTCTCTCACACAGCTGGGCTCACAGTCACGGCCACCATACTCTGCTTGTTTTGTTGAGATGGGGTCTCTAAAACTCTGCCAGGGCTGGCCTGGAACCACGATCCTCCTGATCTCCACTCTGAATTGTTTGAGATTACAGGCAAACATTACCATACCTGGCTCAGCTCGCCTTGTCTTATAAAATCACTGGGATTCAATCTTGGGGGCTCCACCCTGATGACCTTATCTAATCCTAGTCACCATGCTGAGGCCCCACCTCTAGACACCACAGCAGATTAAATACCTACTCTTAAATTTCAACTCAGCTGGGCCCCAGTGGCTCACTCGTATAATCCTAGCTACTCAGGAGGCAGAGATCAGGAGGATCAAGGTTCGAGGCCAGCCAGGGAAAATAGTTCTGGAGATCGTATCTCAAAGATACCCAACACAAAAAAGGGCTGGTGAAGTGGCTCAAGTGGTAGAATGCCT